CTTTTGGGCACACTCCCAGGGTATTATTGCCCAGATGTGTTTGTTTATTGTCTGGAATCAGATGCCGCTTTCCGGACTTGGGTCATTTGACGAGGTCATGCTATGCGCCCAAAACCTGGATGAGCTGCAAGTTTCAAAACTTTGCGCATATGAGAGAAGCACAAAGAGTTACTGCAGCTGGCTTGCTGATAAGTAGGATGCCTTCCGGAGTGAGCAAAGCGACGCAGCACCACTTGGCGGCCATAAGGCTCATCATGCAGCATCTAATCGAGATCCCGTTTTCCTCTCGGTTCTATAATCAGCGACCACAATGTCTTGAGTCAGATAATTACTGCACAAATATGCTTGGGGCTGTTTGTAAGGCGCTGGAGCCAGACAGTCCGGTAAGTTATTCATAAATGATGGTCTACCTCAGTCTTTGTCAACCAAAAGGCGGGCTACTGTGCACAATACTTCAACCGTTAGCAAATCTTCCGGGTTTGCTTGATGTAAGTTTGTTGGCACTGGTTTTCAATCGGGGCACTTGCCGAACAGCGTTGCTAGAAGCATGCCAACCTGTCACTAAGTCATTTGGAACTGCGAAGCTTTGACTCCTGTTTAAGTTTTTCAAGTTTGATTGATGCTACTCTTCATTACTTTCAAAGGGCTGTAAATTATCTCAAACCCTGGTGGTGATTTTCGTCTTCCGGGATGGGCCGACCGACTCGAAGTACTGTCTCTGATAGCGCTCACCGGGCTAGGATGCAATTCGGTTCTGGGCGATAAGGATAACCCAGCAGGGAACGTCATATGAGAAGCCCCTCCATGTATACTCCCGACTGCCGGGCAGCCTCTTGGATCCTCGTACTGGTCGTCGGTGCAGTTCAATACTCGTATAAGTCCTCCCGGATGCGGGAGGGCCTGTCTGCCGCGCGCGCTTGTAGACATTGCCATTCCTAGGCTTGGAATACACTCGCTTAGCGGCTGTCAGGAGCTTTTGACACATGAGCAAGCTTTTGCTTACTGAATTTGGGTTCTCTTGGCCCCATGACGCTGCTCAACATTGCCCAGTACTAGCCGAGCGAACTTGACTTCGAGGTCGCGCATTTGCGCACGAAGTGACGGATGGAAGCCAATCTTTAGAACGGTATGTTCATGCCGCCAGAGTGCATGGCCCGTCAAAATAGTGCAGTCTCAGAAGAGGGGATTTTCTCCGCTTGTTCGCGCCACCTTTTATGTCACCATCGCAACTCTTTCAGGTTTCTAACCAGCGCAGCTGGGCAGCGCAGCTGGTTGCAAATAAGCGGATGAGGCTAATGTTTGTACTTGCCATATTTGCAAACGTCTTTCTTGAAGGGAATCGCTCCTAAACATTCATGTTTTCATTGCCCCCTTCGATTCCAATATGCTTTCGACGACTCCCGATGAATCCGATCACTAGCAGAAGAGGCTTGCGGTATCGATGCCTTCGATTCCCAGAACCACTCATCAACACATGTACAGGGCTTGAGATGATATTCCCAGAGATGCGTGAGCCGATTTCAGAAGTCACCAATCATGACACATTTCAGATTGACAGACACGATATGTCTTCGTCTTTCAAATTAAGATAGCGGCGATGACGCAAGATGACTCTGGCATGAGCAAAAATGTTTGACGCGCACAAGGGCAGAACGAACGTACCAACGAAAAGAGCCGCTTACAGATCGCAATTCGGCAAAAGGCGGGCCGCCGTCATGAGCGCACGCGCCCGCGGCCGCGTACGGTGCCGCAACCACCTCCGTACCGCGGGCCCGCGGCCGAGAGTTCGAGGCCGCGCCGCGTACGCTGCCGGTAATGATGAGTGGGCCAAACCCGCGCGCCGGCCCGCGGCCGGGGATTCGCGACAGCGAGGAAGGCGACGGCTGCGGTTAAAAGACACGTGCGGAGCCGGCTCAGCGAGCCGCATGCGTGCCTTTGACTCCTGTAGAACGAAGATTGCAGTTGGGCTGCCTGCAGGGGATCAAAGAGTTGCAGAAGAGACTCTGAGGTTTGGGTGAGCGTTTGCAGAACGGACGACCGACACGTTGGCCCTTTTCACTACTAGTCCGGATTGAGAACCGCCGCTTGCTCGCTAGTGCGACGCAGTCGCTTCCAACTTCTCAGGATTCGATGACTCTATTTCGTCGTTCAACGTCTATTCAACGGGCGTACGTCGAAACCCAGTTCTTTAGCTGCGGGTCAGTGGCAAGCCCTCTACCGGCCAAATTGTACGTGCTCGCGTTTATTGCGGAACGCGAGGTCTACAGTGTATCTTCCCCCGTTGAATATGTGTTCGTCGGCAACATTCTTTTCGAGCTAAGAGCAGTATGCAAAGTTTACTGCGCTGCTAAAGGTTCCGCCTTGCGAAGAGAGTCTTCCGAGCTGAATCGGCATGGTAGCATCGTAGGGGGCCGGCAGGCGCGCGCGCCCAATCTAGAAAGCACGGGCGTCCAATGGACTGCTGGGGTGACGGGATCAAAGGTCGCACGGCTCCGTCACCCTTTGAAACAATGGGAACTGATCTTCACTAGTCGTCATAGTATATATAGTACATCCCCACTTTAACTAAGTTTGATCTCTTGGTCTAGCTTTGACCGTCTGTTTTCGGAATAAGCGACGCGCCTCCAGGGGCGAAGACTCTGGCGGCTGTGACGAAGAACAGTACTGAGGAGTAAATCGCGTCTCCTCACCGCTGTACAGTTATCCTTTCAGTGCCGAAGCTGTCTGCGCAGCTGTGATCACTGTGGCTGCGCCGCGCGCTGACTTTTCTCCGGTCAGACTAGGTGTGCAAACAGTGATGGACTGAACGAAGATTGTTTCTGCTGATCAGCAGATACAGAGTGTATGGGGATCATGCGGCCGATGCACATAATTGCTTTCTGGCCGCGTAGTTTCATGATTCTGTTATGGCCGTCTTTGAGCCCCAACGATCTCTGCAGACGCAAGCTCATCGTTCGAGGGGGTTCTTGCGTCAGCGCGCAGCACGATGCACTAACCCTCACTTGACTCCAAGTAGGAAGTGGTCAACAGGACGTTTCTTGGTTTGGCGATTAGCGTCTCTTTAAAGGCGGCTCAGACGCAACGCTTTCGTTTTCTTCGATTGCCTGTGATGGCATTGGGTCCTGAGCAGGCCGAAAGTCGACCCACAAAAAGCAAGAAGTCTCTCCGGAAATCTTGCTTGGTATTGTTGCTTAGTTCTGTGCTCGCCATCGGTCTTTTGCCGTCGCAAGCAGATTTCCTTCGACAATGCTCAATCGAAAAATGCACCTCTGACCGCGACCAGAGGTGCAATTCCTGCAAACTGGAAAGTCAACCGAAGTAATCGACCGTCAGGATGGTGTCTTGGATTTATGCAGCGAAGCAAGACATTCCAAATCCATCCTGTCAAGTACCTAATCACTCCCCTGGAGCTGCTGTCTAAAGATTTCTCAACGTCGTACAATCCGCGTGTCTTGCAGGTTTCAGCAATATGAAGCCTTGTGCAAAATCAAAGGACGAGAACACTTTGCAGCCTGCATACAAGCACAGCTTACGCAAGGCAAGAGAACTCAATCAGGAAGTACCCTCCTGAAGCGGATCAGGGGCTAACACGGAGTGAGTTTTGTTTTGTGTGATAGTTATGCTCGGATCTAGGTATCAGATGGGTCGAGCAAGCGGCCTCTCAACAGTTACTGTAGGGTAGCTACAATAGGCGTCGAAAGAATAAAGGAGATTATCTGCACACGGATCAAGCGTACGATTGGTATCCGAGCGACTCAAACTGTTTAGTATATGCTTTTAAATCCTCAGTCTTATCGGCCATCTTGTCGCAAGTCGCTGTCCGCCTTTGTTGTACATCTCGTTCGATCAATTGGGTACAGGCCGTGTTCAGACACCATCAAGTGCATGATCTGACATGCAGAAGGCTGTTGCACCCGTCCACATCACTGTGAAATTAACGTACGGACCATTTGAATGCGCGATCGCTCCGAAGCAGTCGTTGCAATAAGTGCGTATAAGCGCTGTTAGTAATGAGATGAATCCTCGTGCTAGCGGTAGTCCGCTTCGCCTTTCAAGGTGATCACTAAGACGTTAGCTAGACAACACATGCCGCTGCATGATTCATGCTTGTATGACTACTTCGCCTTATGGCAATCATTGTTTCTGCCGGTCCACCACATGCAGGGTGTGCTTATATAGGCATCTGGCCCATGCACTGGGATGTCGCAGTCGAGTTGAAAGAATGAACACATGAAAGGCATCTCGTGGGTGCTGAAGTATACATTTGAAAACTTGCCACAGCGGGCACGCCAGGATAGTATTGTAACTCACCATAAGCTCGCAGTGCGCCGCCGGTCGGACGGCGGCGATCGTCCAACAGCGTGTGTGTATACAGGAATATTGGGCAACAACCGGAGAGACGCGCACTCATTCCAGTCATGCATATTGATGTACAGTAGCGTGTTCAGTTCCGGAGCTAGGTCCTCAAGTTGGACTCTGTTATGTTGCAGTTTCGAGCATATGCATAAGCTAGCGCTACTAGGCTCACTGAGGCGGCATGCATTGTGTCAAACTCCATGTAAGAATCATACTATAACGCATCGTGGGAGGGTTATTGCGTCCAGCCTGCATGTGACAATTAGTATATATGGCGCATGCTCAATAAAACACGCAATATGAACGTTGATTCATGACTTCCAAGTCGAGTCCGCGCTTGTATGTACTGTACATGTGCGCAAAGGGTTGGATCATCGGATCTTCTCTTTGTACGATGTCATCGTTGCATATACACAGGAATGATCGGAAGCTGTGCCTCAATGATTTTCAACGAATGTGCCTCGATCATGCCAATGGCTTCGTCACTGGTTAGCGGCCGCCCTAAGCTTGATAAGATATCGAGCTCACAGCGGCCAGGCGTCGCAAGTTCGCATGAAGTTGAGGGTCGGATCCATACGATCATGTAGTACCTCATCGTATCGAGTCCGCCTGAGCGATTAGTACGTGAGTCAAGCTTAAAATAAATCAAAACAAGATCAGTTCTCTGAATGATATGATGCAATGAATGGATAAACGTCACGCAGTCGTGTCCTGCCAACACTACTTTCGGGTATCAGTATAGACGGCCTCTTAAATATGACTCGACGAAATTGCTAGACTCGTGTAGCGTCTGATCAATGTTCGAACCTTGGCGACGGTAACTGTCAACCTTTCAGTTACTTCGGACCTCCAGACAAGCGTAATTTACACAACGCACTAGGATCACACTCAACGAAAACCTTGGCCACAACTCACGACTCGATGTTAATTGACGCGTTCGCTTTTTGTAAGTTGCGGTCTGCAGGTCGCGGACCGCAGGTGAACCACCTTCTTCGACTTCGTAGACTTTATTGGCGACCTCAATACTCTATTCCAAGTAACACCCTTCCAATTCTTTCTCACGCACACACACCGCACATTTTCAGCCCGTTCTCGTTGCAGTCCGGACACCGGACCACGTCGTCCGGGTTGGCTCCGGACACCACCTTGCAGCTGCCGTTGCACGTGCGGCACAAGTGGAAGCGCACTCCCCCGCAGCTGCCACAGGAGTCCTGGCTTCTCCGCCGCTCAAAACCGTCCAACAGGGGAAGCAACTCCCGGCAATCGTTTAGCCTGCAACAGAAACCACAGCGAATTAGAACCTATTCTTCCTCTTCATCAACCTCTCAGAGACGACAAAAATGTGCACGATTTCTCAATCCTTCTGCGACACTTCATTCAACGAGACCTTTCTCCGATTCATAAAAAGCCAAACCCCGCACCCAAAAATCCCGGCTACATATACGGATCGAGAAAGTCCGAAAGTGGTTCTAAGGTAGCCTTCGATTGACAAGCTCTACAAAGGAATGCTGAGAGGGCTTTGCCTGAACCCACGGCGACAACAACACTTGGGTCGCTGTCAAACTGCATCAACCCCACACATCCGGATGTTGACCCAAACCATCTAAACCAGATACAAACAGCCCCTGCCAACAAGCACACTTCAATAAAAGTGGCGCTCACCTCTGAATGTCTTCAGCGCCTCCAATGTACTTCCCCCGAATGAACACCCGGGGCACCGCAACCAAGCCCCCCATCAGCGCTCGCAGCTCCTCCCGGAACTCCCCGTGCATCGAGATGTCCCGCTCGTCGATCGCGACCCCGTGCCCCAAAAACACCCCCCTCACCGCGTTGCACTCCTCAAACGTCTTCCGGACCGCCCTGACACTTGTCGTGTACACAACCACCCTGTCCAGCCCCCGGGGGGGCGCGCCTCTTGGTGAGCGGGCCGCAGGATTCGGTAAGGGGGGGAAGCCGTTTCTGGGGCTCTTCTTAGGAGAGAGGGGGGGCTTCCCGAGGGAGAGACTTGGCCGGGGGGATCCCTTTGGCGAGGGGATCGGCGAGCGGTTTGGCGAGCGGGGGGGCTTGGCCTCGGCCATCTCTAACAACTGCAACACGACGCCGCCGTCTGGCGCCCTCTGCTTTTCCGCCCCCGTCGGAGTCAGGACCTTGGTCGGCGCCTGCTGCGAAGAGCTGTTTGCATCCAGCTCCAACCGTGACAAAAAGCTCTCGACCTCGCTCATCACCTCCTCCAAGCCCCCATTGCCCATACTAGCCGTCCGGCTTACTCCCCCACTTGATTTCTTCTCTACGTCGCCCCCCGCCTGGGAGGTCTCTGCCGCACCCCCCCGGTTGCCGACCACTGCCGCCAGTCCCCGTGCGAAACTGAACGAGACCCGGTCCTCCGACTTGCGCGCCTGCCACTCTTCCTCGGTCAGGTTGTGCAGATCCTCCTCGAACGACGCCAGCATGTCGGGGTCGAACAGCGGCCCCACGTTGGAGATGGGGCTCCCGAACGCGTTTGCCTCGGCGCTAAAGTCGACGTCCGAAATGCCCCGCCGCCGCGCCCGCGCGCTGACCTGGTCGATGACCTCGCCCGAGATGCGCCGCAGCGCCGCCAGCTCATCCAAGGTCATGTTCTCCACCAGCAGCGAACCTTGCTTTTGCTCTGCCGGCGCCTCTTCCCTCTCCGTTCTGGACAGCGCGGGTTCATCGACCCCTGCCTGCAACCCTACTTCTTTCTTTCCGCCCGTCAGAGCCGCTTCTTTCTCCACCCCCGGCAAGCCTAATTCCTCCTCGCTCGCCTGCAGACCGACGTCTTTCTGGCCACCCTCTGGCTTTTTCTCCTCTCTTTCCCCCCCATTGCTGGGCGCTTTGTCATGCTCCTCCTGCTTAACCACCTCTGCTTCCGGCTCGCTGCTCAGATCCTCAACAGGCGGAATCTCTAGCGGCTTTGGTATCGGCCGCCCCCCCATTGAAGCCACTCTCTCGATCAATCGCGGCGGAGACCTCCTCTCCTCTACGGGCCAGGCAATCTTCTCAATCACCAAGTCCGGCGACCGCCCCCCTGACTCTGGACTTCTCGCAGGTGGAGTCCCGCGGGGATCCCTCTCCCCGTCCCTAGTTGTCTTCCGCTTCTCCCTCTCTGCCAGCCAGCTCGTCTTCCAAAGGTCACTCTTTTCCACCCAAGTCGTACCCCAGAGGTTCCTTTTCTCCACAACCCTAGTTGCATTGTTCTCCCCACCCCTGCTCGCCTGCAACCTCAGACTCCTCCCAGGGTCAGTTTCTGCCGCCGCGCGAGCGCCGATGTCCTCCCGCGCATGGCTCGCATCTTCCCGCACCCGGATCCTCTTCAGGCCAAGGGCCGCCCCCGAAAGCTCCCCAGATAACGCGTCCTTTTTGACCTTCTTCACAAACAATGGCCGTTCCGTCACCTCCGAATCGATGGACCCATTGATCGACAGCGCTCTCCTCCCGGAATGCATCTTCCCCTCTTCTGGGACTGTGAGGGCCGCTGCCGGCACTGGCAAAGTCAACCGCCGTCTAAGAGTTGCTGGCGAGACCAGCACCGACGGGGATAAATATTCAAGCTCGGCGAGATTCCCTGTGCTCTTGCTGACCTGCAACGAGGAGCGGCGCATTTTCTGCCCGCCCTCTGGAACCCGTGGCGGGGTCCGGGATCCAATCACAGGCGCTGTGTCCAGCCGTTGGAGAAACGCTGGAGTCTGCCTCGATGGACTCTTGGCGCTGGCCCCCTTGAAACTTCTCTCACTCTCTCCAGACATGCTGCTGAAACCGCCGTCCGAGTGACCAGGGCTCTTGATCCTGCCGCTAAACCCTCCCTCTGAGCTCTTCACCGACCTCGGTGAGCTCTGCCGAGACAAGGGCAGAACCTCTGAAAGCGGAAGCACGTCGTTTATAAATTGCTGGCCAGACTGCCCCTGCGCAAACTCCTTCCCTTTCTCAGGGTCCAAAACTTTCCTCAGAGCTGAGCGCACAATCTCAGTGATCTCCTGCCTGTCCGGCACCTGACGCGGGGGTGCATTCAGATCCGGGAAACGCCCCCCTGCAAAAGGTTTCGCCTCTGCTTCCTCATCCTCTTCCAACCCGTGCATCAGATCCCACAAGTCCACCGTCTCTGCTGACTCAACTGACATTCTCTTCCCATTCATTCTCACGCCACCATGTGGCAGCCCCCTGGGAGGGAACGGCGCAGAGTCTTTTGTCTTCTGGTCTGCCAACCTGTTCAGGTTGGATGACAGAAGCAGCGAGGGGACCGGCATTGGGGCAACCCTTGATGAATCTACAGTTTCCGCTGGCCGTGGGGATCTCTCCGCTTGGGAGGAAGCCCCCTTCTTCCATAGCTTCTTAAACATTGTGCTTGCCAGTTTTACGCAACCAAATACAGATCCTAACACGTCATTCGCGTGGACTGTCCGTCTCCTTAAACACGGGTTTCAGCCTACAAAACTGCACCAAGCTCTTCCTTCCTCCAGCTTAACGATCCAATGCCGGGCCAGCAAAGCATTCCAACAGCAGCCAGCTGACAACCACACCAAGAAAGCCCGGAAAAAGTGCCTCTCTTGGATAACGAATTCCACTTTGTTGCCCCTCCAACTCAAGCTCATGCGCGCAGCCAGCTGGTAAGGAAGAAAACTCTGCTGTGTGTCGCGTCCTGCTGCATGTCAGCGCATGTTCTGCTTCAGGAAAGCGAGCTGGACAGTGCAGACTGTGCACAGCAGACCTGTACATATTTGTTAGGGCCAGCCGCCAGGCTACCATAGGTAGGTACAGTGTTTCCCCTAATTATTTTGATTGCTGGCCGCCGGGCCGGCCGGGGCCTGAGTTTGCCGGCCCGTTGGGCCGGGCCGAGGTCGCCATTGCCGGCCCAAGTCCCACCGCAATATACGGAATTTTCGCGCGCGCACCCCATATATCAGAACTTTTACAGTATCTGCTCCGGAGTTTCGTAATCAATGATAAGTCTCTAGCTTTTTAACGTATGAAATATCGTCCAACATCCTACCTCACCTACCGAGGGGTTTATTTTGTGCTAGTTCTGGCCAGAAGTACCCGGGGGAGAGTTTTTCTTGAGACCAAAACCTTAGATTGTCATCAAATTCTTTTGTTTTTGCACTCTAAATACGATGACAGAGCCAGACATGAACTTTCATTGCCGGCCCAAGAGGCCGGCCGGTGCCCCGCAATGCCGGCCGGATGGGCCGGAGGCCGGCCCCCATTGCCGGCCCAATTTGACCATTGCCGGCCATTTTACCAGAGAGTGGGCCGGCAGGGGAAACACTGGGTAGGTACGTACTTGCGGATGAACCGGAATGGTGCAAGGTGAGATGGAGCCGCCACGGATGCTTCGACCGGGAAGCACTGCTTGACCTAAAGTACCTAGTTTGCATCCTACTAGGTAGTACCTAGATGCGCTCTGGGTGCCCCTGTGCGAGCTTCCCGGGCATTCCGAACATTTCCCCGGGGGCATTTGTAGCGCCGACTTGGGGAACGTGATGTTCACGTGGTACCTACATTAGCGGCTCCGATGGGGGCACAACGTGGCAAATTGCAGCCTCCGAAGAGTTTCTTAAACTTTCGACTCCTGGCTCAGCTTTCACACCAGTATATAGAATTCCTTGGATGTAGTAGCTTTTCAACCGTTCGATTCGCACCGTAAAGACTTTGGACGCTCGCAAGCCTGCTACGTGTAGCTAGAAGTACGTAATTATCAGGCACGTCACCGTGACGTCGCTTGGTAAAGGCCGTCTCATCAGCATCGAGTGCGGTAACTATTATTGTTGAATATGTCGCTCTAGTTTGTCTCCCAGCTCACGGCTGAAAGCTCGATGAGAAATCGAGAGTTCGGCAGGATCTGCAGAGCATTCTTCCGACTCATGTCAATGACCTTTCTGCATTCCGTCATGGGCGCCTCAGCATTATATGAAGCGCCTTAACATCCTGCCGAAACAGACAGAATCTTGCAGGGTATGTTGTGTTTGTCCAGCAATCGCATTTGATCAGAGTGCTTTTTAGAAGCTTGCAAGCCACGCATTCGATTGTGAGCTTCAATGCCAATTGCGGTCAACAGTGGCAGAAGTCAGCCGCAGAGGTTAGAAGACACGAACCCGTGCTTAATGCAGCAACAGAACAATCGAAGGCACTCTCCACCACTATGCCATCACAGCCCCCCTGCAGAGAGTGCTTGTTTGCAGCATCACCATAAGCAGCCCCCCCTGTGCAAGTAACTCGTTCTAGTAGAGAGCTGCACAGAAAGTAGACATCTCGGTATGTTCGAGCCAGAAGCTGCATAGAACATGCTAAAACAACCTGGAAGGAAGTTCTGCAGAATAGTTACTAGACCACGGGGGTGGCTTTGTATTGCAGTCACCCAAAGCTGAAGCAGTCAAATAAGTGGTGTTGTTCTCTCCATGGTGCACCAGGCTGCAGCTCACGCCTCAACTTGTTCAAATTCCTTTAGTCAGCTTTCAACAGCAGTTCCTTCATTCTTTCAAGGTTTGGGACTCCAGCAAACACCTTTTAACTTGCTTTAGACAAAGGCTGGGTCCAACATCACTATGGACCTCGCAATGGAGGACGTGAAGGTGAATGAAGAACCAGGCAACGGGTTTGCGGCTGCGTCCTTTGCGAGGGGTGCAGAGGCAAGCACCAGTGGAATGGATGATGAAGATGACCCGATCGCCAGGGAGATTGACGTTTTTGTGAAGCCCCAGCTCGATGGGACAACTCAGGTGCGCCATTGAGCGGACGATTGTTCTTCGTTTACTTCTACTTGGGGACAAGAAATAACACTTGAGCTTGACAGTGGGACGGGTTTGAGGGCGCGAACATCTTGCCACCGTCACGGACATATTGGCAAGAAGATCTGGATACGAGAAGTGCACTCCATCAACCAGTCATCAATTGCTCAACCGCAGATCATGTAGATTGCATTGCTTACCATCACGCATTTAAACCTTCCCCTGAATGCAGCTGGGGGTGACATGCACACAATGCTGTGTCACAGATTGCTCAGCGCCTTCGGCCTTCCTCTGGTGCTTGCCATCATCGGATATCTACTGAAACGTTGAAGATAGGCGGTGATTCTTTGAATCATTAGAAACGGTAGTGGAGCTTTACTGAGATTCTGAAGACTGTAACAGCCAATATACAAAGGCCACCACAAAGAGACAACATTAAAGGCATGGATTGCCAGCTACAATGAGCTCCCTCCAGCAAACCTTAGATTCAGAGGGAAGTGCTCCTTTGGATGACACTATCGCCCCGCTGCTTGAATGAAGCGCTGATGAGAGAGCTCTAGTCACCACTTGTTTGATAGTCAACGATGTTGCTTAGAGAAGGACACGACCAATGCTAACAACAGGTCCAATATGATGCATCATAAGTGAGATACCAAGAGGTCTTTAAAAGTTGCTTCAAGGATGAACAGTGTCAGAACATGAAAAGGTGCTACCCGCAACCAGTAAGGCTGCCCTGTTCCCCCTGTTCTTGCCTAAGTCACCCACTGCTTACTCTATTCATTCACAATGCCCCCTCTTCAATCTCTCCAAAGCCCGATTCAGATTTAGGAGACTTAGGTGCGCTTGATTTCACTGATCGCAGACAACAGCTCGGACTTTGCCTGTCCACTCTCCATTGGCACTGTTTCGTCATCTGCACTTCACGGCTTGACACCACAATTATTTTTAATGCAGCTGTACCTGCTGCAATACCCATTACGACCATTCTGGCGGCCATACAACCTTCAGGAGCGGTGTCAGGAGGTGAGAAACCTCACTGCACACGTATGCAATACGTTTTAAGTACAAGAAGTATACCAGGGTTGGCGTTCCAGTGCCCCATGGAAGACCCCTGATTGAGTTCGGATAGTCACCGTTTTTGGAGAGCACTTGAGATAACTCAATTGTGATTTGAAAAATGAAGCAGTGAATAACCTGAGGGCTGACTAAATTTAATTGATTGTGCTGATAGAGTGTACTAGGATCTGCTGTGTGGGTAGAGCACCCCGTATTTCGTGCTCAATGTCTGAGCTTTCGTGGTCCCCATGTCCGCACCGGTCTTGGGACGAGGTTGTTCTCTTGCAAAAGAAAGGGTGCATTCCAGGCTGACTGCTAGCAGCCTCACGTTGGTGGTCTGGTTCTGCACCAAGTTCTATCGACTTCGTGGTGTCTGAGTCGGAGAAGACGGCGTCTCGTGACCTGTCCTCGACAGCAGCCATCGACCAATTTCATAAATCTCATTGCAAAGGTAGCATGCCTTTCAAAACAATAAGTCACGGTTTCGTTTCCCTGGGTGCCAATTTCTTATCCAGGTGGACAGCGGATGCGGACGCGCTTGAAATGAAGGCCCTGGAATTAAGGTGGTGGATGCCGGAGTAACTTTAGAAGTTTATCACTTTGGCGTTTCAGATGCCTATTGTCCAGCTTCACAGTCAGGCGGAAACGATGACGTCATGTGTCTGTTTGCAGATAGAACATAGGTTTGAAACACTAATGGAGTTTGCGCTAACAGGTGCGGGTCAAGAGCCAGCAGGCCAAGGTGGAGGTCGACCTTGAGGTGGACGTACACAGCGACAACTACGACCAGAGTGCCTCCGAGGCGTTGCGGATCAAGAAGCAGGTCAGTTTGCGGAGTTCGAGATTGGTAAAAGCGCGTCATGGCCTCAAGTGAACAAAGAAAGGTTGAAGCGTGGGGCTTCAGGGAGTGTAACGAGACCTCTTGAACAGGCCTGCACTTGCCTTCGTAGGTGCCACAGGATATCCGAAAGACACAGCCCGCTCGTTTGTAGACAACTTTGGGAAGGATCAGGGGGGCCGTTTCAACGTCAAGAACGTCTGTTTCTCTGGAGAATTGAAGCAGCTTCAAGGACCTACAGTGGCAAGCCTGCTTTGTTCTGCTCCGTGTGATTGCTGTAATCTTGCGCACGAAGCGTTCGCTTCGTATACAACCACCACCGTTTGGTGGCCAAGCTGACTGAAGTGAACGAGAGGAAGGAGAACAGGGACCTCCGGCGACCTCCCTCGGAACTTTCTTATTCACATTCCCTTCGATAGATGGTCAAGATCAGGGGATCGAATCGACCTAGACTGTCGATCCTAGTTAGCAGGGGCCTCTTACGTACGCTTGGAAGTCCACGTTCTCCCTCCTACCGTTCTTACTTCATGTTATAGAGTCGCGGGTTTAGACCGCAAGTTGCTCGTTTTGGCGCCTGATTGGGGACCCCCGACTGAAATCGTTCAGAGGGGAAGCGAGCTGCAGCGGTTTTTCAGTGCGTGCTATTGTTTTGCCGTTGCTTGCAGTGCTTGCTCTTACACCTACTCCAACGCTCAAAAATACTTTCTATTGAACCTGACGAGATGTTCTGTCCGTTCGGGGTCTTGCAGACGTTGTCTTCGACGCACATGGACCTGCATGCAAACTATGCCATTGGTTTACTGAGAGGAAATCAGGTGACTTTCAATCTATGACGGTTACTTTGTTTCTCAAAAGCAAGTGGACAGGGAACAGCACGCTCTTGCAACACATTGACACACTCAACTCATTTTCAAAGCTGTTGGTGAGTTTGGAATATGCGGAGTTGCTCCATCTTTTAGTCCGGCTCGATTCTTGTTTGCAACAGCAGTCTCGACACTTAGAGATCTATTAATATCATGCATCCAGTAATTTCGCTGGGCTTTTCCTGTGAGACATGCCCGGCTTCAGGTTTCCTCTCGTTCACCGGATCTTTCTTACGTATCTTTCTCTCAAACCCGCCACCGTTCAGCTGAAGCTCGACATATTGACAGCCTCCAAATTTCATTCTCTCATCGTCGTTCTCGTGGTAGTGACGGTTTCTGTTCTGCTGTTGTCACTCCTGACTCTCCTCATGGCGATCTCCCTTGCCTTCAAAGATATTGCTTAAGCACAGCTCCCTTTGAGGCCGCTGCACGATTTCGTCCACCTCAAGCCCCCGCTCCGCTGTCTAGACGCAGCAGATTGCCTTTCACGAAAAGCGTCCACTACTCTCCCCAGACCAAGTTTCTGCGTCTCCCTCAACTTGTCACGTCAACGTATGCCAATTCGCTTATCCGCAGCTCCACTTGAGCCGCGTCCATCTCAGGACCTCGCTGCGGTTTTGAAATGCGGCAAAGCGTTTCTAAAAACGAATCGTCCGCTACCCGTTCCAGAGACTAAGTCCTCGCCTCTTTTTTAGATTCGTCTTAACTCAAGCCATCGCTTGTTTGCAGCTCCACCTGAGCCCGCTGCACGCCGCCGTCCAACTCAAGCCCTTGCTGCGGTATCTGAATAATCGATGGACTTCACATCATATATCTATCGACTCAGCTCTGCGCATATTCTCAGGTTCCTGATAACATACTTTTGCACCTTTTTAACAGCTCCATTTGAGCCCCCTGCACGCCGCCGTCCAGCTGAAGCCCTCGCTGCGGTATCTAGACGCGGCTGACGAGGCGCGCAAGAAAGAGGCGGCGGCCGATGCGGCTGCGGCAGAGGACGGGGACCGGATGGAGGAGGACGAAGGGCAGCCGGATATGATGCCCGTGCAGGTGAGCTTTAACCGTTTCGAAGTCCTTCGATTGCTATATCTCCAGCTTATGGCGCAAGTGACTTCCAACTATTGCGCAAGTGAGAGGCACCATTCTGGCCAGCCGGCGTTCTTCTTGGAAGCTTTCAAGAAGGCACGTGTTCCAGGTTGGCGTGCAAGATCTTTGTCGGTGAGTCTGCGGGTTCGTATCGACGGAAGCTGACGTGGCGCGTCTTCAAAGGATCGGAGGGTTGTCAGTTGAGAGTCCCACGATCTCAGGACGATCAAATCACGAGATCAAACGTTCGGGACCGTCGAGGACGACATGTTTTTGGCTTGAAAGCCGCTAATCAGACCACAAATGCTGTAATTCCAGTTGCCCGGACCTGGCCAGGGTCGTGGCATGAAAATTTCAGGTATAGCAAGTTTTGGATCAAGTAGAAGGCCGGAAGCCGTCCAACTTCAGAGATTCAGTACGGTATGGGGCGAGAGACTTCCGAGTCTTTTCGGGACTCCGGAAGAAAAGCTCGACAACTATCCCCGACCCCAGACGTATTAGCGAATCTCGAGGTTCTGTATTTGAAAGGTTCGGCGGGTTGGAACTCCCGGACTGCTCGACTTTTCTGTATGGTTGCTTGCTCCGTACAGTGCTCTTGTTTCCGCCAGCAAGCTCTTCTTCGGATATAGCAGATGCACGCCGTCCTGATCAACTTAGCGAGGGCAGACATCTGTTTCGGAGTACAGAGCACTGCTTACCTCCGCAGGGTTCTTCCTCATATGCCCGCAGTTCCCAATCTAAATTGGATCAGGCTCTTTTTGAGCAACGAATAGGCGCAGTCCTCTTTTTACCAGCCCCACAGACCAGCGCCAGACAATTTCAGAAAGCACGTAGGCGGTCCTTCCTGAAAGTGTAGCACGAGGCGATCATCACTGGCGTTGCGAAAGGTCTCACGTAATCCTTCCTTGACAACGCTATGCCTGTGCCATCTCGCTTGCACACGTCAGAAGTCTGAGGTTGTTCCCGCCCGTTCAGGTGCAAATCCGGCGGCGAGAAACGGAGCGTCAGGAGGAGAACCGGCTGTCGTCGTACGCGTACTTGAAGCAGAAAGACGAGTCAGAGGTGAGTCCTGAGCTTGCCACGTGGCCTCGCTTGTGCTTTCCACGGGCAGCATGTCCTTTTTCTCTCTGAAGCAGACCAAGAGTTTGGCAGTACTTGCGGTGGAGCTTTCTCAGAAATCAAATGCCCATTGCTAATTGGATCAGACTGATCTTCATTCGTGTCCGTTGAGCTTCTACAATTTGCGATTGCCTCTCCGAGAGTTGGTGTAGCTCTTTCAATCCTCACGTCTCCACATCCTCGCCCTGGTGTCCAACGACCTTGCTATACGTCTCTTGGTTCCGGTTATGACAAAGCCAATCGTAAAGCTGTACCTTGAACGTCTCGACCTCCTTTCAAACTTCCTAAGAGAAGGTTTGGATACAAGACTACCCGTATCTTCAAATATCTGAGCCCAGAAATCCTTCGTTGGGAATTCATTTTAACTCAGAGTTGGGCCGCATGAGGAACAAGCTCTTACTCTAACCCTGAAATGCTAACCCATATATTTACTTGCTCCATTGTTGTACCACCTAGTAACCACAGACTAATCCCACCCGTCCCAGGTTGGCGATGCTACTGCTCCTAATTGCTTGTTTTTGATATTGAGGTATTAAGTAAGAAACCAAAACCTCTAGTCTTTTTATGTGTCCAGGAGTGGGTTCCCCTGCGGCCGTACCTTGCAACAAGTGTGGAGGCCCACCGTGTCCGAGACAAGATGCTCGCCTCCAGCGACCAGCGAATAACATTCGACCAGCCGCCGTAAGTCTCCTTTTTGCCAGAATAGCAGACACGCTGAAAAACGAGTCCTGCTTGTTTTTCTTGACCCTGACTGCTCTTACAGACCGGATACGACAACCTCTCGGTGGCCACACAGGACGCTCTTCTTGTGACTCGTTTCCTGGTTTGCAAGGCGCACCCCGCAACTTTTTGTGTACTCATCTGACGGTTTGGAGGGCGAGGTTTGGACCACAGGCGAGCTCCTTAGCTCTCAGAGTTGACTGAGCAAACTGACTTCCTACGGGGCTCGGATCTGTCAATCAGTAATTTCGCCCATCTTGAACGCACCAAATGAGCCGGTAGAGCTTACGGGGGTACGACTTTCGAAAAGCGGCCGATTTGGACGCGACTTTTGCCAGTTGCGGTGGCGCGATTGACTTCCAGGCTACTTTTGTCGCACATCATGACCGTCATCTAGTCCCTAATGGTGTTGGTCAAAGCGGCCCAGATGGGGTCCATCTTCCCCGGCGAAGGAACTCTACGTGCGGGCGCTTTTCTCTGATTTTCTCATCGGACGCTTCCAACTCTGGCAGGGAGAAGTACATTGCTGACGTCACCCCTGGGCGGTCGCTGGCGGCGCCGGCGTCATACCATCCCGAGGACGGCCTGGAGACCGACGAGCTGTCGAGAAGGTGCGATAACAAACCCTGTCTCTCCTGACTAACTAACTAACCAACTGACTATCTAAATAACTAATTATTTTAGCATCCCAAGAGTTTTTTGGTGTATTGTCCAGCTTCTCGTCATCGCCTGTTCGCGTCCCCAATTTTTCTTTCGGTTGAAAGCCCCGAAAATACGGATCGCTCGTGAGATCTCTTTCTGAAGTGTGCATGAACTCCTCAATTACGAAGTTTCTGCGTATACGGGACATGCACGTCTCACAACGAAGCATCCTACCATTACTGGCACTCATTGTCGATCAGAATGTACGTAAGATGCAGCAGCACTTGATATATGTGCCGCAGAACGGTAAACATTTCTTCCATTCCTGCTCTTTCCACTGACTTTTACTCTTCGATTTGCAGTCAGCTGGAGGCGCTGAATCTGAGCGACCGATTCAAGCTGCTGTTGACAAAGGTAAGAACACATGCATGCCCGCATCCGGACTCGTTCACGGTTGAGTATCCAACCCTATCAGGATTCCGAAGGAGCCGGTAAAATCCCGAGCCGCCGTTACATTCTGCGTAATTTCTCTGGCTGTCGCGTGAGCTCGACCGCTTGCCTGGTCAACCAAGGCTCCTGTTAAGCAAGCCTTCCCACCTGATAATGCTGGTAACCCCCGGGTTTCTGCAGATTACAAAATCTCGACCGCTCCTTCTCTCTTCCGCAGGGCGCGATTCAGGTGCTCCAGTTCGACCGCCTGCTGAAGCTCGCGCCCTCGGACTCGACGGAGGCGGAGGTGCTCACAGTGCTCAAGAACCACGCCATGCTCGTGCAGGGCTGCTGGGTGCGTGTTAAAACCAATGGTCATCCTTCTACTATCTCGCGAACCTCAAATGGTCATCCTTCTACTATCCTGCGTACCTCAAATGGTCATCCTTCTACTATCCTGCGTACCTCAAATGGTCATCCTTCTATTCTTCTGTGTTACCTCCGAGCGTCGGGGGCCGTCGGATTTGATCAGGTCATTGGCTGCGTCCGGTTACGGAGGCTCTGAGAACTGCGTCCGTTCAGGTTGCCGGCTGCGCCCCGACCCTGGAGTGCTGTCCTCGCTTAGAATTTTGTCTTCCAGATTAACGTAGATCGAACGGTCTCTTCCAGATGAAACGAAGATCGAACGGTCGGAATCCCAAGGGGTTTGTTACTTTTAGCTTTTCTAATCCTTCTTTTCAGGTCGTGCAAACCCCTTTGGCGGGGCCTCCTATAGACTTGTCCATCATTTGATTCTTACACTTGTATCCTTACCAAGTTCGATCCTCCTGTTTTCGAATCTCAACTTTCCTCACTCTTTCGCGGTGCGTCCTTCAGGTGGCGGGCAGTCATTTGCGCTACAAGAACATCCCCGTGGTGAGCGGCCAGCAGGCGGTCGAGAAGAACGCGCTGTCCCTGGTTCGGGACTTCTTCCTCCTGCTCTTTACCAAACAGTAAGGTCCCAGCTGACAGTACGGCATTTGTGTGCCCGTTTTATATGGATGTCCGGTCTCGAAGCTGATGACGAGGTTGGAAGGGGGGCATCTCTGTTGTTTCTTTGTCGCAGTAAGCGTAGGCCATGCATGGACAAAGCTGCTTACACGGTGCGAAGACCCTCACAATTAAGTCGTCCGAAACCGAAACCGTTAGATTTGTGACGCCGCCGGAGATTGCGGCTGACCCCGACGCCCACCTCAAGTGGACGGGGAGAATTGACCAGAGAAGTTAACGTTTCTTACATAGTCTCGTGGCTAGCGACCTGGATAATCCGTGTTTCGGCGTTGAGAGCGCAGGATACGTTTTTGCGTGCATAGCAAAACCTGGCACTCTGTGGATTGCTTAAGGTCGAATGAGCAGTTACGTGCAGACTGGCCTCACTCTCAGGGCTTTCATAGCCCGCAGTAATAAGTGATTGCTGCCCCTGTTGTTCTTGGCAGTCGTTTCATCAAGCGGGACGAAATCGACAGCCTGCGCATTCCAAAGGTGAGAAGATGGAAGAAATGTTGATTTGGGCGTCGCTTCCTTTCCAGAATGGGTTAATTGAAGTATGGCGGGCAGACTTCTCGTTCGTTTTTTCCAGATGGAAAGGCGGCGTCTTTATTGCAGCGCGTGTTTCTTCCTTGGACTCTACCGAGAGGTATCGACCCGCGATAAGAGATCATGTGCACATGGCTTGCAGTGCTGATGTCAGCACGTTGACCTTTTCTTTACGGAGGGTGAGGAAATGCTGCGGTCTGATCGGCGAGGCCTGTTTCCTGCGCAGAGCATGGTGAAAGAAATCATGGCCGGTATCGCCACGCAAAGGATGTCACCTCCAGGATGGGACTTCATCGAACCTACGGACCGCATCTTCATGAAGGTGCGTCCACCTACCTGGAAACCTTGACCTGGCTCTTTTTACAGAATGACTGGAAGGAACGGCCGTGCTCCCCAATCCTCCGAAATATTGAAAACATTCTTGACCCTGGCTTCAGAAGTTTTGGGCACAGGACCCTAACGTCTGCAGCCAAGTGTATGCGCTTGGCATGTGCTCGTACCTCTTTCAAAGTATGCCTTCCGTGCGCTTTGTTGGAACACAATGTCTCTTAAGTTGCCCAAAAGTCGCCGGTTTGCGTAGCTCTCCGCTCGAGGACTACGCAAACGGCTTTAAAACCAGGGCGTTTTCTCTTCTTACGCATTAAGTACATCACGTGCGATTTGGAACGCGTCTTGCCGAAAGCTTCAACACATCCGCTTCCGCTTCTTACACGGTGCTCTTTGGCCTAGCAAAGCAAGTTTTGTTTTACCAATAAAGAGCCATCTGCCTCCTGAAGATACCATAGTGCTTCTTAACCGTCCGCTAAGCCCAGCTTGTGCCACTTCGATCTTCTGGTTGCCATGTTAAGTGACAGCACGGGCACGACGTCGTCTCTGGCTACAGAACCCAAAAAGTCGTTCCCTTCTTGCTTACAAAGAAGCACGTGAAAAAGTGGTGGATGGCCAAGCGGAGCAATGGGGCGTAGGAGTCGCATATTTCTTTCACGTTCTCGCCGTCCTTTAGAAGGAGTATTACGAAGTATGGAGCCGTCGAAACTAGATATCCGAAGACGAGATTCGTTAAATCCTGCAGAAACACAAGGAGGTGGTGGAGGACCAGGTGAAGCGGTGGGCGACCGCCGAGGAAGTCATCCGCACCATGGTCGCCGAGCTCGACCTCCCTGACGTCACCGTCCCGGAAGACAACGTCAGCTCGCCCGGGCCGCGCGCGCTCGCGCTCCTCCCGGCGCCCAAGCACGAGCACGAGGCCAACTACGGGTTAGGCGCTAACCCGCGCGAGTTGGACGGGCCGGAAACCAAGGTCGCGCACAAGGGGACCATGTCGCAGCAAACCAGGGTTAACTTGATCCAGGTTTTGCGGGACATCTTCGGGAAGCACGGGGTGTGCAGCCTAGAGTTTTTGCGCAGCTGTTTGGTGGAGGTCGCGAAGGGGGGGGGCGTGCCGGGGAAGAAGCTGAGCGAGGGGGAGAAGCAAAGGGTGGCGGCCGCGGGACAGGCCGTGGCTGCGCCCCCACAGGAATTGGTAAGACAGTGCTGCAAATCGCGAAGGACAATGATTGAACCAAAGAAACGTTTTATCAGCAGTTCTCACGTGACAGAAAAAGGTGCCTTGGTCTTTGTTGGATCGCGAACGATGTCAACTTTTGAACCCCCTTTCCAGTTAGAGGAGGTCAGAGCGCTTACCTAAATTACAAACCCCATGGCCTCGATGTCCGCTCCTGCCCCTGATCCAGAGGATTCTCTCAACCCGCTGTTGGCAGTGTGTGCACACAGTAAAGTTGCTTTTTTTCAGCAGCCTCATTTTGTTGGTTAGTCTTTTTTAATTGGCAACGACGACGACGTCTTTTTGCTTCTTTTCTGAGTTCTAGCTTTCTGGAGCACTTCTCGAAGCAACAGTTGTTTCGCTTCTGACGAGTCGTCGGTCTCTTTGGAGCAGCATGGATATGCATTCTCGCATTGCAAGGTGGCCTTTTCGGGCGACCAATCTTTTCGCCAGCGAGGTCTTTGGTCCCCAAACGAAAAGTCAGAAGGCGTCTTCCAATCGAAGAGCACATCAGCGGTGAGGAAAGGCGACTATCACACATAGTATTTGAAGCCCGTCTGTGTTGCTCCCCCGCTTTCCCGCAGGCGCTTGTCGTGGGCCTCGTGGCACGCCAGATCCAGGGCGTCTACGTGCTGACGTCACTGGGCAAGGCCGAGGTGGACCCCTTCCGGAATGTCGTCATCCAAGCGCTGATCGCCCGTCCGACGCTGCGCAAGGGCGACGTGCTCGAGGCAGCGAAGCTCGCGCTGAAGTGCGACGTTCCGCAAACGGTGTACACTCGTGTGCTCAAAGAGCTGTGCATGTCCCGAGGGGGAGTGTGGGTGCTGCGCCCGGGGGACGGAACGTAGGCAGAGCAGGGTGCTCGAGTCGCACTTTTGGGGGGGTTTCCATGATATCCTGTTTTTGGAGGATTGGTTGCTGGTATCGTCCTTGAACCAAGGGCTGTTAATCTTGCGTGGGCTATGCTGATTGGTGGAGGAGGACGCAGAGATGCTCAGGAAGTCTCGTTTATGATCAATAAGCAGACTGATTTGAAAGTGACTTGACGGAAAACACGCTATAGCTTGCTCACTTCTTTGTACAAATATGCGGAATCTGCGCCCACAATCTGGAAGCATGCATGCGGTGGCACACGTAGCTCCTAAGCTGCGTGCGGTGCAGACAGTCATGCATATTTTTGATCGGACTCAATTTGAACTTATATGTTGACAGCACTTAATGTGAGGGTTGCGTCTGTCTCCAAATTTTTACATGTAGTATAGCTACGGTATTGCATAGTGACTTAAGCTTCATGGTAGCCACGAGCCTGAAGATCATGCGATTAGTAGATTCGACCAGTGCACCGAACTTGGATCATTCTATGGCGTATTTCGCTACGGCGAGGATGACCCACAAGAGACCATTATCCGTGCATTGCCCAAACACATGGCCTGGAACATGTGAAGGGGGCCCAATTTAATCAAAAGCACGCACGCCGGATCGTGCATGACTTATCTGTATTTAGAACCGCGTGATGTTGAAAGCAAACCTCTCTGTCCAAAATCAATCACTCCTCGGGTATGTGTGTGTCATGTAGAGCCAAGCCGATGGCCGTTGCAATGATGTGGCTTTGACGTGCTTCAGTAGTGTGAAAAGGCAAACCAACACACTATCCACGTGACTGGTGGCGGCATGCAGTGGCTTTCTTCACCTGTCCATGCAGTCTCGTGCCAATGAGCTAGCTCGAGCCGATTTTTGGAAAAGTACCGACACTCGCTTTCTGGCTTTGACTGGCAGGCAACAAACGTATCACATTTTCTCTTTTTGAACGGCATGCATCGAACATAATCACACTGAAGAAGACGAAAGTCAGAACGACTCAGCGTTGGTGGAAATCTCCCTTGCAACCTGGAAAACGCGGAAGGAAGAGCTTTCAGTAGGCTAGAAAGCTCGCGGCGAAATCGAAATATCACACTGACCAAAGTCACGACAAAATCAGTACAGAGCAAGCAATAGCGAGGGAAAGGATGTTCGGCAAGCTCTTAATTCTGACCGAAAACGCTGACGAGGCTTACGCTTCGAGTACGCTCCGCAATCCTTGTTCGCTCTCAAATACAAAATCAGCAAGCTCTCCATCCATACCAGACGGCCGGAAAAAAGTGAGAGAAGAGAAAAGACCATAACAATTGATAATTGCTCGTTATGCGGCGACGTCCTTCAGGATTCTGGAACCTTACCCTTAGCCCCAGCTCGACGTATCGTCTTGACTCAACGTCTTCGTGCGCCCCTGACATCGATGGCAGTGTCAGCATGGTTTTGATAACCGCAGGTACTTCCCGCTCCCGTCCCCTTCCCTAAAAGAAGAAATGAACAATTTGGCCCGATGACATTTCGGCCAAGAAGTGGGTTGTCGCGCGGCTTTCGGCTGAAATGTCTTCAAAGAGTGACTTGAAAAGCACAGTTTTCCCTTGGTCAAGAAAACCCGAGAGGTCCGGACGCGCCGCTCGGCGTGCTCAAACTGGCCTTTTGTCCGATATTCCCTTTTTGCGTGCGAAAGAAACCAGCTGTGGGCAGCCGGAACGGCAAGAGCAGGACCTTGTGTGCAATGGACGTTGCTTCCTTACGTGGCAGATCGCCTTGGTTTCGTAGAAGGAACCGTGGAAGGCAGTCCAAAATATCGACTCGGGATTGGCTAATCCAGCGAACCAAAAGGCGTCGCCTTGGCCCTTTTATCACATCAAAAAACCTGCCGGACAATCTGGGCTTTCCTGAGATAGATACGAGCGACTGAAAAGCATTCGAGTTTTTGCGTCCCTTGAGCACGCAAACGAATCTCCACTTGCGACACCAGTACTCAGATGAGGACTCCAAAGACTCTCGAAGCGGAAGGCCGAACGGACTGCATTCCTCGCAAGCTCACGCTTCTCATTTCAATCTTTGACGTCTTTTGGCTTTGATCCCGCTCCCGTTTGGGCCCTTCAAACGCTCAAGCTGCAGTCATTCCCGATTTCCGGAGAACCTTTTCGAAGTTCTTCGTTCCATTTTCCGCAAGGTGTCGAGCAGCTGAGCGGCTTTAAAACCTCAAACCCAATTGATTCCTTACCATCAAAGATCCAAACTGGAAACCGGAGGCAACCTGACATTACTCGTAACTCTGACAACTGAATCCACCAATATGGACTTTCAATTTCATGCAGGAAGTCAAGTCGGCCGCTCACCATCTCGACAAGATTGAGCGCTAACACCGCGTAAGCCTCCGGCCGCGTGCCGTCTAGCTCAACTGCTCGCCGCAGGTACCTGGAAGAAGAGGTCCCAGCTCAGATCCGTTTCGACAGGTGGCGATTTGGCAGCCCGACTTTCAATGTCGACGGATACGCTGACGATCGCCCTGTAAATCGTTGACGTTCACCGTTGTTCAAACTGGGTCCGAGACAGATGTGACTAAGAAAGCCGTGCCGAGCCTCAGGACTCCGCAGATGCTCGATCCGGGCCTTGCTCAAGGCTGTCAGTTTCGAACGCAAGGAAAGTTGTCGAATTGACTTGACGCGACTATGGCAGTCACAAGCGAATCAGAAATCTTCGCACCTTGAACTAGACGAGGGCATGCTTTCTGCCTAACTTTCAACCATAAGAAAGTTGACCAGAGCTTCGCACACGCTCAGGAATGAATCAACGGTGCTTGTAAACAAGAAGCGCAATCGAATCTTGCTATGAGCAAGAGATGAAAAAAATATGAGATCGAGAGGTGAGGAGAACCGACCGTTCCGCATCTTCGAGAAGGCACTTTCGCCCCGCACGGCCCCGCAGCTGCCCCGTCGGCGCAGCGTACGTGCCGGCTTCTCCGCACCGCAACAGGTACTCGTAGCGGCCCGTGCGCATGAGGCTCAGGCGAGCGTACAGGACGTGAGCCGACTGCCAGGCTTCGCCTGCGCGTCAGAAAGTGGACTCTGGTATTTACGTTGCCAGGGACGTTTTGTCAACTGTTCTTGTGGACAGCTTGAATTCGCCAGGCTGTTCGCTGATTTTGCCGCGGCCTGCAAGTTCCGGCGTCGAATGACCACACTGGGTAACACTGTGCGGAACTGATCCATGTTGAATAAACGGCTCCCATCAGTCGAGTGTTACGTTCGTCTTCCATTGAATGAGGGTGACTCAGGCAGTTGGGCTGATACAGTTCGGTCAATGTCCACTTTCTCCAATGATCTCGATTCGACTCCGCTATGTTCCTCGAATCTAAGTATCGGCAAAAAGTCCCTGAGGAAAGTTTCTCAGGGTGCAGACAAGGCCGAGTATCCATTGAAGTAAGATTGGACAGGGGAAGAAAGCAAGTTGAATACCCTTCGAAAGAGCAACCTCATTTGGGGTCTCGTCGCACCTCAGCACGCCCCTAAGCACCGCCTTACGGAGTTGTGTCCTTTCGTTTCCAAAAAGGGGTCCCGAATTCGAAATGGCATCGATGCTTTCAAAGACGTGTCCACTGAACTTCGTGATGAGGGTACCAAGGGGCCGAGGTTTTTTAAGATTGTCAATCAAGCGTGGTGATTCTCAAAAATCATGAAGGGGCAGAATCCAACCGAAGTCTGGGAAACATCGCCTTGCAAGAAGCATCGGGGTTCTGAAGTAGGGAAGAATATGAACTCTGACAAGGACACAAAGGCATGGGTGCAACGACCCACTCTGAAACGCTTCTCCAGCGACTTTGTGCAGCTCGTCCGCATCGAGCTCTTCCCCCTGCTGGCACCTCTCCGCCCAAGACTCGAAGCGGTTCAGTTTTGATATAGATTCAGCCGCAATGTCGTTTTCAGGTTGACCGGGAAGGACTGCGCTGCAGTTCCATCTTGAATCATACTTTACAAAGCTTGTTGTTAGGCCATTGCCTTCCCTGAAAGAGCCTAGACGTGGTCTGACTGTCGGGTCTCCATTAAGCAAGCGCTTGTGATGCAGATCCAGTAATGCTAATGTTTGTGGAAGTGTTTCTGGTTGCCGACCTCTTTGACTGTACAGATTGTGTACGCTGATTTCTACGATTTGACGAGCCCCATGACTGACACAGCCTGTATGCATCCTAACAAGACAGATTGCCACCAATGATCAGCTGCTTATGTAATCAGCACAAGCAGATTGTTGAAAAGGCAATCATATGGTACTTTTTCAACCACCGTCAGATTCCTCTGCCGCAGTGATATTGCTTTTTGAATTGAAGTTCCAGTTCAGGCATCAGGCTTCTCAAAGCGACTGGGGTCACGTGCGAAGAGCTCGGACAAATGTTTTGCCTGCGCGAAAAGAGAGAAAACACTTGGAAAAGCTGCAGCAACACAATGATTACAGCGTGACATGTTCTGCCAGCTGAGAGCACCTTGGCACTTCCTGGCTGACATATCCATACCTTTTGGGTGCCTGCGACCTTTGCACCTCTCTATGCTTCAGTATATTTTGTCTTTGGAAGTGAAAGATCCGCAACAGGGATTTGACTGCCCCCCAAAGGTAGATTCAGTCTTACATTCCTGATTGCCCAGGCACTAGTACAGCAGCAATCAAAACTGATTGGCTGTAAGTGGGAGAGACAAACCTGTATCTGTACATTATCTAGCTGCAGGTCAGCAAATTGGAGCAGCCCCCGGATCCTTGATGGGTCAGTTTCGTGCCTGTTCTCCTCAAACTCAAACCGTGATTTCTTCCTGCAAGAATATGGGGAAATGCTGGTTTGCGGAGAGTTCGTGCCCCCAATCCTCTCCCTCGCTCTTTCGCTCCAACGTCACTTGAAGGGAGCTCGACAACAAATCAAGGCTCTTGGACACAGCGCAAGTGAGAAAGTATTACTTGCCCCCCACACACCAGAAACTTCCATTGCGACCCTTGCTTTTGACAATTGTGCAGCCCCTTCCAATCAAAGCCTCTCCAGTCTGATGCAGACTGAAGGTCTTACCTGATGTAGTCCCTCCGATTGGCTGTCGGCATTGATTTGGCTGCCTGCATCTCAGCAACAGGGCAAACCTGTCAACACTGTGTTGCTCTTAAAGCAGAGTCCCTCACAGCCAACATAAACTGCGGCCCAAGTTAGATTCTGTCCACATATAATGTTTGCTTTCTCGAGTCGTGTCACCAATACAGCCTCCCGCAAAGATTGTTCATTTTGCTCAAATATCATTCAGGTCCTGCTGGTGCAGCGGGAAAACACTCACCCGATAGAAAGCCCTGTAAAGTGCCAGGGCTCTACTTCGATTGTCCATCAGTTGGCCCCAACAGCACCTGCTATAGCTTCAGGAAGAAACTTTGATAAGCGGCCATCAGATTGCCCTCAAAATGATGGTGGTGGTTGGTGGTGGTGGTGTATATGGTATGAAGATGTCCCCAAAACTTTGGCAACATTCAACATCAAAACCCTAAATTCACCCAGTAAACCCTATCGCTAAGCTCAACCCATGGATTCTAAAACTTCAAAGCTGAGGCCCCAATGGCAAAAGGCGAAGGCTTTGCAATTGGCAGGTTGCTGCACATTCGGGTGGACGCTTCTCCTCTGTAATAACACTAGGCTGTAGCCTGAGAAAGATGCGGTGTTACGAGCTGAAGTAGATCGCTGAGTAGCCTCGGTGGCAGCGATCAGAGAAGGTGCAATTCCCCTGCAATCGGAGATTAATCTCTTCTGCTGAAAGGAAACAATGACAAACGCTGCAGAGTAGCACAAAGCAGGACGACAGACAGTCCTTTCTCCTGCCACTCTCTGAGCACCTGGTGCCAGTCTGCAGCAGGCTCCGATGGATTGATCAGCTCGGACCGAAGCATGAGCACCCTGCTTGCGGTTGATCAGGTATGTTCGTTGAACAGTCAGCAGCCCGCACCCCGCACTAAAAAAGTCAATCATCATAATGAAGCGCAGCGCCTTCCTCCAGATCCGTGCAACTCGAATTGTGGCTTCCTGTGTGCCTCCCTGGGGAAGCTTGAGCTAAAAATGTCTCTGTTGAGCTGGCATAGATTCACACGAGCTGGTCCAACAATGTATTGAAAAAATTTGTGTACTTGGTTACACAACTTTCAAATCTATGTGAAGCCCCTTTCAACAGGTGGGACTCAAGAGCTTAGACATCTTACCGGCCTCAAAGAACCCTCTGAGCAGCGTAAGTATCCCAAGTTCCTGCTGTGAAGTTTGCAAACCAGTTTGTCTTGGATCACGAGACTTCTGCTATGAAATGGAATGAAGGGCCACCTTGCTTCATTGACATGCCCCCATGATCCAGGGCCAATTGACAACTCTGTTCTTGCTGATGGTTTATGGGACTGCAGTGAGTCTTAATTTGCTCTGCCCAAGGATTTCTCTTGCGAAGAACTTTGCAGCGGCAAGGCAGGCGGTTGGCAGGTTGACCAGATCCCAAGTGTACTGAAGAAAAGAGTTTGTTTTCACATTCCTTGTGTTCCACAGCCTCTTTCACTAAGAAGGCATGGCATGACTGACTTCTCAAGTTCCATAAGTACCCGTAGACAGCCTTTACTCTGCTGCAGGGCATGCATACAGGGGAGCTCCATGGCGTCAAGTCCCATCCAGATCTTGGAGATTTGCACCACTTCAGCGCCCCAAGCGGGGAGCTTGGCAGGCTCTTAAAACCAGTGCTTTGGATCTGGGGCGGGTCGAAGCACTCTGGAGTGGCGTGCATGGCTCTGTCCAGCCTGGCTTACAGTGTCATGGGCCTGGCGGTCAAACTTTTAGCAGGTGGGGCGGGACCTTCCTCTTCTGCTCTTCTTTGACTGAGATTCCGTTCCTTTAATCGCCAAAATCCGTGTTTTGTCAGATTGTTTGAGGTTGAGTTCGTTGGTCAGATGTTTGCGTCCTTGCAGGTCAAAAGCTAAGCAAGTAAAGTTGCACTGGCTTTGAGAGGTTGAGATGCAGAATCTGAAGCTTGGTTTTGGGATATCCATTGAGTTGGTTCAGACTTCCTTCTATTGAGGGACGTCGTACAGACAATCCGTAACAATGTCATGTATCCATGCGTATGCGCCCTTTTTGTAGGCAGAGACTCAAGCACGCATCTGAATCTTCATGACGAACTCTCAGCTTTTTTCTGCAGGGGCCAAAATACCATCTTCCGAAACTGTCCTGGTCCGATGTGCAATCATTGCGCTCTTGTCAGGCTACGGGCTTCAGAAACAGAAGCACCCCCTGTTAGGCTCACCAGGGGTTCGACACCTGGTCCTAGCAAGGGCGATCATTGGCTTCTTCGCACTGTCCGCGTTCTTTTATAGGTCAGTGCCCTCAAAGCTGGTTTTCGTTGTTGGCATCAATCGCTGGCTTTTGTATGCACAGATTGTCCGACCCGTTCCGCTTGTCCTCCCCTCTGGTGGCCTTACTGCATAGAGAAGCTTATCTTAGCTAGAGGAGCAGTTGCTTCGCCAATTTGGCAAAAGCATCGACTTTCATTCCTTCTGTCATCCATTCGTTTTGATCCGTTCGCCGAAAGCCCCCGCATGCTAGTGTACTTGGATGCTTGGAAGGTGGAAGGATTTTAATCAATGGTCGAAGACTTCGCATCAAATATGTAAGCATTTTCCTAAGATGTACACGCACCGGACTGGACATAGTGGACCGCAGACAAGATCATATTGTTTCATATTTCGCACCTCTCTTCACGCAGTATACAGGCCCTTCCGCTGCGCGACGCCACGGTGCTTAATTTCACGATGCCCGTAATGACGGCCATGATGGCTGCGGTCTTTCTGGGGGAGGCTTGGGGGAGCAGGGAGGTAGCGGGTAAGCTATGCGCACACTCATAAGCGTTGAGTCGTGGGATGTAAGCGAACAAGCACAGAGAAAGTTACGCTTGGTTTGCAACTTCCTCTTCAGGAAGCAAGAAGATTGAAACTGGATCAGGAAGTCTTCTGATTGGCGGCTCGTTTCGTGAACGATCTCAAGAAGATTGCGGTTGCCGACAGGGGAACCTTTTGATCATATGGCTGTGCTTGAGACGTCGAAGGATTGCAGGTACGATATGCAGCCTGGTGGGAGTACTGCTGGTGACGCAGCCAGACATTCTGTTTGGGAGTGAGTTACAACGCTTTCAATTTGACGTTCTAATTTTTGCATCTGTTTTCTTAGATCAATGGGACGCAGTCTTCGAATTATTGACTCTTACGAGAGTCCGGAACTCGCATCTCGCAACCTGCATAAAGGGAGGATCACGAGACATGACAGTTGCGTGGAGTGAGGGTTGAGGGGTTGCGTTGGACAATGACACTTCGAAAAGCGTTTCTTCGATCCAGTGTTGGAAAGTGACGTCAGATTTGGACCAATACTTGCGGGCCAAAGAGGATTCATCGATCAGAAGGACTGAATCGTGCACTTGCAACTGTAGTTCACGGTCAATAAAATGGATCGAAATTGAGATCAACAACAGTGCAGCCACCGTTCTTCAACACCGCTATCAATTCACTGCATTGTCTACCATCCGCACAGAACCGAAACTCTTACAAGGTGCGAACGAACGGAAGGGCAGCGAGGAGACGCTGGGGGTGTTTATGGCGATCGGGGGGTCTGCTTTGGGGGCAGCCTCGTACATCGTCTTGAGAGTCGTAGGGAAGACCGGAGAACCCCCGCTGTGAGGCCCCTCGACCTTTTGAAGAGCAGAAAACCACGAAGCCCTAAAACCTTCCGTTCCGAGAGTCCTAAGATTCTACGCATTTAAACTCTCGAACTGCGGCAGGCCTTTGGGAAACAGAGTTGGCTTCCCGTCGAATCATTGGTACTTACATTAACGACACTTGAATGTAAGGTCCGGCGCAAACCCCCTTTTCCGTTGTTGACAAAGCTTGAACGTTCTCGGATGCGTAAGATGCAGGAAATGTAGGTTAGCGTGGGCGTTGGTCTGGCTCTCAGATATGGGAAAAGAGTCGCATTTGCGATCCGCTGAAGTTACTGCTCGCAACCTCGCAGAGTATGCGTCTTTGCGTTTGCGGCCTTCTCCGCCCCGATGGCAGCCGTGGGTATGCTTTTCCAGGTGGGAGACGGCCGCTTTCCCCTGCCGATGAATCGTTCCTCCACTTATAAGTCTTCTCCTCGAGAGGTCGTCAATTACAAAGATTCGTTCGAACGGTCGTCCCTCAAAGGTGTTCCTGGATTCGAGTCACCTTGACATTGGTGCGGGATCTGATTTTTGGGTGACTCAGCTCCTGTAAGCCGCTTACATCTGCTGCGAACAATTATCTGGACGCGTCTTAAGGGCTGATCAGTTGCGCGGTTGCTACCGGCAGATTCTAGATTAAAGATTATTTCGCTAGTCGTTCAAGAGCCTGGGCTCCTGCTCTTTAGCTGCCCGTCATGTGCTGCAAGAGGAGCAAGCGTGCGTTGCTTACAGAAAGGCAGCCGATAAAATCGCCGTCCTCCTTAGGTCTGGCAAGTCGCGTTTGAAGTGTCAGCTTCATGCTCACGCTCCCCATAGCAGCCGGATGACATGCCTTTGAAGTTCCAAGTGCTGGCTCAGCAGGTGTGGAAGCCGTTTCGCCATTCTGACTGGGTTTTTGTATTGCTCTGATCAGACTTTCTCCGCTTCGTGCAGCCCTTCGCGGTACCTTCTGCTTGGGAGTGGTTCGAGTTGGTAGTCGTGGGCCTCAGCGCTTTCGCTGCACAGGCAAGCTGACGTTTTGGTTACCCCGCAATGACCTCACTATCTTGACTACGAAGGCAGGCTTGAGACGACAGAATCCAAGAAGCTGACGCATGTCTCTTGAATGAACGCGGTCAGCTCACATTCCTCAAGAAGATCAGGCCTGAAACGGTTGAGCTCTTTCACGGGATTTACAATAGGTTGGGTTGCGGAGCGGGTAAAGTTTAAGGCTAAATTTGCAGCGTCTTGTTATTCCTTTCATGCTTATTGTTCCTGACCAAAAGCTCATCGGATTGACCGTTCGCACCCTTCTCGCAGGTTCTGCTGAACCGGGGCCTGCAACTAGAAAAGGCGTCCAAAGCGACGGCGATACAGTACGTCAAGGTACGTCTTCAAAGCAGCGCATACTTTGATGCTCATCGTATGAAGTTGACTGAGTTGTACGGTTCGTTTCACAAAGTCATGCTTCCGTTTGACCGGAAGCATGACCCACGAGAACCGAGACGGCACGGTTCCACATGCAGATGACCCCACCGTACTTTTCGGGTGTGCTGGGGCCGCTTGTGCATTGCGTGTGTATGGGTTTTTGCAGAGCCTTTCAGTATCAAATGAATAAAGTGCTTGCTTCCAGACTCGTCCGTGGACTGGTGATTCAGCAGGGCTATGAATGCTGCTGGTTCACTGAAAGCAAGATAAACGCTCTTCAGTGATTTTTGTAACGCTTGTTTTCCAGAGTGCAATCTGCAGAGAGCAAAGGATTGGACTAAGGAACTGACTTGGATCTTTTGTACAGATCCTGGTGACGTACTTGTTCGGCGTCATCTTCCTCCACGAGGTACCGTCCTTTTTAGGTGTCGTCGGCGCTTGCCTCATCGCGGCGAGCGCTGCCTTCGTAACTCTCGGCGCAGGGCATTAGCTCGGGGTATCTTATTGAAAAACGTGAAAATCCGGGGATTGGTGGGAAGTAGCGACGAGAGAAGTTGTTACTTTTGGACTTCACTGCACGCAAAGTCTTGCTTTGGGAGGTACACTGCTTTTGTAAGATAGATTGAGTTCCGTTGGACAAGCTTGCTGGAATAGTGAGAGAGCCACAGACATCAGGTAATTAAGTCGATGAATGTGCAAGACATACAGCTCCAAACCTGCCAGTGGGTTTCACGTGCTCCGAGCATGATTCCTGATCTTGGACCGTCTGATCGCGACAAGGAAGGCATCGAACGGCTCAAGATCGAGAACCATGCTCGGAGAAACTGGAACCCCAGTGCAGATCTGATGCAAACAGCCGCAACGCCGATAAGCCCAGCCGCGCCGATCGGAAGAAGCGGCCGGCCTCCAAAAGCAAAGTCGGAGGTATGGCATCAATTGTCGTTTTCAGAAACGCCAAACGCCTATGATCTGGGTCCTATGCAGCATGCAGCAGAGCCAATGCAAAGTTTGTGATTGTCAAGTCTAGGCGAAATCAGTGCCAGCTGTCACTGACATCCCAGAGTGCGCGAATGATCGGTTTCCTTTTGCCCCTGCGCAAAAATGTACGTGCCCCTATTCATTGAACGACAGGATGTCCGACTCTTGACACACTAGCGCGTCCGCCTGCCATGTATGCTTCAATTCAAGGCATTGAGAATATGCCATTTCAATCACGCGCGCTGGTGACTCACAGCTAACTCTTAATTGGACGGACTCAGATGCGTTCGCAGTTTTAGCACTCATACGATCCATGCGCTTGCAATCAGTTTTAGGACTCGACCCGGCCGGGTTACTATATACTCATGAGAAAAACTTGAAGCAAACCTGGCGGGCCTCAACTTTAGCAGCGGCGGATGCATGGCTGCTTGGATCGATCTGCAACCGTACGTCCTTGATTTGAAACAGATCAGACATGACTACGGATGCGCCATGACAAACAACATGGCCTCGCATGTTGGCTATTTATAGCAAATTGCATGAAACAACATTTCCGGCATGAGGTCGATTAATCTTGCAAGCTAATCACTCGCTGGACGGTCGATGATGGATTAAATCGTGTTAGCGCACACTACCTAACCGTGATCGAGTACATATCGTACACGGACGGCTAAGTGAACTTACAGACGCAATCACCAATTTACTTGCATGATTTTTCTCTTGGTATGCAAGTATTCATTGTACTAAAGGACAGCTAAAAGGACTCAATCCCCTCTGCAGATAAGAAACTGTCACACGAGTACCTTGCCGCACTGCAGATTCGTGAAGAATGCGTCCACTGCTGATTGTAGTCGATGACAGATTTTAACAATTGAAACTGGCGTGTCAGTGAGGACTTCTGAATGTTTATCCGCCCCCAAACTTTGCAAAAGGGAATTTGATTGTCCAGAAATGCATCTCTAGGTTGAAACAATCTGGAATAGTCTACGAAAGATCAAGTATGCGCGCGCTTTCCTATCCTTACAAACTCGAAATTCGTCTCGAAACAAATGTGGCTAGCTAGCGTCCTACTTCCTACCGCAGTATGCTCGTACTACAGACTCTCACCGTCGTCAAATCCACACCCTCCACTCTTTGCCGTTAAGGAAACAATCCTCGTCCGGGGCACATCGTCCGTGCTCATTTACAACTCTTTGGTCCCTCAATTATCGCTTTCTTCCGTTAGGGTCAGATTTCCGATCCCTGCGCTCAAACTATGTACTGAGGCGACTCGCCTACATTCAACTCGTGTCATTATCATCTCTTTCACGACTTTCCTTCCAAGCAGCCTCTTAACACGAAGCTTTTCTCGCAAATCTAAGCGACCAAACTAAATTTCTCCCTCGGGCAACCGCTGTGGATCTTATTCCGTATGTACACAATAGATCCAACACTCAAGCTGAACCAAAGTCGACTTTTCGTAGACTTTTCTGTTCGCGTTCCAAATCCTCTGTTGCCTTTGCCCCATGACAAGTCAAACATCGCCAGATTTGATGTGCGCCCCGATCCTTCTCATCCAACTTCGCATGCATCCAACGTTCGACAATTGGCACCCCCCCCGCGCAACAAATTACCCCTGTGAACCGAATCCCCCTTTTCACGACGTCGATGCATCACTCAGCAGCACAAGATTCCGATACGCGCCCCCCTCCTTCTCCTCTAACTCCGCATGCGTTCCCTGCTCCACGATTCGCCCCCCTTTGACCACCATGATTTTGTGCGCGTTCCGAATGGTCGTGAGCCGGTGCGCGATCACGATCGTGGTGCGCCCTTTCATGATGCGGTTCAGCGCTTCTTGGACCAACCGCTCCGACTCGGCGTCCAGCGCACTGGTCGCCTCATCGAGCAGCAAACTGCGCAAAAGAAGAAGAGAGAATTAGCACTTTCGGCGACCAGAGTAAGTGGAAAACCTTTCTCAATCAGCGCGTTTTGGAACAGGCGCTCCAACTCGGCGTCCAGCGCGTTGGTCGCCACATCGAGCAACAATCTGCGGTGAACAAAGGGGGAGAAGCACGTATTTCGGGCGACCAAAACGGTTCGATACAGGTTTACGTGTAGGATCGTTCACTGGCAAATCTTCAGTGCCTCTTGACCGGGCCGTCCGACTCGGCGTAAAGCGCTGATCGGCTCGTCCAGCAGCGTCTGTAGCAGAACTTACTGGGCAGCCGACGGGTACTAGAGACTTCTATCGAGTTTCGCATGGTATCGCCTCGTCGCACTACTTTTACGTTAAAATATGATCTTGAGGACAAAGGGCTCGGGGCCATGTGAAGGTGTGAAATCTTTCAGAGCGGAGCGTTTTGCGAAGGCATCGCCGCATCAAAGGCACATATATTCTGGACTTTGTGGCTAAGGGAATGCACAATGATTGTTGAAACCATGAAAATCCAAGGCTTTCAATGTGTTTCAAGCATCGTCCAAGGTTGAATCGAGCTGAAAGAGTATGAAAAAGTGCCGCTCACATGCGCGGGTCCTTGAGCATGGCCCGTGCGATGGCGACCCGCTGCTTCTGACCGCCGGACAGCTGGACGCCGCGCTCGCCCACCTGCAAAAATTTCGATCTGTTAGGTCTCTGGTAAAACTCATTACTCTCAGACTTCAATTCTCCCTTCTCACTATTTGAGATCAATTTTCCCTTCTCACTATTCTCAAATCCTCTGAACCAGAACATCAGCCCAGGCGAAGTTGTCTTTCTCAAGGTACTCTTCATAAACCCAACTCTCGCTCCTACGAGATCCTGACTAAAACCCAAGGAACACCTTCGTGCGAAACCAGAGACGAAGCTCGATCAGATCTCCCCCCTAGCTCGCGGAGTGAATTCCTGGTACCAAGAAAGGAAAGTTGAAAACCATCTCAAGGACATTGAGGACACACAGACCGAAACATGTACCAACCTGCGTATCCAGCCCCTGCGGCAGCGCGCTGATGAAGCCCCACGCGTTGGCCGCGCGCGCGGCTGCCTCGATCTCCTCATCGGTGGCGCGGTCTTTTCCGTACGTAATGTTGTCGCGAATGGACAGCGCGAAGAGGTTCGGCTCCTGGCTCACCAGGCCCATGTTCTGGCGGAGGGACTTGAGCTGTAGAAGACAAGTTTTGAGCGGTTAGTAGTGGCAACTCGCGGATCTTTAGTAATCAGTACGCGATGTTGCAGCACATCGACAGAAACATCGATTTTCATTTTCCCAATCATCAGGCCATGATCTGTTGGAGCGACCTGAGCTGTAGGCAAGCAGAAGATAGCAATTGCTAAGGGATCACTTCAAATCGTTGGTGAGCAGTCCTTGCCGGGGCTGCTGTCGTCGTGGATCAAGCGCACGACAAGCTTCCCTGTGACGAGACGCAAAATTTGACGGACAACTCGACCTTTCAAAGGAGACGGGTTAAACCGTCAAACTAGAAACATCTTGGTGTAAATGAGGCCTTCCCATACCCTCAGCGCAGAAGCCGCTACTACATAGACAAAGGCAGCGCCGCAATTAGAATGGAATCCGGGCGGTCAAAAGGTGAATGTAAGTCGAAGACGCTCGCCACTTTGACAAAAGTCTGGCCACCAGTCGTAACGCGCGTTCAATGAGTGTCAGAGTTGAAACTATCTGGCGAACCCACTTCCGGCACTAGGCAGCTGCAAACTCGTTCGCATATCCCCGATACATCACCGAACCCAGCATAAACCCTGAACCCAGCATAAGCTTTGTCAATATGCCCTAGAACGGCGCATAACAAAAAGCTCCTCACCTGATACTTCCTAACGTCCAAGCCGTCGATCATGACGGTCCCGCCTTGCGGATCGTAGAAGCGCTCCACGAGAGAGATAACCGTCGACTTGCCGGAGCCGCTCTCGCCCACCAGAGCGACTGTCTGCCCAGGGGACACGTCGAACGTCATCTTGTTGAAAACCTGGACGTGGGGGCGGGACGGGTACGCGAAGTCGACGTCCCTGCAATAACAGATGTAAATCAAAGGAGCAGGCGCGAGAAAATAACCGAGACGATTCAAAGACATTGCGATTGAAAAAGGAAAAACGAGAGTCGTCCATTTAGGACTATCTAGCCGGGGGGGCGAAAAGGAAACGCGAGGTGTCCGTCTCTGCAGGAACGAGAGTCTATCCGGTGTTCCTCCTCAGAAACCCTTTTGAACAACAGTACGAACATCTTGTACTTGGCGACAGACAAGCTTGAATGTGCGCGGTACCGTTGAATGTGACGTGAAGACAAGCCGGGAAGATGTCAGAATCGACTCCTCGCTCTTCTCAACCGTATCAGGATACGCTCGAACGTGTCGAAAATTGACGTGTCATTTGTTTGTTTCCGCGACTCGATTTTCAGTTTATCTTGAGATATGGATGGAAAAATGAGTTTCAGTTTTCAATTGCCTCCCATTTCAGGTAAAGGCAGTAATTCTTTCCAAGCCTTCAACCTTGTTATCCCTGCTGTCACGTGTCTAACCTCGGAATCGCTGTAGAACCGGGATCCAGAACCCAGGCACCCTCAAATCCTGAAGCTCTATAGGAGCACGGACCCGTTGACCTTTACCTGAAGGCGATGCTCCCCTCCAGCCGCTCCACCTTCTTCCCGCTGACGTCATCCGCGTCCACGGCGGGCTTGCGGTCCAGCACCGCGAAGATCGACTGCACGGCGGCCTTCGCCTTGCCGATGTCGGGCGCCATCGCGGTGCCCTGCGCGACGCCCTGCGCGCTCAGCGCAATCGCGAAGAACACCTGCGAGGTTTAAAGGAGGGTGTGAGATGGTTTTGAAACGTTTTTGAGAAGGTTTCGAAACCGCCATTCACTTGTACGTGACGATCGGCGTGCTGTAGTGATCAAACGAGACACCGCGCTGCCCTGTGCGATCAAGAAGAAGACCTGCGGAGCGCTCACAAGCTGTAAAGTGATTCAAAATAATTTTAGCGTCCATTATTGTCAGCAAACAACGAGGATGGACTAGGCCGAATCGTGTGAATTGCTCACTGGGAAGACATTCTCGAAGGTGGTGGTTCCGTCCACGGCGGGTGGCCTTACATGTCAAATGCTGAATCTCTAAGAGCGGTTTGAGAGGCGGAAGGAAATGTTTTGGAATCGCTCACTTGGAAAAACAGTCTGAAAGCGGTGCATCCGTCCTAACCAGTGTCGCCCCGTACCAGAGGTTCGAATCTTGACACAGCGTTTGAAAAAGCGGATCAGCCTAGATGTAGATATGAGAAGTAAAGAGCGCTCACTTGGAAAACGTTCTGGAAGGTGGTGCTTCCGTCCCTAACCAGAGTTCCCCCGTACCAAAAGGCCAGACTGTAGACAGCGTATGACACAAACTGGTTGAAGCCCAAAGCCGCGCCGTTAATCTGGGACCTTTTCACACCCTCCTTCTGCGGCCCCGCCGTCTGCAGACAAAACGGACATCGTCACTGTGCATATGGGGTTCTGGCTTGACTGTCGCAGAGAAGGAAACAGTTGTCGAAGTTGGGGAGGCACTTTGCCCAAATATGCCCTTTCAGCGTCTGCGCAACACCAAGCGCTGAATATTGGCATAGCTACATTTAACGACAAGATATTACCTTCGATCCAAGACGCGCATAGCTTGGAATTTTCAGTCATTTGACTTCCCCTCAACCGGGACAGAGCAGCACCTGACCGCACCAACCATTCTTGAAGCTTCGTCCTTCATGATTTTGAACTGTGCGACATCAGTCGCGGCAACCTGGCGGAGCAGAAGCACGCCATCACAACCGTCCACGTGGACAATCGGACGGGCGAGATTGGCTCACCCGCGCGTCGTAGAGGTCCATGACGTGCTGCTCCGCGCCGAAGGCGGCGACCGTACGGATGTTTCCCGTCGCGTCGTTTGCCACCTGGCTAGCGCCCTCGTACATAACCTTGGCTTTCTGAGAGGAGCCCTTCAAGATGTAGATCTGCAAGAACAACAAAGGTGGTTTTGGCGAAGAATCGCGGAGAACTTGCTCTGCTTATAGGATGTGTTAATTGAGGACTTGCTACGTGCAGTCGGATCATCCACTGAAGTTCGCAAACACACACTCATAACCCGACAACGGACCTCAGACTCGCGGACAGCACGTGGCCTAAACTTTCTGAATAAACAGTAGCGCAAAATCAGAGAAATAGCAAGAAAACTTGGCCGCCAAAACTCTTCCTGTCAGAAGCGCAGTGATCATTTCCAAGTGAAACGATGTGCGCTGTTTTTTGCCGGGCTGACACGGCGCCCTCGCAGCCCTAGCCTTTTCAGCAAAACTGTGAGACAAGGTATCCAACAGGGAATCGGAGCAAAACATACATTGCCGGTCAGGCACGGAACATGCGTTCGTGGGCCGAAACGGAAGACGAAAAAACTCCGATAATGGCCCTCGAGTTGATCGGCAGGGGGCTTTCAATCATCAGTCGATTTCAACCCTCAGAAGGGCAACATATACGCACCTGGCAGTAGCCCGACAGGATCAGGAGCGGCATGACCGAGAGCACGACAAGCGTCAGCTTCCAGTTGGCCAGGAACGCGATGACGAAACCAATGATGAGCGTGATGCCATTCTGCGTCAGAAGCGCCAGCTGGTCGCCCACGATGCCCTTCACCCCGGACGCGTCGTTCTCGAGGCGGGAGCCGACCGCGCCTGTGGAATTCTTTTCGTCGTCGAACCTGGGGAGGGAAAGCGTACGCGAGTGAGCTTCGACGGACAAGTATTGGCAACGGTTGGGGGAATTTGACGTCGTCGGACCTGGGCTGGAACGGACAGGGAAAAGCTTCGACAAATGAGTGAAACGACGACAGCTTGTCGCTTACAAGTTCTTCCCTACATGCGTCGCCATTGAGTTCTCGTTGTCGGCAGACCTCGACAATGAGACACTAGAACCTGAAGGAGGGGTTAAATACAGCAGTCCATCTGTTTCGTATGAAACCTACTGAAACCTCTTCCAAATACCCCGAGAATCGAAAACAATGATGCTCCTCCAAAAACCAAATGGGCGGCACAACGGGGAGGGGAAGAAACAAGACTCCCGAAAAAAAATGAAAGACCAGCGCAAGCGCAAGCTCACCACGCAACGTCCTGGCGCAGCACCGCCTTGAACGTCAGGTGGCGCACCCGCCGGATCAGCCGCTCGCCCATGACACCGAACAGCGCGTATTGCAAATTCAGCAACACGAAGCTGAGAATTGCGAGCATGAGAAACATGCCCGCCCAGAAGTCCGCCTTCTTCTTCATCGCGCTTAGGTCCGGGTTGTAGAACACGTTGATGATGCGCGAGAGGAGCAGCGCAAAAATGGGCATGATCGCGCCGTTGCAGCCGGTGACAATGACGCCAGCAAGCGCGATGAGCCACTCGGGTCGGGCGAGCCGCGCGAGGCGGCCAAGCGGGATGCTCGGAGCCTGCGGAAAACGGGGGGAGTGGTGTAAATTTCTAGAGGGGCACTGTTCAAAAGCCATACAACACGCACACAACTCGTCTCACGTGACCAAGACTTCGATCTTAACGAGCACAAACTCAAGCGGAGTAGGATTACTATATCTTGATTACATCAGAATACAATGGGCGCCTTTCCCTGACCGAGCGTTCCTGCAAAAGTTCGCTACCCTTAACCAGAGAGTGACCAGAAAGTGACCAGAGAACTGACTGAAGAGTGAGTATCTCACGTTTGCTCCGAGTCTTCCAATTCCTCCCGCCCAAAGCGAAACAATAAACCTACTCCACTCCCCAATAACCAAACAGGGAGCAACGCACCTCATCTCGCGTCCCCGCCTCCTCGTCCCCGCGGCCGCGCTTCCTCCAGAACCCCCAGACCCCGCGGCCGCGCTTGCGCCGCTCGGGCGGCTCTGACGTCGTCTCCTCAATGTCGTCAGCGAACCCAACTCTCCGTGACGTCATGCCGAGGTCACTCCCGCCGCTGAGGCTGACGGTGAGTGACCTCAGAATGAAGCTGTGGCTGTCGTGATGACTGCTGCCGCCGTTACTGTTGCGGGAGATCAGGGCGCGGTCGCGGCCGCGGCCGCTGCTGGCGGCGCGGAGGAGGGTGGGAGGTTTGGCGGGTTTGCGGGTTGCCGCCATCGCCTGTAGATGGACAAAAGGCAGCTTTTGAAAAGCGAGTTATTCTGACGTACCGTAAGGTCTAACCCTGCGGACACAGTAGGGGCCTTTCAGCGTATACTAAAATTACGGAGAAGAGCATCTTCCAGACATCTGACGAATAAATGAGCACGTCTTCGCAGATAAGAAGTCACCTTACAGCAAGAAAATCTGACCCTGTCTGAAATTATCAAAACCTGGTAAGTGGAAAGCACCCACCCAGCCGGTCAGAAGACGACGAGGGTGCATTCATTAAGAGGCACAAGGTCGCCCTTTGTCTTGCAAGCAGACAAGCAGAACTCCAAAGGCCTCCTTATGTTCAACCCACCGTAAAACTCTACCACGTCCCAACATGTCCGACTCAACCGGTCCCTCACCTGGAGCTTCACCAGCGCGGCATATGCCCCGTTCTCGTTGGCCATCAATTGCGCGTGCGGCCCTTCCTCCACAATATGGCCCCGCTGCACGACCGCGATCTTGTCCGCATTTATGACCGTGCTCAGGCGATGCGCCACGACAACGGTCGTCCGTCCCACCATAACCTGGTCCAGCGCGGCCTGAACCTTGCGCTCACTTTCGGTGTCTAAGGCACTCGTCGCCTCGTCCAACTGCACAAAATAAGTTGACAACGAGCTCTGAGACGGGTCACACTGAGAACTCGACATATATAAGTGCTAGTCGTGTTTGCGTGTTTTATGATCAGCCTGTCAGGAACCGTGCGCTCTCTTTCCGTGTCCCAAAAGATTCTTCGCTTCGTCCGTCCGCAGATTGAAACTTGATACCAAGCACACTACGACTGTTCTGTAAACGCTAAACACATTGTTGGTTCGTACTACTGTGCCTGTCAAGCGCACCTGGTTGCACTTCTTTGACGCCCCAAAAATTCCTCAGCGTCGAAGAATCGACTCTCTTCTCCAGCAAGCAACAAAGAAGCGCACCAACTGCGACATTCCTGATACTTCATCTGCATTTGCTTTGGCCAAACCCCACTGTCTTCCTGCGGCTTCGGAGAAAGTCCAGTCTCAAGGCAGGGCTTACCAGCAGGATGCGCGGGTTCTTGAGAATTGCCCGCGCGATTGCGATCCGCTGCTTCTGACCGCCGGACAACGAGATTCCGCGCTCGCCCACCTGAATGGGATGGCGGATTGTGAGGCGCGTCAAACCAGTATGCAAGGTGAGAAAAGACACCATACTGCCGTAAATGGAATTAAGGGATAGAATTTGCACATCGGAAGTATTGTCAAACGAACCGGGCATAGAACCGTTGAAAGAAAATGGAGACAGGAGTGCATCTTCCAAAATAATGTGAAACATAACAAGTGCACGGACGAACAATCTGCTGATCAACGCAACCGACCAAAACGATCATGAAGGACCTTGGGATGTCGGATCAAACGCCATTAAGAAGAAGCGAAGCGTACCAAGCTAATGGATAAGCTCCGGGCAGACAACGGAATCTGGTTACAAACCACTAAACCGAGTTGACAGGAGAGCTTGCCTGCGTGTTGTAGCCTTCCGGCAGCTTGGTGATGAACTTGTGCGCGTTGGCGGCCTTGCAGGCTGCGACCACCTCTTCCTTGGTCGCCGACTCTTTGCCATAGCTCACGTTCTCCAGAATGCTGGCTGTGAAGAGGGCCGGTTCTTGCGAGACCAGCCCAATCTGCTGACGTAACCACTTCACCTGGAACTTCCGGATGTCGATACCGTCCAACATCACTGCGCCTTCCTGGGGGTCTGGAATGGGGCGAAAAAAGTGACGTCAGCACAAGCGAGTGACGAAAACACAGGCGCGTAACCAAGATCCCGATCATATCTTAGGGATGTGGTCGTAACCGGTCTGAGCAAGGGCAGTTCGTTAGGAACGATAATGAGCAAGAGCCTTTTTAAAAGCCATTTTAAAAGCAATGGTGACCGAAAAAACTCTACCCTCAAAGCAAGCTTAAAGCGCTTGTATCCTAAGCTTCTATCCTGCAGCAACATCACCGGCAAACATGAAGCTGCTAACGATTGTCGAAGTCGCCTGTCTGACAACGCGAATGGACACAATGTGAAAGCCCGCACGAATCATAGGCATGGATGCGGAAACGGAACGGAAACGGAAGGATGGCAGAAGATCTCACCGTAGAAGCGCTCAACGAGGCTGATGATAGTCGACTTTCCGGACCCGGACTCGCCCACAAGCGCGACCGTCCGTCCCGATGGGATGAACAAGTCGAAGCCCCTGCAGACAGCAAAGAACAGTCTTGGCGATTAATTCAACGGATGAAAGCGGAGCAAGACTTTCTCGCACTTGCACAGGGCCTGCCAGGCTTTGAGTAACTTCTTCACAGCAGCGAATGCTCTGTGGAGGTTGTCCACCCACAATCGCTGCAAACCCTCTTGAGAGTTCGCCTTTTGCCGTTTTCTACACATATATTCAGTCCCTTTTACTGGTTTGAGGATCCCTAAGGATAGTGCTTACTTAGGGGTTCCAAATTCCACAATGAACCTAACACTTTGAAACAAGATTGAAGAAAGACAAGGAGGTAAGGTTATCTGGAAAGGCAACCAAAAGCAACAAAATGATAGAGCAGCTAATACTGTTTGGAACAAACAGTACAGAAAAACGGAACCCTTCTACCGTTTCATTGGGACGTAGAGACGCGCGGAGAAAGGGCACCTCGGCCAGCGGAAGGTCGCCCTTGACGGCCAAGAGGGGACCCAAAAAAACTTCCCCAAGAAGAAAGGAACACCAGCATCGAAGGAAACGCCACGATTGACTCACTGGAAGATTGGGACGTCGGGACGCGCAGGGTAAGTGAAGTGCACGTCGGCTAGCCGGATGTCGCCTTTGACGGCTGGGAGGGTCATCCCGGTCTCATCCTCGTGGTCAATCGACGGCCGGCGCTCGATCACCGAGAACATCTTCCACGCGGCCGCCTGGCCCGCGCCGAAGGCGGCCAGGCTGGGGGAGGTCTGGCCCAGGGACCTGGAAGGCATTGAAAGAGATAATATTAGCATCCCTGTTCTGAAGTTGGCGATGATCCTCCCTTGATTTTTGACTTTTCTTGGTCGATTGTCAATGGAGAACGTGATCAAAAAGCAGGAAGGCCTAGGCGAGATACGAGAGAAGCTGAGAATATGCTCGGCAAACAACGCTAACATGTCACCGACTTTGAAAAGAGGATGTCCGAGATGGGTTCAGATGGGACCCTCTCCCGTTGACCAGCAAACTAGATGCAAAATCAACTCTGTTTCTCCATTGCACGGTAATTTGGGACTCGTGCAACCGGTGCGAAAGCGCCAGCGGTCTGACATACACAAAAATACGAGGAAAGTAGATTAGAGCACAACGGCAAACGCACAAAAGACCACCTAAGAATTGACAACTTACATGCCGCCGATAAGTACGGCCATCAGCACGTTCAGCACCTCCCCGCCGTTGTACCCGTGGCTCGCAATCAGCCGCGACCCGTACCACAGCGCGAGCGAGTAGGTCGCGTAGAGCACGCCGATCATGGTGCCCAAGCCGAGCCCAGAACTCGCGCGGCTCTTGACGCCTGTTTTGTACGCCTGTTCGATGCGGGCGTCGTATTGCTGCACCGCCTTGCGCTCGCCCACGAAGGACGCAACCGTACGAATGGCGCCCACAACCTGCAAGGTAGCGGAAATACTCAGTTAAAGTCAGATGAATGATTGGATATGTAACAGGCAAGCAAGTAATTAGACTGTACCTCTGTGAGTTCTTCGTCTGTGATGGCATGCCGTTCCGTACTTTTGGTTGATGCGGGCAGTGTATTGCTGCCTCGCCGTGCGTTCGCCCACCAAGGAAGCAAGCGTCCGGTTGGCGCCCACAACTTACGGACGTAACTATGACTTTATGGCGAAGATACCCAACAAAGGTTTTGGTAGTAAGAGCGATGTTAGGTTTCATTGAATGCGTTCTACTTGAATCTTGCTCTTAGCTTCGTAACGCTTGCTCTCTAAGCCTGGTTGAAGCGGGCGTCGTACTGCTGCACCGCCTTGCGTTCGCCCACGAACGAGGCAACTTTCCAAGTGGCACCCACAACCTTCGACTTCCAAAAGAAAGTGAAGGAACTAACTATCGAGACAACCAAAAACACGTTTTCTTACATTCAAGAGAAAAGCTGAGTGATTCGGCTCCTAGGTTGCGTCTTGCTCTTTCAATGAATCTACTCGTAGTGCGTTGAATCGATGGTCGTACTGCTGGACCCTCGCACATAGAGGCAATCAAATTCCGCTCGACAGGCCGGATTGCCAGGCGCGTTTAGCAGATTGCCAGGGGCGTTTAAAATATTGACCTTGCCCGTGTAAGCTCTCTGCCAAAAATTCTGCCCCCGGACAATCCAACATGCTTAAAACGAACGTGCGCTGCACGTTTTGCATAGATAAAATACCCGGTTTTGCGTAGCCTTTCATCCAGAGAAAAATACACATCTCGATCTTCTTCTAACGAAGACACATGGACACCCCGTTTTGCATTAGTACACACCTACAACAACAATCACGTACAAGTTCCGGGCCCATTTCAACGCGAAGGCTGTCCATGTTCGCACCGCGAATATATAATTCTGTCTTTGAAAAAAAGGCAAAAGCACGAGACGCGAAGCGCAACGAACCTGTTCGACGAGGCTGCCCGCCTCGGCGTACGCCTGCTGCCCCTCCGTCGCGAGCTTGGCCATGCGCATCATCATGAGGCCGCCCGAGAGAACTAGCAGCGGGAGGCAGGACATGAGCACCAGCGCGAGCAGCCAGCCGCGCGTGAACGCGATCACGAAGCCCGCGACCGCCTGCGCCATCAGCCGGATGAAAGCTTCCACCTGCGATGTAGTAAGATTCGGGGCTTTTTGATGACTGGTGTTCACTGTTCGCCTTTTTAAAATCGCTGTAGATTCAAACCTAGCCCGACCAGCCAGCCGCGGGGGCGACGTACCACAGTCAGCCAGCTCCAAGAGCAGTCCTAACGTTAATACGGCGTCAACGATGACGTCCTTCTTTTCATCCGCATCAACGATGACGTCGTTCTCTTCCTCAGCAACGTCCATGTGAATTTAGACGTCTTGATTGAGCAGCGTGTACCCCCCGTTTCGTTTAGTCGACCAATACAGAATCCGTGCTGACATCAGCACATCGTCAAGACAACGTCGCATCAATCCAACGAGCTCACCTTCTCGCTCATGGCGTCCTGGATGAGCAGCGTGTCCCCCGTCATGCGCCCGACCACCTCTCCCGTCGACGTCTCCACGTCGAAGAAACCGATGTCCTGCCGCAGAATCGCCTTGAGATAACGCTTCCGGATGCGGGTCGCTTGCCGCTCTCCAGCCAACGTCCACAGCGCCATGCCTGGGGAAAACGGAACTTGTCAAGGTGATCGCTTAAATACCACCTCGACAAAAACCGACGAGGTGAGAACCGCTTCTGATTCGTCGACTGAACCATTCCGCTGACGCGACAACCATCTGATGAGTTTCGCAGCTCCTTGTAGACGTTGATTATCACAACTGGCATTTAACACATTGAGAGCCACTCTAATGAGCGTCTACATACATGGCAAGTACTTCTTACATACGGAGCAAAGATGTCTTTCGAGTTCCGCATCTATCTAATATCTCCCTTGCAGTCGTTCGATGTCAGAAAAAAGCTGGGGCTATCACAAAACCGAAAGTGTGCACGGCAGATGCAGCGCAAGAATTCTCTGATCCATCCAATGGCGTTGCAGTCACTTCTGTGAGACACTCCCCTACTTGACTGCGGGGTCGCTACTACGTGATTATGAAAGCTGCATGGGCAATGACAATGATTGACAAGATCAAGTAGACAGCGCTGGCAAGCTTCAACCTTTGCTTCACAAAAAACGAATCCAGGTCAGCAACAGACGAGGAAATCATTCCTTCAAAGAAAGATAAAACAGACACGAAGGGCAACCCCAACCAACTTGAACGAAGTAAGTTCAAAAACAATGAAAACGCACGGACAAAAAGGAATGGTACTGAGGCCTTACCAAGATACCCAGCAACGCCAGCCCCAAGCGCCAGGTACAGAAAGTCGAGCGCAATCTTAACCACCTGGTTATACAGGTAGTTAGGGTCTGACAGGTTAGCCCCGAACGCGTTGATAAGCCGGCCCAGCAGGAGCGTCATAAGCGGGCGCGCCACCCCGGAGGCTATCGCCGCAATGCTGCCAACCACCATCAGCGCTATATCCAACCCATCGGCATATCGGAAGAGCCGCCAGATCGAAACTCGCTTCTCTTGTTTCTTCTGGCCCTTGGCTCGTTTTGTCCGGCCCCCTCCATTTTGCCCCCCTGGCGGACCGCCTGCCGGAGCCAACGATTCCGGCGACCCTTTCTTTTTGCCAATACCGAACACGCTTTTGAAAGGCGCTAAAAACGAGCTTATCAAACCCCCTCTGGCTGCCTCAGCGGAAGGACCGAGCGTTTCGGTGCCGCGGGTAGGGGGCTCAAGAACAGGTACATTGCCGTCCATGTTGAGTGCCGCTTGCTGTACTTGCACCGGCTCAACACTCCTGCAGAAAACATAATGCTCTGTTCAACAGTGGAGCTAGCTTCGATTTAGACATATACCAGGTTGGTTGACCGGACAAGGCCCAGTCCATCGACCTTGATTGTCGAAAAAAGAGGTTGTTCAAAACTAGAGGGCTTAAAGGGATGCTGGAAGCTTAGGCAAGGACAAGAGACATCTCATCAAGTAATAGACTCTACCAACCTGAAAAAGAGTCTCCAGAATATCTACCCTTGAGCAGGACAGACGACTACCACAACATGCAAATTGATTCAGCCTCTAGGGCATCATTTGTTTGGAGAACCAGCGTATATTTCTCTACCATTTTAGGGCTGCCATCATCCAAACACTGCCTTTGTCACCAACTCGAAGCCAGCTCTTAACCAGCTCTCAACCCTCCACGCCGCTAGCATTAAACCAGCAGAGGGTCACAAATGCAGCCATCACTTGATTGAGACTTGATTTGTAACCAGTAAACCAGCAACACATGCACCAAAGATTGATGCCACCAACTATTTATGCAAGCGCAACATGCAGTTAAGCTCCTTCTCCACTGCACACAGGAAGTATACTGTACTATAGAAGTCCACCATTCATACCAGCTGCCAAAGAAGTGACGACAGTTGTTGGTTTCAGATGATATGCAGGGCTTCTTCAACCCTTTTGATAATTGTGCAAAGACTGCGGACTACGAGAAAAGGCGATCACTGGCGTCATTAAGACTTTGGCACTCCAAAATAGTACACAACTGCGTTTCGACTTCAAGTCCACTGGTTTACGGTTTCAAAGCAAGTGCCTGCGTCCTCCTCAGAAACCTGTATCTTAAAATGATGCCCAGAGACCAGTAAAGCCCAACAGCGAGCTCCGAGCTCCGGTTCAGTTGACTGCACGAACCTGTCACTGCCAAAGTTTCCACCTTCAGATGTGGCGCTCCGCTCAGCGGCCTTGGCCCCATCATGTCTGTCCAAGGGGAAGAGTCCGGTGTCAAGTTGCACCTGCTCCTCCGGCATCTGTTGCTCATTGACACCTGCCCGCTCATCCTGGTCCCCAGGTAGCATTTCCTCAGTCCGAGCAGCCATAATGGGGACCAATGATGTCCTTTATGGTTCTTCCGACGCTTTCAAGGCTTGTTACTGATAGAAATCAGCACTTGTGACTTGCTGAATGGTTCCTTATGAAGCAGACAACTGAAACTTTCCGTCAAGTAGAGTAGCCAGACCAAAAGAGCAGAGACAATCGATGCAGACTTTCCCGCACCCAAAGCCAAGACAACAACACCACCACCCTTGTAAATATTCAGCTGCTCTTACCCTGCTCTAATACCGTACTGGTTCCTTTCGAAAAGGCTCGCGTTCTGACGCTGATGAGCAATGACGAGCTGACGAGCTGCAGAAAGTCGACGAGCCTGAGATCTGAGCTGTACAGGCAGCACCATTCTAGAGTGCCAGCTGCATGAGCCACGGGTCCCAAAGGGCCCACTGCACATGTACAGTTCTCTATCCTTCGGGAAGGAAGCCCTCTCTGTGATGCATGGTGGAACAGAGTCGGCCTCGACTTCAAGCTCGGTCGGACGGTTGGGTTCACAGGGACGGCCACGTCGCCACCGTGTGGGCGCCAAGTCAGCAGTGACGCTTTACTTGACGTCACCATGACGCATTTCCGCAGTGGGCCGCGGGCGGTCGGCGCCCGGCCGCAGAGCCGGCCGGCCTCCATCGCATTTTCCAAGCCGAGCTCGACTCTTCTGCAGTAGCAATTTCAATTTCAAGTAGAACTGGAATTAGGAGCACTGCATGGCAGGAGCCTGAGCCTCAGGAGGAGAGCAGAAGCAGGCAAAATGGCGCCGTTCTGCTGGCTTCCTCGCCTAGTAACTGGCACGGTCATCAGGGCTCTGTTGCCCTACGTTGCCCAGTTGGGCGCAGAGCGGGGGCCAAGTTATCCTGCACTGATTGCAAGAGTATCTCGGTTTTCGGCAGGTGCCCTGCATTTGTGCGGGGGGTCCAATTCCCCAAGCTGCATTGCCCAAGACAGAGATTCTGTTTCGGTAGCGAAGGACCCAAAGATACACCAGCACTCATCTCTCTTCTCATTTAAAAGCCTAGAGCTTAAGAAAGTTGGACTTGCATCGGTCAATGTTCTTTCTAGCGACAAGGGGGGCTTTAAAATTGCAGAAGATGGGCCCTCGCCAGAAGTCTTTCAAAATCCAGCAGCCAATGTTGACGAGACACGGGGTTTGAAGCCTCCTGGCAACGGAGAAGAGGGACAGTCAGAAGGAGGCAAATTGCCTGGGTCAAGGGCGGGGGCCTCTAACATTGTAACTAAAAGATGCACACATTGTGGGGACTCAAAACTGCTAGTGGACTTCGGAAGGTCACACAGTGGTCATAACGGGCTGAGTGACCTGTGCAGAGCGTGCCTATCCATCTTCCATGCAAAGCGCTCTGGGAGATTGCTCCCTGACCATATGCAATTACCCCTGGAGGAGGCCCGAAAGAGGGCCAAGACTTGCCAGTTGTGTGGTGTCTCGAAAGAGATTCGACAGTTCAGCTCTAATCGGGGCAAAGTGGATGGCACGCAGATGAGGTGCAGAGCTTGCGTTTCAAGCTACAATGTTCGAACACGTCAGAAGTATTTGGTATAACCTACCAGAGGCCCCCACTTGTGCAAAAGTTGCAACAACATATTGCCTGGAGAAGTGTTCAGTCCCAACTACCGCACACCAACCGGTCTTGCTCAGAGTTGCAAGCTCTGCTCAAAAAAGGGAAGAAGAGCTAGAAGATCGAAGATCAAAGAATCTCAAATCTACATTGCAAAAGGTACAAAGCGCTGCAGAATCTGCAAGGCCGTGAAAGAAGTTTCTCAGTTTACCAGGAATTCTGATGAGCCAGACGGTTTACAGTCCCATTGCAAGCAATGCCGCAAATTGCTGGTCAACAAACCAAGAAAGAGCAACTGGAAACAATCAGAGGTAGGTTTTTGAGACCTGCTTCAAAATAAGCGGCTTCCATTGTGACTTCCTATCTACGTTGGACGACTTGTGTCAGTTCGATCAAACATTTTGAGAGACAAGCATCACCCGCTGACAGGGGCCAGTAAGGAACATGGTGGGCAAGAGCAGTTCTTCGAATGTAGGTTGTTCAAGTGCTCATAGAAAGAGGAAGTGCGGGGTTGAAGTGCACCTTCTTGAGCGACGTCTGTTTTGTTTCCCAGACTGAGTGTCTGATGAGGCTTGTGAGGGCTCCGTACGCACAATGTTTTGGCCGTTATTGCCTCGCTGCTCGTCATATGACTGGCTGCTTTGCTTGGTCTTCAAAAAGAGGTGACGGCTGAGGTTCCTCGCATCAAACAAAATGATCCTTATGCGAGGTGTCAGTTGAAAAGAGAGCACAAGGACCTCCTGACCAAGTCGGTGAACCTTTTTGTGAGAATCTTGCACTTCTCTTATGTCGACTTTAGCTGGCATCGCTTCACAGAGGCTGAGCTTTTGCACAGTTTGGGATGTTCTGCAGCTGATGGGCTCCAGCACGAACCGTCAAATCAAAAGAGTCTTTGTGTTATGAACGAATCTAATTAAGGACTTATGCCACCATTCTATAAGGACAGGGTTTTGCAATCCGACTATTCTTGGGCGCTGCGCGCGACAACTCTTCTGCCCCTCTAAGGTCCGGATCAAGGGGGCAGTGCAATCACTTTTGTCCTTGTTATACAAACCTGTTTCGTTACATCGTTCCGCCCAGACGTCGTTCACGTCGCGCACGGACAGATCTTTCAAACGACTGCTGTTACAAGATTCAGCTTCTTAACTTTAGACAAATAGTGTTCCTATGTTGTGCAAGGTCTTACATCGCGTCCCCATGAGGTATCCTCTGACCTGACATAACAATTCCGTTCTCATGTACTGCAGTGAATGCGTCAACTGGGTGACTTCGAAGGATCTAACAAGAGCAATGGGGCTGAGGGGGTGACCAGTACAGTCACCATCCCATTCCCTGTAAGTTGTCTCCCATGCTTCTATTTTGAACACTTTGTGCGAAGGGATGGGATGCATCGAAACGTTCAGGAGCATTGGAAGTACGAGTTGCAACAGATCTTTGCAGAACTTGAAGTCAGACATGGACATGACAAGGAGGGCTCTCCTGAACATGTAGTTTGTTTCAGGTAGATCCATTCACATTGGATTCGTCCCGGCTGGTTGGTCCTCGATCAGTGATTTAGACAGATTAGCTCTCCTCGATTCTGCTTTGATCCAGCTTCTCAGCTCAGGGGACGGCGCTGCTGAGACTGACGGCCCATTCGGGTCAAGCGTGCTCGACTTCTCGGATTTGGACTTTTTCCCCTGATACAAGCACTCAACGGCATCCCTCGCTTTAGCTCCAGGATTTACTTTTCTCTTCAGTGGCAACCCCTTTTAAGCAGCTGCATATATTCTGGCTTTCTTGAAGCCAGGGGGCGCCAAGTGTTGGTGGAAGCTTCGACTCTTATCAAAGAAGAGCATCTATCAAGCGAAAGCAGTGACCTTCGATGATTGCTTGTGGACGTCATCCTCACAGTTCCTCTGTCAGGGCAGCTCGTGTGCGTCTTGAGCGTTCAATAAGGTTGTCTTTGATTGAGGCGTTCAGTTCTTCGGCGAGACCTTTCATAATGTTTTCAAACCCCTAGTATTATGATTAGCCGGGAGCCACGTCTCGGAGAGGAGGACTCGGCGATTGGAACGAACGCTCCAAACCCACCTTCAAAGCGCTGTTCTGCTACGGATTGGGAATCCATACAAAGAGCTATCGAACAAAACGCCGCTTTTCGTGCAGTTCCCTCTGGGAGACTCCCTTCGGACAATATTTCGATCTCGTCACACAGGAGCGAGTGGGAAAAGGAGAAGTGGGGCGCCCAAGGTCGTGCAACGATGCAGCCTGGTCAGTCTGCTAACGCCTAAATTCGGACCTTCTATCTCCCCGTGAACGTGACGAGATTGTTGTTACCAGAAAAGCGAACTCGGATAGTCTCTCTTGCTTTACCGTTTGTCTGCCGACTTTGTGCACGATTAATAATTCAAGGTGAAAACACCTTCGGGGAGATAGGGAATGAATATGGAGCCCGAATTAAGGTATCTTGAAAGCCAGGCATCTTGGAGTGGTTTGTTCCTACGGGTGCTGGTCAAAGTAGGACGCACTTGTTAACATAAACTTAAGTTTGTACATTGCTGGGCTAATGGTGAAAGTCGGGTCTTTGGCAGGTCGATCTTCACATATGACGGTCTTCAATATAGTCCTCTTAGAATTCCTGGACAGAGGCTGATATGTGATCAGGGGCCGATAGTAAAGGCCCAGCAATCTGATTCCAGAATTTCCATCTACAGAAAGTCAGGCGGATAACAAGCTCAACCTAGGTGAATGTCCAACTTAAGGTTTCGGTAAGACCTCGCTACCACAAAGAGCTTCTTTGAAGGTTGACGTTTTCCATTTTAGCTGGGTCCCGTCTCAAATGACAACGGCGTGTAAGGACTCGAATCTAAAGCAGAGCGTTCATTGGTACACGCAAAGTCAGAAGCTTCTTATGGGGAAAGGATCGTTCGATTGGTCCGTTTGTTCAAAACCGGACCGACCGCCGCACAGCTTCTAACTAGGTAGTCAACATGTCTAAGCTTGATGTACAGTCTGCATACATCTGATAAGTAATTTCACGTTGTTGCCGCCGCTGGGGGCTTGTAGTAGCTAGCGGGGCTGCATGTGCACGGTTGATTGCGCTGGGCACGCAGTCATTGCATGCATCTCGCTCTTTCAGGTTCAGACTGAGGCCAGGACGGTTAAAATGAGCGATGACTGCAACGCCTACACTAGCTAGCACCGGCCCGTGCTTCGAATCTAGCTAGCACCGGCCTTCAAATGTAGCTCTAAGCTAATACATATTGTGGATCGAGTGCACGTCACACATGCAATCCGACGCATCTATATATATACAATTATGTAAGTTTCGATGCTGTCCCTTTACTGAGGGCCAAACCAAACGCACGTGACGGCGGCGCATGATAATCCGATGTGCCTGTACATGAACGATGAGATCTTGCAAACTTATGTGACATATGAGTTCATATAACGCGCCGGGTATGATTAAGTCGATTTGCATTCAAAACTCCAAATGGATCGAAGCTGCAAATTCAGCGGACACGCGGGAGCGCAACATCATAAAGACGTGCACTGTTGCTCCTGCTGAATTTACATGAGGGGTGAGAGTTCATCATCGTCAACATCCTTCCGGATTGAGCTAGCATGCAGCGCATGCATCACAAAACACCCCCCCCCCCGTTTCCGAACGGAATCCATGTGGATTTCAAGCCGGTAGACTCACATATGACTGCGTCATGGAAATCTCGACACACTTCTGCACAGAAATGACACAGGTGCCGAGCAGTCCGACTCCACAAAGATTATATTATAGTGTCAGCACGAAATCGAAGCAAAATGCTCGTATGAAAACCAAGCCGGAAGTGGCATGGAATCTGTGCGTAGAATCCACACAGAAGCGGCACGAAATCTGTGTGCATCAAATCCAAGCGGAAATCATGCCGAATTAGGGGCTCGAATCCGTGCAGCATCGTCTTGGCATCTTATTGTAGCGCTTCACCATGGAAACCATGCATACCATTCATTGTATATGTCGCGCTTATTGCTGCAAACAGAGCCGGTCCCACGAGGCAATTGTTCGCATCACATGGCCCTGCAAGCTTGGCGCATTGCTACAATAAGCTCAACCAATATCACATGCTTGTGAATGAAGTACCTTGAAGCTCGCAGACACCCGTTCCAATCTCGGTGCTCTATATTATTGCAATCAGATCCACACTTTCGTACCTGAGTTGGTCTCAAGAGCGGTGGTCGTCAAGTTTATTCAAAGCAACGCTTGTCGTTTAGCAGGCGGCGGGCACTTGTCACTACCTAAAACAAACAGCGAAATAAGCAGAAGCAACACGATTGAGCCGCGCACTTTGTTGGCGGCTGAGCTTGTTTGTCGCAACCCGAGATGTTGACCTGCAGTCAAGAGCTCTTGTCAGACTTGGGTCAACCAGAATGGCTGAGTAACAACTTCGTACAACAAGTCCAGTACCTTCGAGAGTTTGGGATACAAAGACCGGACTTCGAAGCAAATGTCTTGAAATTCCTTGCAAGCTCACCTCGTGGAAGAGGTAGCCGAGGGAAGAGAACCGCCAGTGTTGGCACACCTCAGACGAAGTGGCCAGAAACCTGAATGGCAATAGAAGGAAGACGAAGGTAAGGGCTCACGAGGTTCAACCTCTATCTTTAGAGATCCCCGTTGGTTCAAAATTAGCTAGTGACGGGAGCAGTTTGCAGCATTTGAAGAGCAGCGGGACTCTTTGGTCGCCCCTTTCACGGCAAAACACTCGCAACGGTAACCCTGCTGGTTGCTATTTCATACGTCCAATTTTCCGTCATCTGATTGGGGCCGGCCAAAGAGGGGATATCCTGGTAGTAGATGCTTCAAATTGTAGCCTTCGAAGGTCTCGAAGTCCCAGCCTAGACGGGGCTGAACCCACCTTCAGATGGGGCGTGCACGGCTGCAGTACGGACGCAGGGCGAGCAGGCAGCAGTAGTTGGGCAGTAGTGTGGAGCAGCCCCTTCGCCCACCACAGCAGCATGAAGCACCGCCCCGGGGGGCCCGATTGAGCAGTCCGCCCCGCCTGGTGCATGCACGACTGCAAGAGATTGCGTTCAAAACACAAGATTAGACACAGGCAGATCTGTAGGTAAATTTTGACGCCACTTTCTAATTGAAGACTTTTGCACGGCAGGAAAGGCTGCTCAGAATGACCAGACTGCAGCCTTAAATAGAATGCTAGGACGGAAGAAAATCACCCCGTGGCAATGCATACATCGAGAGTCAGGGGACGTTCACAACTGTTCTGCCAAGACGGTGTTCCTGACCGACTTTGGACCAGACCAAAATGCAGCATGCATATCAACCGGTGTCTTTGCGAAAGGATAATTCAGTACTGGCAGGGGTCAGATGCAGCCAGCGCGCACCTTGCCAATGAGGGCGCGCAGAACAGGAGATGTCTCAACGCTGTCGACGGACCATCCGTTGCTCAACACCAGCATGTCCACCCCCCGAGCCGAAAGGCCTCCAGCATGGCACTACGCACGCTCACTGGCATGCCCTTGTACTCCCCGGTCGCAGAATGAGACCCCTCAAATGCCTGCTCGAAAGAAAAGAGTGTTGGGAAGTGTAGACATCGGTGCGTCTAAATTTGACTTTCAAGAGGTGCCGAAGGGCGATCAGTGCTGTATCCTCAGGACTTCGCCAAAAAGGGCCGAGCTGCAGAGGGACATTGGCTCACAAGAGTGCCGATGAGAGGTTTTACTACAGCTATTGTAGTCCGCCAGAGTCCGAAACCAGCTCCTGACTACCATCTTTATATATAGGCAGGGAAGACACGCACTTGTTAGGCTGCAACAGACAAAGAAAAGTTCGAATAGACCGATGTGAACCTGGTTTCACCAATTGGGCACAATACCACCAAAAGAGTTGAGCCAAGTGTAGTTGCACCTAACCTTCATTTGCACGCGAAAAGGAAGCGATTGACGAAGAAGATCTCAGGGAGGTCGTTCCTCGGGACCACATGCACAGCAGGGCGGAGCGGATTGCCCCCAGGCACGCTTCTGGGCCAAATCGAAGGGCCACATTCACACTCGCTTGACAAAGTTCGCTCACAACATCTCGGAGCTCACCACATCGCGCACGTGGAGTAGGATGGATCAGGGGTCGCCTTCTTTAGATACGTCGGTGGTCGTCCATCCCTGCAGTGAGCGTAATGAATGCTCAGCACCACGATGCGGCCAGGAGGGCAAGCATGGGAATCTACCTGATCCATCAGAGATGTCTTTCGCCGCAGCTCCCATCCATTGTGTGGTCAATAATGGCCCTTGTAACAAGCTTCAGGCTTGAGTCTTGATTGACCTAACATATCCTGCGCATTGCTTCACACCAACTGACATCACCGAATCTTCCAACTCTAAATCTGAATCTGACGTAGCAGATGTTTGAGACAAGCTTTCATTCAGCTTCAGCAAGTACAACACAACTGCAAGATCAAGAGCATCGGGCGCCATCTATCCATTGAACATGAATAGCTCAGAAAAGGCATATACGAATGAGCATCTTTCCAAGCCAAACCCTTTGTAAGCAGAACTCAGTTGCGCTGCCTGATTTGAAGTTCGCGAAGCAGCCTGATCAAACTGGCCAGACATCAAAAAGTGCCAGAAGGTGTCTCGCTTTCACAAGCAAATCTGGTAGAATGAAAGCAATCTTTTCAAATGAGAAAAGCCTTGTAGACAAATACTTGTCCCGTGGAAAGTGTTCAATGCGTTCACTAAAGAATTTGAAGGTCCTGATGCTAGAAAGTTGCTGTGTGACCTGCCAAGTATCACCGGATCCAGAGATCTGGTGCTTTACGATCTCAAGGGTTGCTAACCTGCAAATATCCCTGCAACCAGAGTCAACAAGGTCAAGAGGTTGCTACTCACATCATCCTGGCTGAAGAGCACCTTCTCTTCATTTTCCTGGTGTCCTGGGGCGAGCGCACCTTCATTTCGGACATGTCAAAGTCTCTGAAATACAGCAGATCAATGAGGCATTCAGTTTGTTCTTGCGAAATGAGGACTTGTTCCTGCAATCTGCTGGGCTCGGCGTACCCCACAGGATTGAGGAAATAGCTGCCGCGAGCGGCAAATGATTGTTCTCTCTTGCCAGCCCCTTCATCATCTTCTCACTCGCCGTCATCATGCCAAGATGGACTAGCTGGTAGCCCTTCCTGGGCTTCTTTTTCTACTCTGTCAGCTGGCAGCTCAACTCTTTGCTGGTCTGCATCTGCAAATGCTTGCTCGTCCTTCTTCAAATCAGCACTACTACTAGTGGCATTGGCTGCAACTTGGTCAACCTCGGCGGCACCTAATCTCTGCTTCTTGTTGACTGCTCAGAAAGGGATTGGCTTGAACATCCATCCCTCCAGCCAGACGACCTCTTGTGGGATCCCGTGCAGCTGGGGCTTTGAGGTGATACTGGTGGCAGGTATTGCACTCAGAAGGTCAGAAGGCATCTCGCACTGCCTGCAGAAATTGGCGGCAGCATCCGCTGTTATTCCGTAAATGCACAAGTTGGAAACCCTTCTTGAGAACAAAGGAGGCAAGCCCGGAGGCAGCCAATGCATAGTGCAGCCACACCATTGTGGCAAGGGAAGAACCGGCTGCTGCTGCTTGCTATCGCCTCGATCTGCTCAAGCTTTTAACCTACTTTATAAGTTTCAGTCTCCAGAGATCTGCATATTGCGTGAGTAATCATGCATATTCATGCATAGAAAGTTGCAGATCGGTCATCAATTATCAATGATTCGAGGATACCTAAAACCGGCCCTCGTACCTATATGGCTGGAGTGTCAGGTCCTTCCAGACATGCATTCGGTTGTCATCAACACGAGAGTTTGACACCACTTTAGCATTTTCGCCTGGCTTGATGTCTTCGTCGATCAAATTTGGCGATATGACAAGCAAAGAAAAGGAGGCTCTCCAGCTCCCCTTGAGCACTTCTATACGGTGGAATGTGCTGCAAGTGACGTTGACGGCATTGTGCACTCACGAGTCATGGTGCATTGTGGGTGCATTGTGCAGCAGCTTTGTGCTACACAACTTGACTAGGGGATGAGGATCTGGGTCCTTCCGCTGCATAAAGGTGCACGTGAGCTGTTGCTGGTGCATGAATGCCATTGCTCTAGAAGGGGCTGCTTTGAAAGCTTTTCTTACATCAGAAGCTTTGGAAACGCTTTGCACGGATGAGAGTGCCGTGCTCTGGGGTCGAGTCAAGCTGCAAGTGCTGCAGTTGGTTGCAAAAATGCTTGTAAAAGCATGGTGAAGGTGTTGTGACGCTATTTTAGCCGGATTCTCTGAAGAGAGAGAAGATGAAGCAGAATTTGGAGACTTTGAGGGCAAACCAGCCTCGAGTGGAAGCAAAGGGGCAAAAAGGATTCTACGGAAGCCTCCACTCTCAGGAAGCGACTTATTCGCTCCTAGAGGCCTTTGAGGCTTCAGTCAATATGTCAAACACGTTGGACCAGATCCGCTCCAAGCTTCAAGCTCCATTCCCAAAACCTCCATCAAACCCTCCAGTAGGAGGTCCAATCTCGGTCATGAGTCCAACGCCAGAGGCCAACCAGGACAGGCTACAGCTTCGGATCATGAAGCCATCAGAATGCAAACCAAGGTGAGCACATGAAGCGGTAAAAAAAAACTTAATTTAGCTGCTTTTCTCTCTCCTCCTCTCCTTCAAGAGATCCTTATATGAGCAGAGACTTGAAGGAGAAGTTGAAGGTGTTGAATTGGCTGCTGAGGACGATGTAGGAAAGAATGATGAGGTGAAACTAATGTGATCGCACTGGCCTGAAACCTTCTACTTTAAGATGCGCTCTACGGCATCATGTCCTTTTAATTCGCGTGAAGGCTACCATTTGTCCAATGAATTGTGAAGTGGTCGCCGTTCATTTCTTGATCATGATGAAATGAAATCTTCTGAGTACTCTCTTGCTGTAAGAATCCTTTTAGTTCTAGTAGACACTTTTGAAACTTGTAAGGGACCATGTTATTCCTTCGTATCCGCCATGATTTAAAGAAATCAGATTGACAATCTGAGTCAGATGCAGTTTTGAATTCAATGAGTGTTCAGGCTTGATCGAGGCCTGGACACTTTGCGTTCACATTTGATCATTAAGTTCTGGCCTTGCTCGAGCCGTGCTCGACCTTTGGTTGGACAACACAACGGTGATATTGTAACCAATCTCTACTTTTGTAGAGGGTTATTGCTCACCTCTTTTTTAGTTTGGAAGATACATGCAAGCAAGGACTCACATCAATAGCAATGAGATGACCTGTTTGCTTGGGGAAGTCGTGAAGCTCTGCTATCTATTCTGACTTGAAAGTGCGGCCCTGCAGAAAGGCACCAAGAATGTGATCACGGCTTTTTTCTGTGGCGACCAGTTCTGGAGCAACATGTATCTAGAGATTAACAGTGTTCCTCGCTGTGCTAAAGCCGGGACAGCGCAGTGATGTAAGGCGGTCCACAGACCACTGGCGCGGTGATTTTGGTCAGGATGTGATGACAAACTTCGAAGACAGACGCTCCAAACTTGGTGGCAAGTTCAGACTTTCTCTGCGCGACACCCCTAAGACTTAGTGCTTTAGCCCTCTTTGCTGATCCAGAGGAGACGGCTGCTTAGCACAAAGCCAAGGAGCTCAATATCTGATTCACGCAAAGTTAGAGCAACTTAGATATTATTTATAACAAAACTCCCTGGAAGACTAGGTAATCGTCTTTCAGCGGGTCCAACTGCTGTAGTTGCTGGAAACGTGTGTTGTCTACATTGAGTCTAATCGGCCTCATATCTCCTTTCACGTTGCCGCTTTCTGAAAACAGGTTTCTCGTGGTTGGGCGGACCAAACCGGGATGAAGTTTCGGGCGAGCTTGCCCTCAACGAGGACGACATGCAGGAGACCTTAAAGGGCAAGTACAACCGTCTAGCTTTCAAGATGGTAATGGGCGGCGCTTACGCCTGGAGCCTATGCGCGCTTGTTCCGACGTACTCGCGTACTACGTCCGGGTGGTGAGCTTGGCCCCCTTCAAAACGAGACTTGGGAGAAATGTTGGTGTTCTTGTGTCCTTTAGTGCTGCTCTGAAGATTGCCGTATAGGAAATAGCAAACTGTTTTGCGCTTACCTTTGTGCACTCTGTATCCAGATGCATGATGACACGCAGCAGAGTGGTGATACTTTCTTCGCTCATGACCATCGAAAGGCACACAGATTAGATTCCTAAAAGGCCTTCAAATTGTCTTAAAGCTCCCCTTCTTCTCGAAAGATGAAGTTAGCATCTTCTATGATGATCAAGCTGGCTAAAAACTAGATCAAATCAACCGTCTGATGTTGCATTTGTGCCGTTGTAAATTGATCAAAGCCAACTCCAAGGACACCCGAGAGGACGTTGATCAACGTCAAGAGCCCAAACAAGCTCGTTTTGTTTACACCATAGATTGTTTCTTACTGTCCAGTCGATGCTTGAAGTGACTTCATGTGACGCCTCCGGGAAGAAAGCTGGCAAAGTTTTTTTGTATTACGCGAAAGGAGCCAGCCGGATCTCAGCGTGGGTCAGTTTCTCGGTCTTTTCGTAAAAATTTCCATGGTGGACTCATCGTCATGCTTCTATGCAGGGGGAGCTTTACTGGCCGGGCCAGAAAATGAGCTCGACCAACGTGGGCCGCGACCGAGAGGTGCAGCGCACGTACGAGCAGAGCCTCATCGAACACAAGAGCAACCACGGCCTTAACTACGCCCAACTCGTGAAAAAGCGGTCCTTCCCCAAAGACCTAGATACGGCCCCGAGCTCGGATAAGGCTGGGAGGACGCGAGCACGAGAGCAGCGAGGGCGGCAGCGACAGCAAACCGAGGACTGACAGCATGTGTAAGTACTTCGCTGCTTTTTCAGTGCTCAATGCCACTTGAGACTAGGTTCCGAATCGGCTTTTATCTGTGGTGTTTTACCACCCTTCGGGCTGCCCCTTAATGCTAGAGCGTGCCCCCGTAACCACACCGGTCGTCCACTTTTGACTGATTCACTTCGGCCCGCTCTTCTTCCCTTTATTCGTTCTGATCCAGGCCTTGTTGCGAGCTTGGGTACGAAGGTCGGTGGAGCGTGCTGAGCTGTTTGAAAGTCGTCGACTTGGCCCAATCAAGCCGGATCTGCAACGTAATTTCTGGTTGTGGTCGCCAGAACCAATCTACAAACGCGTGCAGCTGTCCTCTGTTTCAACCAAAAATTTGGGCGCATATACGATTCCAAAGCTGGTTCAATGATTTATCATGTTCCTTCTTTCGCAGCCTGTTCAGCGGCCAATAACGCAAACGGCGGAGGAGTCTTTCGAGGCTCTTTCCTTTCCCTAATGAACAAGCTTACCAAGTTCTGCTTTTGACTGGCAGGATGAGTGGTCAATCATTGACCTGCCTGTGCAAGCAGAGGGACTACTTCGGATGGTCTCCGGTTAAAAATTAGGGTCGGTTTACGTTGCGAAATTGGCACGCCATAAGACCGGTTCTGCTTGAGGATGGTAAGGCTTGGATAGCTCGAGAAGGCTTAGGTTTTGGCTTGTGCAGCATTGAGCAGTCCCGTTGCCATCAGGTTCGAGGGTCCGGGCAGAGACTACCGGCCGTCCGACAAACCTCTTGTGCAAATTCAGCACGCCAGCTTGGTTTGGCGACTGATACTTTGACACTCAGACGGAACTTCGTTCTGGTGACATGCATGCTGGCCGTCAGTCCAAGAGGATTCACAATATTATTTGAGCACAATTAATTGCTGGCGCTTGAAGCATATGCACCGTAGGTATATGTATGCATCCTCGGCTGTGTGGCATGAGTCGAACCGCATATATGCATATCGGTCCCAGCAAGGCGGAGAAAGTTGCAGCATAGGGTCCGTACAACTTCTGCATGGAATCCACATGGTTTCTAGGCGCCTCGAATCTGTACGAAGATCGTATGGATTTTGAATGCACAGAAATCAAGCCGTTTCTACATGGATTCTATTTCAAATTTCGGCATGGAATCGGTACAGAATCGAGACGCCCTAATTCCGGATGGAAGCTGTACGAGAGTTTAGCCGGAATCCAACTGCTTGAGTGTCATACGAACCGCGCATGGAAACGGAGGGGGGGCTGATTTGTGATGATTGTCCGCGGCAGCGTGTTGGAAGCTGCGATTGGATACTTCATTGACGGCACGCTTCCATTACAGAGGTTCCCATATCGTCAGGTACCAATAAAAGAAGCCTGGAACTTCCGCCAACTCATCATACTTTGAAACAAACACAACGCTGTCACAAGTGCCTATAGTTCGGGGCTTTATTTCTAGCAACTCTTCGGGGAACGCCTCCTAGCTTCGACGAGAACAGCCCCACCGCTTATTCGAGTCTCAAAAATCACACCTCAACCGTCCTACTGTACAAAAGCTTACACACCCGTACAAGCACTGCTACGAGTGTGAATGCGCGCCCGGCTCAATGTGCAGTAAATGTTCTCGGAGCCACTCCTTCATGACCTCAAACGCGTCGTCCGCATCCGCATCGTCCTCGAACTTCGGATGGTGGGCAAACGCGTGCTTCCGCCCCTCATAAATCTTTACTTTACTCTGCGCCCGCCCCCGCCCCTTCTTCAGACTCCGCTCCACGTCCCTCACAAAGTCGACCGGAACCAGCGGATCCGAGTCGCCCGCAATCAGCAGCAGCGGCACCTTCACTTTCTCCCCCAGTTTCGCGTCGTACCGCGTGCCGTAAAACGACACCCCCGCGCTGTATTTGCCCTCCGTATCCGCTGCTAGTTGCTCCACAACGCGGCCGCCGCCAAAGCAGAAGCCCACCAACGCAATCCGCCCTTCCCCTCGAAGCCCAGCCCCGTGTTCTGCCAGTTCCGCCGCGAGAAACTGGTGCGCGAGCGCGATGTCGGAGGCAACGCGCTCCGGGTCGTGCTGCTCGCGCCAGCTGTCGTAGCCGGACATGTCGCGGCCCTCTTCCCACGGCTTGCCCCGGAACAAATCTGCAGAGGAAAGCAAGTGCGCATGTGAGAAACAAACTCCGAGAAAATGGACCGACGGATGCCGTGGAATCTTCACGTTTCACAAACCGCTTCCTATTTATGATGCTGTGGCCCTCTTCCCACGACTGGCCCCGGCACAGGTCTGCAAAATTTAAGCAAGTGCACAGGTAAGAAACCAAATTCGAGAGGATCGGATCGACAGATGGCGTAGAATCTTCCCTACTCATAATCTTCTTGATGCGTGTTTGGAATGCTGTGGCCCTCTTCCCACGACTAGCCCCGGAACAGGTCGGAACAAAGAAAGCAAGTGCGCAGATGAGACACGATTCCAAGAAATAGATCGACAGATGACGTAGAGTTGTCACAAATAGTCATCTGCTTGCTTCGTGCTCAGCTTGTTGCTGCCCTCCTCCCACAGCTTGCCCAGACAAAATCTGCGAGGAACGGAGTAGTTTAAGAATGATTCACAAGAGGAACAAATCTACCAATCTAATTATGTTCGTCGTTCAATCTGAAGGAGTCGATTCTTTCCTCAAATCCATCAGATTTGAAATCAACCACGTTGCCGCCCACTTCCAACGGGTGTCCCCGGAGAGAGTCTGCAGCATAGACGGAATGCTAAGAAGAGAAACTCAGGAAGAAAAAGTAACGGGCAAAGTGGGTCCAAGTCGTCGAACGCGACATCTTCTCGTGACTGGTTTTCGACAGCTGTCATATCGGACTGTCGCGGCCATTCTTCCAGGACGGGGCCCAAGAACAACTCCGCAAAGCAGTGAAGCTCTGCGAAAGATGAAGTTCTACTTCGAACTCGCAGAGTCCGAGTAGGATCGACAGTCCAACTCGACCACGACATCAGACAGAAAGCAAGTCGAAATGTACGCGTGGCTACGTTACTCCGCTTGCAGAATAGTAACTGCAAGATTCCAAAAGGAGATGCCGATGGGAAGCAAGCCTTATGCTGCTTTTAGGGAACGCATTGAGAACCCCATTCGAAACACCCACGAAAGCCACACGCGTAGAATATTCCAGCTCGGTCGCTTTTTAAACTCAATTCGTCCAGAGACAGTATTCAAAGAGAAGCAAGCTGATGATTGGCGCAAGCCCCTTTGAACTACGCCCCTCTGGTACAAGTTCGTGGAAGCTGCTGAGGCGGCATCTGAGCTTGCCGTCCCGAACGCTGGATCGAAAGAGAGAGAGGATCCAATGAGGGGTCCAATTTCGTTCTTTCGTTCTCTGAAATTCATGTAATCAAAAGAGCCCATCTCTTATCATGCTCTCGCTTATTGCTCGGCCCTTAAATCACTATCCTCCTCGGATGATATGTCAAAATATTAATGTAAGCCGCAAGCACAAAAATATTCGCGCCTGCTGCCCGGATGGACCCAAGAAGCACCGCCTTAGCAAGACGACCTCGTATTTGCAGGCAAAGGACGAGAAGCCACAAGCGCCGCACCCCGTTCAAACACGTCGTTCTAGAGCATGTGCTTCGTAAGCAGGTCACCTCCGACGATATTGTTCTCTCCACTATCCCTCTCACAATTGAGTGATCAGTATAGACGAAACAAGTTAGTTTTAAGCCAACGAATGGATATAAGTTGAGATAAGGAAGTATATTATCTTCGACTGTAACTTAGGGGAACCTGGCTTAAAGACGCCGTACCTGAGCCATCCTGATCCGGCGGTCTTTCAACACATGTTCGAAACACCGTACATTGCAGAGATTGAGCAAGCCGCCAGCTATCACCTAGCACAGATACGCTGTGCGAACATGGTGTTCGAACCACTCTAATTCATCACCAAATCAATCAAAAAGCCCAGAGAAAGTCAGAATAGAGCCCCTTACCTGGCACAAACACGTTGTAGCCAAAGCACGCCAGCCGGAATGCATAGTCCCGTGTATCTTCATTCCCAATCCCCAGGATATCCGTCAGCAGCAGCACGCCGCTCCCGTTGTTGTTCTTCACCGCCTTTGCAAAGTAGGCTTCTACCGGCTCCTGCGCTCCCCCCCCCTCAATGTCCATTTCTACCTCGTTCCCCAGAACGAGCTCGCATACGTCGACGCTGTCATACGGGTCGTCTTGCTCCTGCTCTTCGACGCTGGGGGGCGAGGATGTGCTTGCTCGCAGGGCGGAAGAATGTCGGTGAGGTTTCGGTTGGGGGACATCTGAAAGGTGGACGAGAACAGGTTAGGGGGTTGACATCTGGAGCATTTTGACGCGGTTTCGGGGCGCGTTAGGCCAACTTCATGAAGAGCGATTGTTTTGGCGCCATCGACTGTGAGGTGAAGGAATGCAGGTGTGGCTGGGTAACATCAGGAAAGAAGTCAAGCGCAGGTTAGGGAGAGGTAGTGGAAAGTTGCATGAAGTTGCTTTCCCGAGCATTGAGCTGGGTTAGAAAGCGGTTAGCGAAGGAAGGGACGGTGCCTCAGTCATGAGGTCGAACAGCACTGGAGCTGTGTGGGTTTGGCTCCTGAGCATCTAACATGTGCGAGAGGAGGATAAGTACAGGTTGAGAAAGAGGTTGTAAATTTCAACATTCAAGGAATCTGAGAGTGAGTCCAATGACCAACTTCACTAGTCAGCAAGTGTGGACTTTTCAGAAGAACTCTGTAAGCGGATATGACGGAAATATCGATGGGTCGCGATAAAGCGAAGTAGAGGTGGTAAAAAAGGATGCTGGGTGGTAGGCCTCTGGAAGTAGGTTACGTCAAGGTTTTCTAAGAGGAGTTAGTCAGAGACTTCGTTTTGGAAGACCGAGTATAGAATCAACTTGCAGAATTGAACTCCAGTTTCTGTATTCATGCTTGTAATTATCCACTGCTGGCTGCAATATAAGAGCAGAAAGATGCCCTAGCGCAGGAGTACCTGGCACAAGATTTTGCACATCTGCTGTATGGCTGGCTAGAAACGGATTCATGTTACCGAGCACGAACAAGGGGTTCCCATCTCCGCTGTTACTTGAAACGGCATAGGCCGTTGACTCAGTATCTGAAACCTGAACTGATGTGCTCAGGTGTATCACAGATACTTGGCTTTGGGTGTGATGTGAGAAAGATGGGGCAAATCAGGCCAAAAGAGAAACAGAGAGACACGACTGGCATGTCAATGTCATTATGTAGGTCCGGTGTCCAGATGTCATGTATCAAATACCAAGAGAATTCTCTCTTGAGTCGCTTCAACAAAACCATGTTGCTGGTTTACAAAATGCAATGCCCCCAAAGGGAAGCTTTGCTCTTTCGTCGGGCAAACGGGCTTCCCAGGGCTCAGCTTCCTCTTTCATGAGATTTCTGTTCAGTGTGTTGTCTAATGTTACTCAGATGACGTCAAGCAGGTGGAGCCATTGGTTTGCAGTCTTCCAAAACTCTGCATATCCCAAATGCTGACACTTCGGAAGGTCTACTCTGAAAGATCTGAAAAGCGTACTGGGTCTTGGGCAGTTCCAAGAAAGTCAATGAGGACTTTCCGAAAATTTTCTTTTGATCTCAGGACAAAGTGTCTGTTGAACAATGACTTCTATTTCTAGGGGATAGAGTACTGAGGGCAAAGAGAAGTATCGACGGCCCTGCTCTTCAAATTCCAAATTCTCGAATCTGACCAGACACTTGTTGTTATGGACCGCCCAAACCCGCAACTGATGTAATGCTGCTGGGAACTATCTGACCCTGCAGGGTCACGGGTGCAACTTGACATAGAGAGCTTTAAACTGCTTATCAGGCCCTGTTGTCAAGAAGCATGAAGGACTCGTCGATTGCCTTTGAAAAATGGACGCGGCCTTCAGCCTGGCCCCATGGTTAGGCTAAGCTTGAATTAAGATGGTTATAATGCTAAGCTATTTGTGGAGCTAAGAGGGCCACATCAATGTTCCTTCAGAGCAAGAACTCATGCAAACCAGCATCAAATGTATCCAGATTGACCTGCACATGACTCTTTAGCATTGTGCTCTCTCACCTCTCGCTTGCACTCTCCGCAATTGCACATTCCTCCTTTTCACATCTCCTGACTGTGCGTGCGCCACCAAGCAAGCATGCCACCCGGACAATGCCAGAGACTTGGCCGAATTTGCAAGCCGAGGCAGAATTCCTGAGGCACGTACAGGAAGCGGGCATGCCGTCACGCACTGCGCAAGAGTCGCAGACGCCATGCTGGTGCTTCTATGAAACAGAATGCAGGAAATTCCTCGAGGCCAAGCTGAAGTTGAAGAGATGTTCGCCCTTATTTCAATTCATGGTACGAAACGCAAGATTGCGAGTGTGCCGCGCGCGCTGCATGGCGCACATGCAGTGCGCGGCCGCCGCGCCCGATCGGATGCAAATGGTACGTCAGCGCAGAGCTTGAAGAGGCGGGATGAATACTGTATTCAGGACCTTGTGCTTCCGAGCAGATACATTGTGATTGCAACAAACATGCTGGTTTGGTGGCGCGGGTGGTGTCAATTGACCTTCAGTATTTTGGTCTCCACTGACATCTCACTTTAGCATCTGCCAGGCCTGCTTGGCATACAAAATCATGCCCTTTGCTTTTTCGCGGATACATGCAGGCGTTCACATCTGGCGTACAGAAGAGGAGACGAACGCCAGCTATGAGCTTTTTCAACCACGCAGCATTCGAAAGTGGAGATCGTGCAACCATTCACAACTGTTTACCTGTCCAGAGACTTATTCAATTTGAAGAACGTGCCATGGCATGGCACTTAATCGTACCAAACAAGCATGCTTCTGTGCTTTGTCAGTCCAGAAGAACATCAGACCTTGGCAGGAGATGGTCAATACACATCATCGACGATCACGGAAATCTTCTGAGGTCACCAGCATCTGGTCGACTTCGCAACTATAAAGCAAACTGTATCTACTTATCGTCTTGCATGCGCCTTTTCAAAACGTCGTAGTATTGGTCAACTCTGAGCGCCGTAACGGAAACACAATAATGTTTCGTCTGCCTTTCCTTAGCCTCCACAACTTTTGACTTCAAGCCCTGTCCGTACGGCCTTGAGCTAACACGGGTCTACTACGCTAGGATTGTCGACTGAGTGCCGTCTATGCTAGGACTCTCGACTGACTGCCCTAGGCTAAGGTTGCGTTGGCCTCTGTTAGAAGCGACGAACGTACTAATCAAATTGAAGTATGCCAGCGCAGTTACTACTTGTAATAGGCTAAACTCTCAGTAGTCCCTCTTTCCTTCAACACACCCGTTGGTTCCTCAGGCGAATGTTTGGACTGTGCGTTGTCGCATTCCTCGACTTGTATTTCTGGGGAAACCTTGCTGAAGAGGACCGTGAAGAGGGAAAAACCCCTCCCAAATGGTCAACGGGAAAGGCAAGTGGTTGGAGAGGCTACGACGCTGATCAGCTTAATTCGTGTTTTTGACGACAGCCTCAAATAGCACCCCTTGCACACGACGCTAGCAAAAAGGACAACTCAGGAAGGTAGCGAACGGACTGACTGCACTCAGAGTTCCTTTGAGCTCGCTGAACCGAACACCGGATCGTTCCAGGCGAGGAACATCCAAACGGCAGTGATACCTGTAAACAAAAGAGACACGGCTCGTTCTCAACAGCAATTGGTCGAACGGGCCATTCTGAAAGGATTTCGAGCTTTCAAACACTGCAAAGTCACGAGAGAATATTTCCAGTGAAGGCAGTCTAGGGTGCTTGTCTTGGACATCGTACTCTGATGCGCTTACCCTATTCGGTTGTATGTTGGCTGCATCTACACTTTACCAGAAGACAAGCATAGAAGAAGCGTCTTGGAAACGAACGGATCGTTCAGAACCCCTACCTGCGGTTAGGCCGGGGGATATAAGTTGCTTCGGCCCAATGGTCTTGAAAACGAAAGCTTCGGTTCCCAGGTGTGCGATCGCAAGCACGAACGAGAAGATCGTTGTGAAGTATATCGGAGCACTTTCCAAGTTGAAAGCGGTGACGATGCACAGGATGCAGGTCAGGGAAGTCCACGTGGCAAAGGTCCTGGCGTGAACGTCCACCACTGCACGAGAATTATGTCTTAGTCTTACCAAGTCTGTTGAAGAGGTGACCACTTTCGAACTGATGAGACTCCAGGTGAATAACTGTGCAAGCTTTTTGTAATAACAGGCAGCCAAATTAGCCACATAAGACGGCCGATGTTGAATTGTCAGCTTGGAGAAGACAAGACCCCTGCCGCACTGTTGCATGGCCTCAAACATAAGAAGTAGAGAGATAAAACAAGATGCAAGAAAGTTTGCTGCCGTTTCTCATCTTTGCGGATTGCTTGGTTTGGTATAGCGGGCTCGGTGCAAGCATCAGCTAAAGCAACTACCGGTATAAGTCAGCTCCCACAGATAACTCACATTGAATCCTGCTGAAGAGCCCAATCTGTAGGAGGTTCGGTTTGAAGAGCCCCAAGTAGACTGAGAAGAGCCGTAAAGCAGCAACAAAGAGCAGCCAAATGCTCAGTCGTTCCATTCTGCAGGATCAGCAGCAGGGACCATTTCGTTTGACTGATTTGCAAATCCAATTCCTGTCATATTGATGCCACATTTGTATTAATCTGTAATGAAACTGCGGATACAATGTGAAAACCGCGGTGTCTAAAGAGCTCACAAGCAAAAAGTCAACAAGCCTGAGAGCTGTGAAAATGTGCATCAATCAGGAACCATATTGGTATGTTGAAGAAACAGCATTGCAGACATATTGCAGAATGCCACGCTTGCATCTATTTTCAAAGCGCTAAAACTGAACACTCATAGATCTGCTATCAAATGTAATGGCATCCCATAGATAGACCTTCAAAGCAACCACGGCAACCGCTGCACCCTTTGAAGCAGCCCAGCACATTTGCTCGTTAGAATATACGAAGTACCAAGGGCCAGCTTGACGCAGAGGTAGCCCGCAAGAAGTTCACCTAGACCTCACCTTTCTTTGAAGCTCTTCTAATCTTCAAATGTTGAGCTGGAAAAGCTGCGCAATGGTGAGTAGGTACAAGCGCCTGTTGAAACAAATACCAGAGCTCCAAGTTAGCTGGACATCATGAGCAGTCCGAATCCAACTTCGGGCCAAGCATGGTGGGAAATGCTGCATATAGGATATCCTATGCTGGCGACGGCGTGCAGAGCTCTCGTCTTGACACCAGCCTGCATGGTGGCCGGGGCTCAGACACCGAGACTGCAAACGCTCCAAGAAACGCTGAATTTGTGCACACCAGGTGCTTCCGAGTCTGGCCATATGCCTGGGCCGGTTTTGAGCAACGGGACGTGCCGGTTCTTTGATTTTGCCGGCAAATCATTACAGACTCAGTACAGGCCAACTGAAGATTTTGTGTCAAGGTCGCAGGTCTAGCTGCAGCGGCCTGGCTTGCTTTCGATTCCCAAAGCTCTTTCTTTCCGGCCTTCAAGTTCAAAGCTGCTGGCAGCTGCATGGGGATCGGATCAAGCTAGTGGCGGGCGTGCTGCATAGCGCAATCCTTGCATCAGACGCTTCGAACCGATCCTTGCATGAACCTCCCCATGTCGGCGCTGCGCTTTGCAGCATTGGTCTGTCGCCTTCCCAAGAGAGCAGCGCCGAGCTCCCTCCGAACTTATGCTGCAGAAGCGAGGCAGCGAGAAGCGAGCGGGCGCCCTTCTGACGGCATCACTTCGACTTGGAGCCTTAAATTGGACTTTGGCGGTGATGCAAAAGACTCCAAGGTGTCAGTAACTAGTGTGATTAACGAGCTGATACGAGAGTGGCTGGGGCCCAGGAAGAAGAAGGGGCGGGAGCGGTTCAGTTGGTTTGTGCGGACAAAAAGCAGTGGGAGGGAGGTCGACGCAGATGGGTTTCTTTTCAAGCCAGGTTGGTGCATCCGTATTCTTTCACTGGGATTGCTTGATTGGATCTTGATACTGTGTTCTGCAACATGCATGTGGATGACTTGCTTCCAATCGAGTCAGCTTTGGCAGCCAGAAGTTGTGCAGCAAGTGATTGAAGCTCTATGAGAAACTCAGCTTGCATGATTGAGTCTGATGACACGACCACCACCACCACCATCATGATTGCTTATGCTTCAAAGCTGGGTCCTTGCGTCCACATGACTTGTTGCTTTGCCTGCCTTCCTTTGTTTGCTCATCATGTCTTGCCTGGCGTCAAACGGTTTACTGCAAATTGGTTCGACACCAGAGGGTGGCGCTGTCAGTCGCCATGACTGTTTGTCTCTCATTTTCTCTTATTCGTTGGAGATTCTACAACCCTTGCTAAGAATTCACAGAAGAGCTGTATAGACCCCTCTCTCTCAACAATACCAAATCCCTTCTTTGTGTGCGCACGAATCTTTTCAGACTTCATTTACAACATGGCTATTTGCTTTACAACATGTTTTTCTGCTCCACAGAACCTTTCTCCTTACTCCTTCTACTGATTTGTGCCATCTCACCTGATGCACCCCTTCCGAGACGAATGAGTACGCAATTCTGTCGTCTTTGTGTTAACAAAAAAGGTTGAACGACAGAGGAGTTTGTATGAGGACTCAGAGTTCCCATGTCAGTATGTTAGTCAATACTCATCAAAACACACACCTTTCTTCAGGAGAGCGTCTGTCCGTCCCTGGCTACCTCATCCGAGGCGTCCTGTACGACCTCTCTTCTCTTTCCCTTGGGCGGGGCAACGTCGACCGTCTCGTCGAGAGGGGGCTAGTCCCCAAGGAACTTCTCCCCCCCGTTCCGGATGTGGAGCCCGAAACATTGGGGCTTGAGGATTTAATGGCAGACCAAGCAGGGGGCAGCAGACTGGGGTCTACCACCAGGCTCAAGGATGGCAGGGAGGAGGGGGGGAGTTTGTCCAGCCAAAGGACCCCCCTGAACGTGCAGAGTCAGGCGCTGGAAGCCCTCCAGAAGCCCACTTTTGGAGGGGGGGTAGGAAGTGCCGGGGAAAGCAACCCCCTGAAGCGGCGTGAGACAGAGGACGAGCTTGTGGGGCGTCTGGAGGAGAGGGCTCTGAGCGGTGCGCAGGCGAGCACGTCTTTCGAGACGGGGTCGGCTGGTGCGACAGAGTCGAAGGTGCTGGACATGGCGGCAGCTTTGGATGCAATCAAGGGTGCGGTGCAAAGTGGGGACGCAGAAACGGGTCCCGCAAAGACCCAACGACATGGTCGTTCTGGTGCTGATTCTAGTACGGGTATATCGTTACAGCCTCAGAGGCCAGAGAGTGAAGACGCTGCTTCCAAAGAAGAAAGGGGTGGGGGCACCTGGCTGACTGCAGCGCTGAACGAAACGTCTCGAGAAGAACAGAAAGCAGTCGTCGCAGCAAAACGAGAGGTTGAGCTGGACAAGACGATTCGTAACAAGTACGAAGGGAAGCTTAAAAGTATTCGTGAGAAGGCTGCTACGAGGAAGCGCGAGGGAAGGGCTGTAGACGCGGGTGCATTTGACATTAGCCGGGCGACAAAAGTGGGCTGGAAGGGGGGCGCGATTGCAGTGCCTGGAGCGGGAGGGGGAACGAAGTGGCGGGTTCTGCCCGGGGCTGGGGAGCTGCTGAAGCATCTGAAGGTAAGCGAGAGGTTCTGAGTCCCTCTCGTCGATGCGAAGTGGCGTCTTTACAAAGCCTGGCCCTTACGTTTTTCTAGCTTGGTTTATGAGATATCTACAAACAGGATCAAACGCCTGCTTTTTGCTTAAACGTCTGCAACTGTTTTCTGAGGGGAAGACGAGTCAGGGCCCTGCTTCTAATTATGTGGTTATTCCGGCTGTGAGTGGGGCCAGAGTGCTCTTGATCATAAAGAAGCGATGCCTTCCGCTGGTTTCTCCTTGTCTCCTGGACGTTGTTCCTGCGCTTCTTCTCGCCGCAACTCATTCCTTTTGAAGCTGATCTGGTCAATGATGTTGAGTATGTAGGAACGTCACTATGTAGGAACGTCAATCTGTTGCCTCCTCACAGCTCCTTGGCCGCTAAGCTTACATAACAGTCGGCTCTTTTGTTGAAGTTAACTGCAAAACAGTCACCTCCTTTGGATACGGTTAGTTCGAGATGGGGCACAGTTTTATCGCAGCCCTGACCGTCAATCCCGCACACGCGCTTCTTCGTCATTCAATCAATTGTCACAACGTCCTGCCAAGTGGTCCAAATTCGACCGAGCTCATTATCCTGCTCTGAATCCAACTGGGCCCGTTCTCTCTTACAGGAGCGAGGTCTGAAACAGGGCCTCTTCGTTTCCGCTTCGGACCCGGACAAGGACGAGACTCTGCAGCAGCTGCTGGAGTTCAAGTTCTCCCCGCTCGAAGAAGTGACGGCGACGGACGACTCCCCGGGCACCTTCGTCAGGTGGTTATTCAACTATGTTTCGGTTTTCCGAAATGCAACATTCGTCTTTGGGTTTATGTGACGCAAGTCATCACAAAACTACTTGCCGCCGCAAGGTCACCGTCCGTAGCTTGTCTTTAGTGTTGCCATTGGCTATCTCTTTGACGTCCTCTGTAAATGGCAAAAGTAACTTGACAACTCTGACAATGTTTGAAGTTCCGCGCGTGTCTCGTCGATTGATGCCCGTTTCAAATTCTTGCCCGACCGTTCTTTCCTGAGGAGTCGGTTTCGCATCCCCACAGCTTATCGGGGTGTTTCTCCTTCGCTTTTGTTTGACAGGGTACACGACTGTAGATCCTTCAGCCGAAGCACCCTGCAGTCCGAGCGCGACCAGAGTCAATCCATGCTGACCATTATCCAGTATAGTTTTTCTCCTTGAGAAGGATGCACAAGTTTGGGTTGCCCCAAGATAAGCTGGAGTACTATACGATGTGACAACGTGCACATCGCTGATTTGGGTTCTTGTATCCTTGCAGCCCTGAGACGTTCCGGCGGGTCTGTGACCAGTGGGGTCTTCCTCCAAAGCAGGTCTTGGTGGTAAGCCATTGCGTTTCCCCTCTTCTTCGACGTAGAGTATCAGCCGGTTTGGGTCTCCATTGGTGGGACCAAGGTTCACTCCGACATTCTGATCCGTGGCCGCAAGAGAGCTGCAGAAGAACATGTGAACTTTTTGAAGCGCTCTTCAAATCAGCGTAGTTTCGACGAACTTTCGAGCAGTCTTTACATTAGGCAGATGACAGTTTTTGGAGGGCCCAGTCTGTTATTGCCTCGAATTATGTTGGCCAATTCTTTGCTTTGCAGGTGGCTATTCCGCCCTTCATGATAAGAAAAGAAAATCAACAACAGAGACGTATGAACAGCTGCTTCGAAGGCGGTAGCCTCAGATGGACGAGCGATAAGTGGAGACAAATTTTCAGCAAAGCACTTGGGATCAATGATCAGGACGTTTTGTCGTGCAGGTAACTGGACCAGGCCCAGTGGGTCGCGCGCTTCTGGACGCTGTTGCCAGCAGCGGATGCTACCTCTGTCAGATGACACCGTACGGCGTTGCGCCCGTCGAGCCTCCGCCTACGTCACCTCCCGTCAGTATGACGTCAGCTACCGTCGAGGAGATTGCAGCGTCGAACGGCGTTGGCCGGCTGAAGCAGTGGTTGGGTATCGACGACGAAAACCCGGGGGCTCGGGAAGCGGTCTCCCGGGGGAAACCAAAACCGCATTTCAAAGTGGAAGATGTGCCCGGGTTAAAGGCCGTGGTGGAAGATCTGAACGGAGTGTCGTATCGGCGGAGCACGATGATGCGGGGGTTGGGGTCGGGGAGGGAGCGCGCGGCTGCTTCGGCCGACAACGAGAAGGTCTTTGTGTGAAAAGGGGACAATTCTGTTGCATGGCAGAGCATGTTTCCTCATGTTTAGATTGAAGAGATCAGACACATCATCGGCTTAGAAGCAGTCGCTGTTCCGGCACGCTTAAATCATTCTTGCGCAAGGTCATTATTACAGTACGCTTTGGGAGTCATGTTAACCTTTAATTGCTGCTCGCGTGTAATGCATGGTGGACGAATTGCTTTTTTAAAGCTGAACAGCGTCACGTAGCACGTCATGCATGCGGCTTGTTACCGGCTTGATATTATCATCCCCGACATTCAGCTCACGCATGCAGCTCGCATGGTGCCCCGGGCCCGTCTTTTTCAGATTCTCGATGCGTTGCAGAAACTACAGTAGGTATGCGTTTTCAATTGCGCCACGAATGGCTTTTGCATGGACTCGCTTTGCGGACAAAGAGCAATTGATAACAAGATCAATCTGACCGAGGCATCTCGTAATCAAGGTTTGCTCAAACGAGAATCACGTATGTCGTAAGCTCTCTAGTTATACATTCCCGCGACAGTAACCAATACCTCATTTTACAAGGTTCACATATATTGGCGCTTGAACGACAGTAGTACTTGCGCGTGAATCCTGCAAGATGGGCCAACTTGACGCCGATGCCATGGTCAATCTGCCCTAGTGACTACCAACTTTATCGTCAGATGATAGGCCGCCGGGAAATGCTCTGCATCCCAAGATTATGTCACTCAGTCTTTAACTAGGCCTTAGGTGGGCCTAGGTTTTCGTGTGCATGTTCAACTTGGAACCTGGCCTCTTCAATGACAGTGACCGTTGATCTGTACCTGATACCAGAAAGCACGCCGTTCGATGAAGTCATGCACGCAGTTTGAGTGGTGATATGTCGGACATCCCATGGTTTTGTTCAACGTCTAGGTACGAGATCAAAGAAGAGGCGCTTCTCCTTCCGCCTTGCAGCATGGCGGGCGAGCAATTGCGCGAGAAGGGCGGAAGGAACATGCAGAATGGCGGGGCGGGTAGCGACTTTGACAGCATCTGTCCAGATATTCTGGACTGCATCATGCAGAAGGCAGTGAAGGCTAAACCATCAAGCTTGACGCAGCTGGAACGAGTTAACAGGGCTTTCCAGGACTCTGCAAGGCGGTGTTCCAGAACTCTAATCCTTCATCGGCGGTACAGAAAACGGTCGGCATCAGGAAAGCTGGACCCCCTGAAAGGAGAAGATGCATGCGCAGCACTCTGCAAAGAGATCAGCCTTCGGAGGTCGCTTTCTAAGCTGATTGTCCGAGAAGCCAGTGCATCCCTTAGGTTAGCTCTTTCCAACTGCAAATGGAACAGTGTGGAGGCGAGTAGTACCTATGAGAAAGAGATTGCAAAATTCTGTGAGCTGTTCAGGGGGGCAAGAGAATCACTGAGAAGTCTGAACATTGTGAACGGGGCCTCCTGGAACTATCACGAAGATCTTGAGCAGATTGTGCGAGCTTTTCCGCAGCTCGAGAACTTGACCTTTCGCGGAGAGTGTCGCAGTCGATACCGAATACCTGCGAAGGATTCCGTGAAGCATTGCGCCAGCCTGGAGTTTGCTAACAAGGCTCTCAGTAGGCTGGACTTCTCTGACATACCCTTTGATCATATGGCAGACGTTGATTCGCATCTACCAGCTTGCCTTCAAAACCTTCGTTCCTTGAGGCTGAGGTGCCTATTTCATGTGTCCCTCAGCGACCCTGCTTACGACAACAGCCTCTCCCCCCTAAGGCTTCTCAGAACTCTGCGGCTCAACGTGGGGCTCACCGTGTGGCCCGGCGGATTGACGTCTAAGCTCCAGGAGGTGGCGAAGTACTGCCCCTCTTTGCAGCGTCTCGTAATGCACGCAAGCCCCTATTCCACCGATTCGTGTACCGGGGTGCGGGCCGGGGGCAGGTCCTGAACTTTCCTGATCTTTCTGACAAGTGCCCCGAATTGGAGCGGCTGTTGATCAGTCGAAGCGAGGTGGTATCCGGAGCCGACTTCTCAGAGCTTGTGCTTCTACACTGCGGCCCAAATGCATTGAATCTGAAGAAACTTTATTCGAAGATTCTCATTCTCGAAGACGCCGACCTGTGTGAAGAAAAGTGCGGCCCCTTCTGCTCGGTGATTGGGGTTTGTTGTGTATTCTCGCAATTTGCTCCATTGATTGACTGGGACGATCCCGAAACCCAGGAACGACTTCTGGGCAAAGCGGAGGCTGTCCAGCTTTGGTGCGAAGCTTATTGTCAAGGAGGATAAAGATGGACAAGGCACTGAGAAGCGGGGAGCATGAACGGCGGTAGAGCCTGCGTTCGTTCATCAAAGTCATCGGCTCACGTACTGTATTTTGGACTCACTTAGGGGATGATATCAAAAAAGGATGGGGGGATGGCTGGCAGATGGTAAAAATTAGATTGCTCAAGGACGAGTCCATGCATTCGGAACTTCCAATGTAGACGCTGTAGGTCCGAGCATGAACTGAAGTACCTTCGGCCATTGCATGCGCTTGTGAGTTCTTAAGTTGTTATAGAAACGCAACCATGGCGGCATGGTATGAACACGCAGAAAGGCGTCAACGGTTTGGAGCTATAGGAGGGATAAGTATATAAAAGTGGTTCATGGAACGGAAGGAAGCTTGATTACTAGTAAACAAATAGCTTTGGTCCGTTCGAAACTGTGTGATAGATTTCCTTGGCATGCGCAGCTTACCGTACACCTATGGCATGGATCGCCTATACCGTACTGCATGAGCAATTTACGTTAAGATTGCCGCGATTCAATGAATTCAAGCCCTGTTGGGACACGATACTGAACCAAAGTCATTTTGAGCTTTGCAGCCCTGTCAGATGACGCCTTACGTGCGCGTACGACACCTTTCTTCGACATGACGTCGGCTAATGCGGAGGAGATAGCAACGTCGAACGGCGTTGACCGGCTGAAGCAGTGATTGGCAATCGACGATGAAAACCTGGGGGCTCGGGAAGCGGTCTCCCGGGGCCGGGGGAGCATTCTAGGGTGGAAGATGTGCCCGGGTTAAAGGCCGTGGTGGAAGATTTGAACGGAATGTCGTAACCGCGGAAAACGATGATAGGAAGCGCGCATCTGCTTCAGCCGACAACGAGGTCTTTTCTCAGGGTAGGTATGAAGATATCAGGCACAACATCTCATGAGCAGTCGCTGTTCCGGCACGCTGAAATCCATCTTGCGCAAGTTCATTGCTTCCTTGCTCAGTCCTTATATATTATCTTTTTGGAGTCCAGTTGGTTGCATTGCTGCTCGCGTACATTGACGTGGACGGATCTTTGCGGAGGTGCGTCATATGAATGCGGCTGGTTACCCTTGACATTGTTATCCGCAAAATTCAACTCAGCTCGCGGGGCCCCTGCCTTCTAGCTTTAGGTTTTTCAACGCGTTGCAGAAGCTACAGGGGGTCGGCGTTTTCATGCGCCACGAATGGTTTTGGATTCGCTATGAGGACAAAGGACCTTCATTACATACTCAATCTGACTGAGGCATCTTATTTAGACGTTTTGCAAACGAGATTCACGTTTCTCATATGGTCTCTCGTTATACAATCCCGTGTCGGACAGGAAACGATACCTTATTTTACAAGATCCACATGGCGCTTGAAGGACAGTAGTAAGCTTGCATTTGTCCTGTAAGATGGGCCATGTTGAGGCCGATGGTCGATCTGGCCCAGCTGTGACTACTTTATCGTCAGATTTGATAGGCCGGAAAACGCTCTGCAAGATGCCAAACGTCTGTGATATCCCAACATCAAAAGTAATTCAGTCTAGGCCTATAGTGCGTGCATGTTTACTAGGAACCTGGCCTCTTCACTAATCGTCGATCTTAGTAGAAAGCACGCTGTTCGATATTGACGTCATCCACGCGGTTCGATTGACTGATGAACCTTGATCAGTGCATCCCATGCTTTTGTTCAACGTCTAGGCTCGAGATCAAGAAAAGGCGCTTCCCCTTCCGCCTTGCAGCATGGAGGGCGAGCAAGTGCGCAAGAAGGGCGGCACAAACATGCAGATTGGCGGAGCGGGTCGCGACTTTGACAGCATCTGTCCAGATATTCTGGACTGCATTATGTAGAAGGCGCGGAAGGCCAAACCATCAAGCTTGAAGCAACTGGAACGAGTCAAAAGAGCTTTCCGGGGACTCTGCAAGGCGGTGTTCTAGCACCTTGATCCTTCGCCGATTCAAGGGACAACTGACGTCAGGAAACCCGGTCCCGCTGAGAGGAGCAGATTCATGCGCAGCGCTCTGCAGAGGGATGAGCCTTCGGACGTCGCTTTCTAAGCTGGTTGTCCGCGAAGGCAGTGAATTCCTTACAGTAGCTCTCTCCAATTGCAGATGGAAGAGTGTGGAGGCAAGCACCTCTGAAACATTGCTCCCAAGATTCTGTGAGCTGTACACAGGATCAAAAGAGTCATTGGGAAGGCTTGAGATTGTGCTAACTGGAGTGTCGTGGAACTATTACAAAGTCCTCGAGCAGATTGTGAGAGCCTTTCCAAAGCTTGAGAACTTGACCCTCCGCGGAAAGCGACATCAATCTCTGTCATCCGGAGGGCCTGGTTCTTCTATTCATCGCGCCAATCTGGAGAATGCCAACACCTCTCTTATTTGCTTGGACTTCTCTGACATACCCTTTGACGATATGGCAGACGTTGCCTTGCACTTACCAGCTTGTCTACAAAACCTCCATTCCCTGAGGCTGTCGTGCAACATCCACGCACCCGATTCTGGATATGCGTACCGAACGTTGCTTGGTTCTGATATCAGCCTCTTATCCCTGTGGCGTCTGAAGACCTTGCGGCTCGACGCGTGGAGCGAAAAACAGAACTTTGCGTTTAGGCTTGGAAGAATGGCGAACGCGTGCCGATCTTTGCAGCGTCTCGTGCTGAACGCAAGCCCCGAAACGACGGAGTTCCTTAGCTTTGGCAAGCGGCCCTTCCTGAGGTTTCCCGACGTTCCTAACGATTTCCCGGAGTTGGAGCAGCTGCTGATAAGTCGAATCGAGATAGTAAGCGGAGCCGAATATTCAGAGCTCCTGCTTGAACACTGCGGCCTCACTGCAGGGAAGGCAGCAGTCAAAAAGAAGATCCTCATCCTTCAAGACGAACGCTGTGAGCAAGTGTGTGGCCCATCGTGCTTGGTGACCGCTTTTCGTTGTATTCTTCCACAGTATGCTTCCTGGATCAATTGGGACGATCCTAGGACCAAGAAACGAGCACTTGGGAAAGCGGAGGTGGTGAAAGTGTGGTGCGAAATATTTCTGTCAAGCTGACCAGTACTAGATGGACAAGGCACTGAATGGCGGGAAAGCGAACCTGGTAGAGCACTCTCTTCGTCTTGTTGTCGTTGCATCTGGTCTCGAGAATCTGGGAGTTAGCGAGTGGGAAAGAGGAGAAGGGGCGGACGGCTGGGCAAATGGTGTAAAGGCGAGACAATAATTAAAGCCGGATCCGAGAATGCTGATACAAGCGACCTTCCCAGCAGCAAATGAGCTTTTCCAATACATGCTTAATAGATGTGAGATAGGTCTTGAGACGCGGACGAACGTTTGAAGGATTTTTAAAAAAATCGGGAGATCTAGCCTGCTCAAGGCTTCCAGCATGTATGGATGCTCAACTTGAGGACTCAAGACTTGACACGCCTCCAACTAGTACTGATGTGAATTGCTCCCACCAGGTGGCTTGAGGATGACTGGCACGCGCATGGCCTCGCGTGCCTTCGTGGAATTGTAAACATATCAAGGCTGAAGAGCTGCTAGTTGCAGAGGCACGTGGTGCACATGAGACGGTACACGTATCCTACTAGTATTAGCTTGCAAATTTGCTTCTTGTACATGTTCGGCGGCTCACGTGGGCATGCACTTCCTCAAGTATGTTTACGCTTGTGACGTTGCAATACGAGGTTTCCTACTAAGTACAGGCAACGTATACTGCATGGACCTTGCGCTGGCCATGGGCTTCTGCACATTCAATGTCGACTGAATGCATCCTATATACGTACGGCTATACCAATGATCACTTGCTCGATGGCAATTCAGCATGAAAGTTGGGGCTCCCTCTCAACTTACAGCCTACCAGGTTCGCCAGCCTAGCAGCTGCTGCTACACATATCTTGCAAGCTTAAGCCCGGATCATGTTTAATGCAAACCATTCTGCATTTCCGGCGGTCAGTGGCGCCGCCATGGTAGCGAATGACCATCACAACTAAAGTACAGGCCTGCATCCGACAAATGAATTTTTACGAGGATTCGATGTTGCTACTACAATGACAAGTATGTACAGAGCACTCAACTTGAGTGTTTGCAATTCTAGCCACCTAACGTGGCACGCCTCTGCTACCTCCAACCCCAACCTATTTTGACCCCAGAGTTGTCTCCAAATGATAATATACAACGAGATATGTTATTCTGACAGCAGACAAGCCCCCCGGGCATCTGGGATTGTTGACTGTCTGCTAGAACAGCAATTCTTTCCTGTCGGTCCCCAAAGTCTCCGCTCCTGCCAAACCCTTAAAAAGCGTACTCAATCAACCCATTCCCAATCTTATCTAGTCTCCATAATCTGCTCGTTCCATTCCGTGACTCTCGAGCCCCCAAGGCAAAGTCAAATTCCCGTCAATACATCGCAGAATTTACCAGTGCTCTCAACGCACTAACACCCTGTATACCAATGGTTACGACTTCCATCAACCCGGTTCTCTTAAGCCGGTCTCCGTCATTTCTTGACCGGTGTGGCGGTCCAGCTGGCACCGAGCTCCTTCTTCGGTCCGTGCATTTTGGATCCGACCGCGATCGCCGCGGGCCGGTCCATCCACGCGAGTGACATGGCCGCGGTCCACGAGAAGTCGTGCCCGCCCTCCCCTTCCCCGGTCACCGGGTTGAAGTACTCGAACAAACCCGATTCGCTCGTCAGCGCAATCGAGTGGTCCTTGATGCGGTTTGCAAGCGCGTCGTACCTGAGGAGGATTCGCAGAGCGTTAGGTTTCGTACAACTGAGATCTTTAGAGAGCCTCTTCGTCGACAGTCTTATCGTCCTTCTTATATTTCCCGTACCATCGGAGGAAACGAAGATCCTTGCGTTTGGATCCTGTATCAGCCATTGTGCGCAGTAAAGGGTGACCTTGGAGAGTTTCATTGCTCATCGTCCACCGACTACGAGCAGAAATCTCGGTTGGGAAAGGTGTTGCCCGAGCAGATTGGATCACACTTGTCCCACACAAACAGCAAACCTTGGCGGATAGGTCGAAACATAGGCGGATGCATAGGTTAACCAAGCATGCAAGAGCAAAACTACTCGCACGTCAGGTTAAAGCCCGACTGACATTGACGAGTGTCAGTCAAAATTAACGAAGGTGTCACGCCTAAGCCCTTTCCAAATCCTTCACACATGCCGGGTTCGGACGGAAGAGCATCCACGAACAGGACAACAAAGTCCCGACTCCTTGAGTCCCTTCAAAGCAGACAAGGAAAATAAGGCATATGAACGGACAGTAAACGTAACACGAACAATCCAGCGCAACCGAGACGCACCCGTAGTGTTTGAGCCCGTTCGAGATCATCCAGTTGATGATGATCCAGACGGGTCCCCGCCAGTAGCGCAGCGGCTCGAAGCGCGGGTCCGCGGGGTCCATGCTCGGCACGCCGTACTTGACCTGCTCCAGCCACTGCTCGAGAGTACGCACGAGCCGCGCTGCGCGCTTCTCGCTTACGACGCCTGCACGGGTACAGAGTTGTGCTTTGTTCCTTTTTTTGTGGGCACTTTTCTTGTATGTGTTCTCTGTTTTGACTTCAGCCAAAAAGCGACGCTTGACCTGCTCCAACCACCGCTTCAAGGTGCGGACCAGCCACGCTGCGCGCTTCTCGCTTACTACGCCTGCACGGGTGCTAGATCGTGGTTATTTTCCTTGACTTGATAGGTTTGCACTCCTCTTATTTCTGTTTTCTTTCTGTCAATTCTCAAAAAAAGCGGTGCTTGACCTGCTCCAACACCGTTCCAGAGTGGGGCACGAGCCGCGCTGCGCGCTTCTCACTTTCTACGCCTGCACGGATACATACTTTAGCTCCTGTTCCTTGAAAGGTGTCACTTTTCTCGTTTCTCTCCTATTTGTAGACTACAAGGAAAAACGGTGCTTTCCCTGCTCCGACCACCGCCCCAGAGTGCGCAGCAGCCGCGCCGCGCGCTTCTCACTTACTACGCCTGCACGAACACGGACTTCTGCTCTACTTCTGGTGTCATTTCTCTACTTTCTTCTCCTATCTATGTACTTCAACCATAAAAGCAGTGCTTAATTGTTCTGCTTTTTCTGGTCTGCCTCCAACCGCAGGTGGAACCGGTTCTGTCTCATTCTTGCCACCCTCAAGAGAACCTCGACGCGCTGACAAACTGGGCGATCGATATGCCACAGCTTCTTTGTGTTCTTCAGCTTTTTCTGCGGTAATCAACGCAGACGGTAGGATCTTACCAACTTTAGATTCGCAGGGAGCCTTGAGCTGATAAACGGTACGGTTCTTTCAAACCTTTCATAACCGCAAGAAACCCTGAGCCGACGGCCTAGTCTAGGAGACCCTGGACTACGCCGATGAATGGTTTCCAATTGATATGTCCATAGAATGGTGATTCGTACTGCCTTGCTCCAAGGCTTGAAAATTACCCGAAGACTCGTCGTCGACATATGATACCCACCGGCGAACAGAGGGAGGAAGCCCGCCGAGATGGCTGCGGGGCAGAGCTTCCCGGTGATCTGGTCCCGGCACTTGTAGATGCCCGCCTCCTCGTCCCACAGGCTTTCAAAGCCCTGGAAGCCCTTGTCCAGCCACGCGTCGATCTCGGCGACCACTTCCTGCCTGCAACGGGGCAGAATAACGGCGCTCAGCTCAACCGGTGCAAATGGTGCTGCTTGAAGCGGAAAGTGCTGAGTATTTCCCTCCGTCCAACGTACTCGACGAGAATGAAGGGAGCGAAACGATAAGGCTTGACCAGAACCCCCAACGGCAGAAGTGACCGGTGGAATCTGCCTCCAAGAAGGTGAGGCAGCGTAACCGTTGCAAAAACGTTCACACGAAGCGAACGAAACCGTGAAACCTGTATGCAAAATCAAATTCACACGAGAGCCGGATTGTGTTGCAATCTGGAGTTGTTATTCAAATTGGACGAATAACGACTCCAGTCTGCAACATCTACCCTCGGGCTTCCTGTAGGGTTAGGATAGCGTTCTGCATCTACTCTGGTTCAGAAGGGGCGAAACGGGCGAAACGGGCGAAACGGCTCAAAAGAAGGTGGGCACTTCAAGCGTGACCTTCGATCTCAACAGGCAGACACATTTTCTCGAGTTCTTTTGTTGAAGTTCTGCAGTCTGAGTGGTGTGAATGCACACCTGCCCAGCTTGATGGCGAGCCACCGGAGGTCCCGGTTGGCCCGGAAGAGGATGCAGTTGACGCACAGGTCCGTCACTCGGAACGGCGAGATGTGGTACAGCTTGTCGGGGTCGTAGAAGTTGGCGTTCTTGAAGCGGTACAGCAGCGTCAAGTAGTGGTCGTACCTGCAGGCAAGCAACTGGCTTAAGTCGTCACGGTTTCATATTCGCTTCAGAGTCCCTTGGGCCTTGATTACCCCCTGAAAATATCTTTGATACAGCCTTGATACGTACGCCAAACCAGATCGCTCCAGATGTATTAGACGGACCCTCGGGACCCGCCAACGTTTCATAGTCAATAATGAGGACGAGAAGGGTGCTCACAGCATCAAGGTTCGCTTGAAGCTGCGAACTTACCGACCAACTTTTCGGAATAAAAATGCCTGGACCACGAAAGAGCCCTACGCCACAATCCTCAGAAAGTGCCACGTTGGGGAAGTCAGGATGCTTGAGGCAGACAACAAAAAAGTCACCGGCTCATTACACAGCCACAATAGAACACCATTCAAACTTCTGCCAGGGTTTCGTCAAAGCTTAGGATATTCTCCTTGCGCCAAAGTCACGTCTGCTCAAACCATTTACTGAGAGGTTGAGTCCACTCAAATCTTTCTCGGTAGATCTTCAGAAGCACGAAGTTCAGCTCGCAGTGCATCTGGCCTTCTACAATTTTTGAGAGCTTTTCCTGACGTACTTAAATCCTTCCCTTCTACTCTCTCTTGCTTGGTTTCGCTTAAAACTCAAATAAGCTGCTCACGTTTCTTTGGTCGGCCGCATCTCCGGGTGCACGTGGTTCAGGTCGCACCGCACGTACGGCTGCAGGTTGTCGACCGGGAAGCGCATCGGCTCGTCCCACGCGGGGCTGTTGTCCATGCCCGACTCCCACGGGTGCAGAATGGCGACGACGCCCGTGTTGAACGGGTCACGCGCCTTGTAGAACCACCGGTGCCACGCCAGCAACTAGGGGGGCGCGAGAGAAGATCAGCGCAAGTCAATACCCCGCTTCCGTTCGTTTTGGAGCGGTGCAATTTGAGAGGATGTAGGGTGGAGTCTGAAGAAGTTCAGAAGGACCAGTGTTGCACAGGTTGTGCGCCTCGCAGAGTAACGTGAGCAACGAGGAGGGGTTGAAGAAGTTTCAGAGTGTTTAGCTAGTTTCCCAATTCTGTTGTCGTCTGAACAAAAGCTTTCGAAGTCGAAGGGCTTGGAAGATCCGGTTGGGGTGGATGAGGAGGATCGGGGTTGAACGGTTGCGTGCCTTGTAGAACCACCGGTGCCACGCCGGCAACTAGATTGGGGCGAGGATTCAGCACTCCTTGAATGTTTCAATCCAAAGCGTTTCAGCATTTCCAGCTTTCGTTGTTCTCTGGTGAGGAAACCGTAAAGGCCTGCAGAGGCTCTTGGGTTGCGATGGTGAAGAAGGATGAGTGATAAACGTGATGCTCGTATTGTGAGACCACTGATGCGAAAACGAGAAAAGAGGAGGGCGGGAGGAAACTGATAACATTTTGTTCTTTCCATTTACGGTCACCGTTGTCTTCAAAACTCGTGAAAAGTTGTAAGCGTAAAGAAGGATCGGATCGGATCGGACGGAGAGCACGCGCCTTGTAGAACCACCGGTGCCACGCTAGCAACTAGAGGAGGGGGTGCGGTTTCGAGTTGGGATGGTACAAAAGAACCGACATAAAACGCATTGCAAGCCATGACGGACCATCACTGCCCAAGATTTTTTTCGAGCTTATGACAGTCGTGGTTGTTGATAGTTTGAGCACGGAAACGACGTGATTGGAAGGATTAGCAGTGCGGAATTCCGCGGTGTTGTTGAAGCATGGCAAAGGCATTCGCGACCAGCTCCCAAACGGTAAAAATCACACTGTGCCGTCCAACGCTTTCATCCGGCTCTTAGGGCCAAAGTTTCTAGCAACGGCGGTGACATCCAGCCAACCTCAGTCTCAATCCTAAGACGAAACGCAACCAAACATCGGCAGAGGATGTTAGTGCTCGGTGCGCTCTCACCGGCATGCGGGCGCGGCCTGAGAAGAAGAACGGAAGGGGAGTTTCACCTTTGGGAAGAGCTTCCCGGCTTCGGACATGGCGAGCAGGGGGTCGTCCGCGTGCTCGTACAGAAACCGCACGCTCATTGCTGCCACCGGGGGCTGCGTGATACCTGCCCAACGATCACAAGTGCAAGTGTCAAAGAAAACGACGTCTACCCACTTCTGGTTGGACGAGCCTAATGAATTGTGTGTTCTCAAAGAATGAAAGACCGTGATACGTACATTCACCGAACATATTTCTCAGAGCACAGACAGGTTGATTCTCTGTAAAGATGGTCTTTGACCATGATTCATTGGGTGCAGGCAAAGTGTGATACTCTCGAAAAGGGAAACGCATGCTCCGAACTTGTGCTCATACGATGAATCCTGCGCTCTCAACCGCCTGGAGTCAGGTCGTTGTATGAAGATCTCCCCGCCTGCATGCCTGATGCCAGCCCAACACCATCTGAAACATTCCCTGGTTGAAAAAGACAACCGAACTCATTCGCAAAGAAGAAAACTTCGTACTTGGAAGGAACTCCGGTTCTCCTCACCTGTTGACTTGCTGGGCTTTTCCTTCGTGCCCCAGATCTCCGGCCCCGGAAAATACGTAGTACTCGGCTTATGAAACACGATCGAAGGAACCATTCCGTCCTCCCACTGCCCCGAGAAAAGGGACTCGATTTCCTGCCAGGCACGAGCCTCGTCGAAAACGGCCCACCCCGAGGCCACGATCGCCGAGTCCCAGTTCCACTGGAAAGGGTAGAGGCCGTGCGCGGGGACAGTGTAGCCGCCCAGGTCGTTGTGTCGGAGGACCTGTGAGTGGGAGCAAGTCCTGGATGTTGACACCGAAATCTCAAGTTCTGGAACGAAACCTTGGAGAATGCGGTTTGCGTTCATACGAAGGGGTAGAGGCCTTGCTTCAATAACAAATCCCTCAGACCGTTGTCTGAAGGACCTGCAAGTGGAGGAGCTTTTGGAGGAGAATCAGCTCTTGACATAGATTTGAATGACTTGCAAAAAGCCCTCGAAGTTTCGCATGCGGTGGAGGGGTTGAAGGTGGTGCACGCCGATGGTGAAGCGGCCCATGTGATTATTTTGTGAGACCAAGAGAGAGAGCAAGGTCAAAACTTAACACGCAATGCGCAGCCGCTGGAAGGTGACCTCACAGATGCGGGGCCTTGGGTGGCTCACTTTGAGCAACCATTCGAAAGGATCTTCCGCCTGCAAGCAACACCTGGCGGCAGGGGGGAGTTGTTGGCAAGCAAATCGAGTAAGAGCTTCATGCGTTTAGTCCTGCATCCCGACTTGATTTAGAGGAGGCCACGTTCACAGAATTGAAAATCACTAAGAAGGGACATCATAACGAGCGCCTGTTTCCCATCGCTGTTCCGCACTGCTCTTGGCCCCAAAGCTTTCTGTGGGCCTACATCATGCTTCCAAAGTTTCCGAAAGAAGATATAAAGCTGCGCGCGCAACAGCCTGGACCTAAAGACACCACGTTGCATACTGAAGGCACATCTCCTGTTCGTTGGGCCCTGTTATAAGTCGTACCCGCTTTTTGGAAGCATGCGCTTTACACCTAGAAGCTTGGACCAGTTTTCACAACCTTAATCATCAAGTACTTCGTTCTGTAAGATTTGTACAATTTCAAAAGCCTGTGATGACGTCAGCTCACCGTCATGGACTCCTCCACAATCTGTATCCGCACATCATCGCTGGACGGGTGCAGCTGCACGTTCTTGCTCTCCGAGAAGAGCCGCCGGAGGCTCTTCTTCCGCCAAAAGTTGCGGTCAGGATTCCCGTCTGCCTTCTCAACTGTCGCGATTGGCACGGGGGACGGTGGCTCGGCAAAAGCAACGCGCCTGCGCCTGCGAAGCAGATGAGACACACTTTTTGCCCAAGTGCACGACAATACGCATAATAGAAACTTATTGCGGGAGAAAAGAAAGTTTTGGTTAGAAGAAGTGTTTGGTTAGATAATGTTGCAGGGAAGATGCTCATGAAGAGGAGATGTGTTGAGGTCCTGCAATTGCGCCCGCAACGCAAGTCCCTAATGCGACACTGGTTGCAATTTCCTGCAAACCAAAAAATAAAAAGTGGGGCCAAGCTCAACCGAACTTGAATCAACTGTGTCTCAAGACTTAAATGTTGGTTTCTTTGAAAGCACCCCTATTTCAAGTATTTTGAATCAACAGCATTAGGCTGTTTGGTCAATGAGGGGAACAACTGAACATTTGTTGGAAGTGCAGCAATATCGCTTGTTGCATAAGCAGACAAAGGTCCCCAACAAAATGTACTTACACATATCTTCTGACAAGAGGAAGTGAAGCTCACAGATGCAGAATCGTGCACGCAAAAGAACCGTATTACAATGTCAGCTGGGGGATATACAGGTGATGCACCATTGGGGGAGTTTGGCATCGCACTGCAACGAGAACCCTAACTGAATGGATTCTGGCGTCTTGTGTATGCCATCCGTATCCTGGACCGCAAGGCTGGTGTGGCCACAAATATATCGTACTGTAAGCAGAAGGCCACAAAAATAATTGCTCATAGGGCTGTGCAATTTGCCCAGGTAATTTCCCTCCAGTCACATACAAGAGGCGAATTGCAAAGGGGTCAGTGGCAATAATGTGGCTGCATATCGCGCCTCGACCACTTCACAGCGGAACGCTTTATTTGATGCAACAGTGAATTCATCTAACTCGAGAAAGACTCACAGAAAAGTCTCAGGCATAATGGAGGACAGGGATCAGCCTCCCAGATTGGCAATCGGCACAGATTTTGGCAATTGAAGGAAGAGCTGTATAGCTGGAGTGCACGAAAAGAGCAACCAAGACTGGATCATCTGAGATAAAGCGGACCAACTCACGACGCTGATGTCGGCGTCAGCAGCGGACTACTCCCGTTCGCCGACCTGGGAGAGCGCCCCTCCATGTAGAAGTCTGCGAGCTTGCTGCTGTGAACCTCCACATTGTCAGGCCTTGGTTTGATCGAGAGAGGAGCTGGCAGGTCGCCATTTGCAGTATGTTGCAACTTTGGGGGCCCTGAAGGAAACTCCTCTTCAGGCTCGTTTGTGTTCAACCCGTCTCCAAAGCTCAGGCCCGCCGTCTTGTCAGCGATGGACTTGAGTATGGAAGCCATTGAAGAGTTGGGCTACTTTGCAGTACGGGGGCGCAACTCCAGAATTTCCGATTAAATACTGCTTTGAGAGGCAATTGCGGACGTATCGAACTGTGGACAAAACCCAATACCAGCGCTGTAACAGATTGCACTTGATATTACCGCTTGGGGCGTCCAGTATGAGCAAGGTCGTGCTTGACCTCGAGGGAGCAGGATGTCACACAAATCTTGCTTTGCAGAGGAAGCCAATGCTCCTCCAGCTGGATCTCCAGCTTTGCCAACTTCAGGGAGCGCAACACCAGATTTGATTACGAAGATGCCATGAGATCCGTTTGTTCAAAGCTTACACAGCTCAAGCAATCCTCTCGTGCAATTGCGCGATCACACCTTGCGATGCTCTACAGTTTGATCTGCTTGCACCTTCTCACTTGCCTTCACACAAGATTTGGGAGAATGAGAGGCTAGAGCAGTGCACGAAAGCTGCATTCCGCATTGCTCTCAAGAGCTGATGAAAAATGGTGAGAAGCGGCAGCATTATGCGAAATGTGTCCAACCCTCAGGGCAGCTGCGTTGCGACGTAATGATTGCCCCCTTCCGGCTTTATTGAATCGCAGCCGTCCGATAAGACCAGGTGTTTAGCAAGCGCCAGATGTCAGCACGAGAAGCTGTTTGAGCTTCTCACGTGGATGTACCACGTGAAGAGGGCATCCAGCTCATGCCAGCTGAACCTGAGAAAAGGCGTTCAGAAAGAGAGCGTTTCCAGCAGAAGTATAGCTAGAGCAAGCGAGAGAACTTGGTTGCGTTAAGAAATTACAGCAGGTGGTTTTGAAGAGCATGTTGAGAGCGTCTGTCTCGCCGTGTTTGTTTGAGATTTACTGTTCGTGAACAAACTGAATGTTGTTATGTTTCTGTGAGAGGATGATGATAGCTTCATGATATTGGGTAGCCCCGTTTTTGCCCTTTGAAACACACTCGCCTCTGCATGTAAGGCAAAACGTCTGAATTTGAAATGCAGCCCGAATTGGAAGACGCCTACGTCCCCAACAGTTTTGTGTCTTGTGAATCAAAGCAGGCTTGCCTACTGTGGTTTTGAATTTTTGCAGTTCTCAAGGTGGACACCTCTGACGGAGCTTGGCAGCAAGTGGTAAGAACCTTATGCATTAGCTGGTTCATTCCTATGAGCCTGACCATCTTGCCGCTTCAAGGGTTTTTCAAAAGTTTTTCCTTCTTATTACTCAGCCCTTTCAAAATAAAGGCATCGCGCGTGAGGGCTTGCACAGTCAGGATGAAAGCAGGACTTGGAGGTTTACCTTTCTAAGCAGGCTTTCTTCTAACACGTACTTTCTTAGCATGCTCTCTTTTCAAGAATTTAAAACAGCCTGAAGAAGACGGTCTAAATCCAACAGCGCCTCAACTTTTTCACAGGAGCCTTACCTGGGGCTTTCAATTGGACCTTGTAGACTTGACACTTAGGAACCGACTCTACTCGGAATCGCATCTGTCCCAGAGCTGCCATACCCAAAGTATGAGTGCCCCTATTGTGGACCAATTGTCATGTGGCAGATTTCTTGGACAGCAATCTCTAGGCTGCCCCTGGAGAAAAGTTTTCACTTGATCCCAGATTTTATGATGCTTGTGCAGGATATATCATTACACTTGAACCTGAAAGGCACTGCTGGGCACTTGGACAATGGCATCTGAAGCGCCGCTGTAAGTATTCAATGCGTTCCTCCTTGTTTCATGCTGACCTGTCCACACTGCCAACCCAGGTTATTCTGGCACAAACACTCCCTCCGCCACAAGATTCTATTTGAGCTTCAAACCAAACCTTCTGAATCATGAGCTATGGAAGAGATGTACGTTTGTGCACTCTCTTGAAGTTCCCTTGTAGTCCATGTATGTGGCTGCCAATTACTGAGTCCTTGAACATTCCCCTGTACCTTGCAGCAACGCCCTAGCAGTATCCTTGTAAGTCAAGCTCCTGCCACCATTGTCCCCTCTCAATATATACACAGCGTGTCCTTCAGTCCTCCTTCTCGCATGCTCCTCATAACCCCCACTTTTTCAACTAGACATACTAGAATGGGGCGTGAAGATATATCTTTGTTCTCACTCTTTCTAAGGCCCCTGACCACGGTCCTAGGGCCGGGCTCCTTAATCGCCAAACCCTCCGTCCGGTTGAATCAATCCGTACCTAGTTCCTCACTGTGACTGGACTCTTGTACACCCTTGGCAGGCTGGCCATTGAACTGCCAACCTCCATTTCACTCTCTCCGAATCTGCTTCAATTTTGATTGGGTAATTTTACCCCTTTCTGTTACAGGCCACCGACGGCTGTCCTAGGGCTGGGTCACTTGGGCGCCAAAGTTGCCGAGCGCCTCGTCAATGAGAAGTTTCCGGTGGCGGTATGGAACAGGAGCACAGAGAAAGCGAAGTACCTGGGGGAGATGGGGGCAAAGGTGGGCAGCCGACTGGAGTGAAGCTTCTCGAGTTTCGTACGTTTCACAAACATTCTGTAGGTTCTCGGATATTGTGAACATTCGGACCGCTTCTTCGTTCTGAGCGCCAGAGACTCGGTCTCTTTCTGGCAGTATAACTTTCTTATCTGTCGCATGGGAAATATCGTAACAAGTGCCATCTAGATGTCACGAGTAGTTTAGAGGATTCGATTCCGGCGAGATCTTTTTGAGGACCGAGCAGGTAGGAACAGGGAGTTCGTTGATTGTGTACATCCTTCGGCACTCGCCATACTTGTCGTGCCATTTGAAGCTCAGAGTTTTGATCCGAATGGACAACTCCGATCACTTCACTATCATAAACTTCAGACTTTGACACGTCAGATCTGGCGCGTCGCTGCGCCGTTGGCTGGGGCGGGCTAACTGCACAGAAGAAGGATGCAAAATATGTTTCCAATCGCAGGTCGCACAAATTCCGGCTGAAGCGCTCTCCCAGTCCGAGATCATCATCCTCATGCTGGTCGACGCGGCAGCCATACGGCAGACGCTGTTGTCCGACGAGAGCCAAAAGCATCTGAACAAAAAAACCGTAAGCTGTTTGTCGCATGTCGGCGTCAGACTTATTTCGTGTACCGTTACTTTCTTGATTCACCTATAAGACAGCGGTTCTGTGCAAGTATCCGGAGAGCGAAAATCAGACATTGCAGAGCAGATGACTTTGACCTCCACGTGCCTTCCTGCGTATTGTCGCTTTTCTCTCTTGCAAAAAATGGCTTTCTCTGGTCGCTACTTGTCCACTTCCGTATCCCTCCGACGTTCGTTCCTCGTCAAACTTATGTCGCTTTCTTTCTCATCGTCGACTTTCATTGGGTCGACGTACGGGCAGAGGTCCTTGTGTGTGTGAATAAGAAAAATCGTTTTGAATCTGTTCAGTGTCGTTTGAAAACGTAGCGCTTCTCTTTTGCAGATTGTTCAGATGGGCACGATCAGCGCCGGGGAGAGCCGCGAGCTGGAGGCGACCGTGACGAAGCTTGGGGCGCGATGGGTTGAAGCACCGGTGAGAACGCTGTCTCTCCTGTTTTGTCATCTCTCTCGTGTTAGTCATACAATAGCTCTTGAAAGCGTTCACTTCGAAGCTCCGGTGAGAACGCTCTCCTGGTCTGTCATCTTTTTCGTGTTAATTCGAAAAAGAATAGTTCTTGAAAGCGTTCACTTCGAAGCACCGGTAAGAACGCGAGCTCTCTCCTAGTCTGTCATCTCTCTCTCGTGAAAATAACATGGCTCTTGAAAGCTTTCAGTTCAGGGCGACCAACGGAAGAACAGACGGCGCTGCCCAAACGAAACTTTGAGCTGCAAAGCTGTGATACGTCGTCGACGTGCTGTGAAGGACCCCGTACGATCCTGACAAATCTTCGACCTGTGAAGATCGCTGCCGAGGCTCTGCCCGTGCCCTGCTTGAAGCTAGGCAGGACAAACAAACGTCCTATCCGTTGCACATCGTTCCGTTCCGAAGTGTTCCGTTACTGCTCGACTGCTTTCCGTTCCGATAGACGAAGGTTGACTTGAACGCGGCGCGCTCGTAGACTAGCAAGCACGGGCTATCCTCGTCCCAGAGTCTCTCAAGAGAGAGGGAGTCACAGCCCCTGTCAGGCTGGGTAGAAAAACGAAGCCGAGCGTTTCCTGTTGAATATTGCCAGGACCGCTCTGGGCAGATTTGAGTCCGGTAGTATTACTGCCGTAACTGTTTGGCGTCAACACCGCCACTAACGCCATAAGCAGGTGCGAAGCTCATAAGCCGAGACGCTCCGGGCACCCTGTGGGGTGGAAACGGAACCAAACTTGGAAAACGGAACCCGCTAATCGCGACACTGGTCTTCGCTTCGAAATTGGACTTTCAAATTAAGCTCATTCTTTGAAGCCCTTCGCAGGTGCAAGGCTCCAAAGCCGAGGCGCTCGCGGGCACGCTGCAGGTCATGATCGGAGCGGAAACGGAACCGGAACCGGAATCAGCCATTGGGCGGGTGCTCGCAGCTCTGGGGTCCGTCGAGTACTTTGGCAAAGTGGGCGCGGCGTCGACTGTGAAGCTGGCGATCAACCATCTGCTGATCGCAGAGACGGCGGCGTTTTCGGCGTCGCTAGGACTGGTGCGCGCGAATGGCGTGGACGTGTCGAGGTTCATGGTGAGCTTGACTTTCGGAAGAACTTGGTCGCCCCTACTTAAAGGAAACAGAGCTTGTTACTTGATTTTTTTGACAGAGAAGTTCCTGTGTTTACGGTTGTTATCCCGTGGTTATCTGCTTTCATTGCGCGAGGGGAAAGACCGCCATCAAGGAGGTCTATTGACTTGTAGCGCTTTTGCTTCGATCGGTGCGCTCAGATAAACGTCGCTAGACCTGGCAGAATCTGACTCATTCCTTGGAAGCAAAGCTTTCCGGTACTGTGCATAGATGCGGAAAAGACGGCGAGCAACCATCGTGGGCGTTCGATGACGTGCTTTGAACCGCCTGGATTCGATTTTTGGTTTTTGACGGGATGGGCGCTTAGGGACTGATATGTCATCGTTGGGGTCAGGGATTGCTCTGCGCTTTCCGCGCAATGCTGGTCACTCCAGGACTCAGCCGTTGTGCGTACTCCCGATGTGATGTCTCGTTCAAGCGACATGTAGATTGTCGTAGCAGGGCCCTGAGCGCAACACTTTGCCGTTCAATGATTACGGGTTCACTTTCTTTGGTTGCCCTGAGTGTTTGCAGAATCCTGTTCTGCATAATATGACCCTGAAACAAGCAGCGAAACTTGCTAGAGCCTCACGGTTGCGGTGCAAGACATGGCCTGTAGCGCATTGTGTTGAGGACAACAACCCAACTTGTCAGCAAAGCTGTCACCAGTAGCAAGCAAAACAGAGGTAGTCTCTCCGGATAGCTCACAACCTTGTCGAATGCGGTGTGCAGGACACGCTCCGTGGCAGCGCGCTGTATGCGAAGCAGTTCGACAAGAAGCTGCAAAAGATGATGGACCGGATCCACAGCAACCCCAACTCCACCACCCGGCTCTTCCTAAAGGTGACTTCCCTCGTTTCCTGATGACCCACTTTTGACTTGCTTTTCTGAAACTATGATGTTTTACCCGCTCCAAGGCTACTTTCTGGTTGATTCCAACACAGTTGACTTCGTTTTGGTTGTCATGAGTCTGATTAGTTTTCACACACTTGAAAGTCTGTACCGGGGTTGCTCGTCTTTCCGACGTTCAAACGCTCTCCACTTTGAGAGCGCGTTTGTCAAGTAAGTCAGTTTTGAATCAAAGCGTCGTGGGGCCGGCCGCCAATTACTTTGAGCGATCCTTTGTGCCACATTCGCTTTCTTTCTACGCGGTCTTACACGCTACCGAAAATTATGCGAGCGACGTATCGAACACCCGCCCGGTCTGCAGGGTCACCGGAAAGGGACCGAACCTCCGACACCCTCGCCTTTGTCTGGGCTGACCTTGTTCGCTTCACTTCAGCATGTTTGCTGCCACCGATCATTTTGAAACGCCGAGACACGGGGCGAAATCTAACAAGTGGAGCGTTAACGGCTCCGGGTGACTGAAGAGGCTGACAAGTGCTGCTGCACGTGTCCAGGTATTTTCTGCTGGGAACAAGTGCAGCCTCCAGTTTGTCGCTCCTGGATCGTCGACGGAAGTGAACTGACTGACTCTGTTGACAACATTTGAGTAACTCTGCATGTTGAACGGCTGCAGGATCTCGATCTGTTCGTCGCAGACGCGGAAGCTGCGAATCTAAAAGCGGACGGCGCAAAGGTAAGTCGGTCGCAGATTCGGCCAGAAGAATCGGAGGTTTTTGTTGAGGAGAGCGGTAGGTGCCTCACGCCTTTCGAAGCGAAGGAAGTTGTGGGCTTGGTTTCGAGCGATGTAAGTTGTCGGCTTGGTTTGAGTCTCGGCTAGCTTTCCTTCGACTTGATTCAGTCGGGGACCAATTATGTGCTTGCCTCCGTCAAACGGCTTCCATTTCTGGGCTCTTTAAGGCTGTCTTCTGATCAAGTCCTGCATTTAACTACGATTATCCTCAATAAGCCGCCAGCGAAAGTCGCATCTATTTTCACATGCTCTGGTTAGAGGCCCGGTCTGTTAGCTTTGGCGAAAGACTCAGGCTTCGAACCGCAGGTATTTACTGCACTTGTACTTGTATTGGATCCAACAACGGTTCGCCGCTTGACTGAGTACCAGCTTTAATTTGACCATTTTGTTTTGGAAGTTGATGTGCAGTCCTTATTGTTGTTTATGTGGGAGCAATTCACCAGGTTTGCTGGCTGCCTTGTGCAGAGCCTTCACGGGGTCATCCAAGCGGCCATAGACAAAGGGTTTGGCGACACGGACTATTCGGCAATCTACGAAGGGGTTAATCCTTGAGCGGCGTCGCAAGTTGTCATATAGCCAGCATCATTTTTGACCTTAGAACGATCGCTACTAACAATGCTACTCAGCAAAAATCTATTTATGTGATCAGATACAGTCCACTTATTCGTTTGTGGTTGATAGGTCGATTTGTAGAAATGACGGCCCAATCATAAAGCGGAGTTTGACAAGGGATCCCTTCCATAATCTTCGGTTACCGAAGGTCAATCAACCTGATGCATTTCGGAAATTGGTGCATGCCGAGTTGCGGAGTCGACGGATTAACCTTCTTCCGAACTCTCTAAACAAGTCCTTCAGCAAAGTCCTCGTTTCTCAGGCCCCTCAGCGCCGCAAAGTCTTACACGTTGAGAGCTAGTAGCTAAAGTGGCCGTCCACGGACCCGGCTACTTGATGATCAGACATAGTTCGTAGTGTTACCAGTTCTCAAAGCACGAGTTTGATGCACAAGTGCGTCGGTGCAGCGATCATATAGGCTGTAAGGCGATTTTGTTGATATTGCAGCCTGCAACTTACTAAAACGTTGCAGATTGTTCCGTCTCATGTATGCCTTTCAAATGGACTCATAAATGGTCTACGAACTTGTCCTTCCAACGCCAACCATTTTGATATGCAGTCGCGCTGATCGCGAGTTCAATCACATGATGACTAGCTACTTTTGAAAGCGAGCCTGACGGTGGATCACACATGCACACCGCATGCCAGTGTCCGACAATTCTTGTATGTGCCGCACAATGCACTGACTCATTGTATTAGCTGAAAATATGGATTACAATCCGAAATTGTTGCACTCACATGATTACTACCTAGGTATTCAAGGAACGTGATTTGACCGATGCATATGTGTGTATGACTTATGATTCAGGTTGTGCCAGCATGTGCTCTGGATATATACGTATCACTACCGTACTCATGCAGTTGATCTCGATCATTCAGCAACATCACCGGAATTATCGGAGATGATCATGCAGCGCAATCGGCAAAATCTATATAGTGAGGCATGATCGATTACATCTTTGTGCGTCTATGGTAGGTATTAGTTGTGCCCCGCGGCCATGCATTCATGCGATTAGACGAGGATCATACATATGCAGCTAATGGGAAGATGTTGCCTACATGTATGCCTTGCCACAATCATGTCATTCATGAAACAAGGAATTGTTGAAAACATGCAACGCACACGTCTAAAATCACTAGAAAACAATTTATAGCGACAGACTGATTGCACTATGGAATGCCTTGCAAACGCATGTGTGTCCGACTTGACTTGACTAGTCTACGCTTGAGCCTGCTTGGAAATCCGTTCTGGGCCCGCTCTACCATGTTACTGAATCATCATCCGCCATGCCAACTCTTACACTTCGGTGAACCCCAGAATACCAACTCCTAACCAAGCGCCCTCACCAATGTCTCCCTCTCTCCTAGTATTTTACACGCCTGGCTCACAGAATGCCTTGAACCAACTATTGACGGTGGCAGTCTTTCCCAGCAATCGCGTCCGCGTCTCGCGATGGTCATGCCCAAGCCAAGGCGCGTCGAGCGGCACAATACATCGGAAGAAGGTCACGGAGCACTGAGCGCCGCAAAATTTCTTCCCCTCATGTCTTTCGTCCTCAAGGATGAGGATTTTTGACTTGAGCATACTCTTTGGCACTCGTAGGCCGCAACTGCGGATCAAAGCCGCAAAATGGGGCCTAATGACAACTTCGCCCCGACAGACAATGAGCCGCTCCAAATCCGGACACTTGCGAGACAGGTCAGGAATTGCCAGTGTCCCCCTCTCTGGAGTAGGGGGGTTTGTGGAGAATGGGCTCTCATAAAGCAAAAGATGGCGGAGCTTAGGACAATGATGATATGCATCTTGGAGCATGCATTCAGACGCCTCCTTGCCCCATGAGAAGATCTGCAATTTCTCAAGGTGTCCCAGAACAAGTGCAGGTTGAGAGGCCCCCACAAAGTACTCGTCGTACATACATTGTACCTTCAAGGAACGGAGACTGCTGAGGCAGTCTGGCAGATAGTCGGACACGTCCGCTAGATTGTCAAAGCCTGTGTTCAATGCAAACTCCAAGCTAAGGAGACTGTTCTCAGATTCCCCTATGGGGCCCGCCCATGACCTTGGTGTCATCTTTTGCCAAGTGCCTCGAAGGAGCAGACTTTCCAGTTTGGGAGTGGCCCCTACGATGCATTTTATGATGGTATCAAACGTACAGCAGCTCCCCAGATCAACCTCCAATGATAATAGAGACTCTTCTGATGCAGCAAAAAGCTTAACTAGCTTTTCGAGATCGTACTCAGACCTGATTTTGGCCACCGCCTTGGTCCATTGCAACTTGGACACGGCAGGGAAAAGAGCTTCCCACGCGTCTCTTGCCACTACTAACTGAGATAGCTTTGGCCGAAGGCTGAGCTCTTCTGAGAGAGCCTTGCGAACACCCACTCCTCGAAGCGGCTTGCCTTGTTTCTCAGAGCCCTCATTGTCACTGCCGCCAAGCAGCAGGGTCTTGGAGCACCGCCGCAAACAGCCTCGAAAAGCTTTGTTGACCCTCTCCAGCTGTGTCAAGCACGATGGATCGTCTGCCACAGCTTTCTGCAAAATGCAGTCCAGGAGCTCCGGGCAGAGCAGCTCAAAATTGCTGTCAGTGGCTTGGTCATTCAACAGGCTCGCCCTCCTCCTCATGTGCGCTTGCCTACCCGCCATTCTTTGGTGAGAAACTCCAGACTACTCAGACTCATGCCAAATTGCCAATGGCAAATGGCGTGAATTCTGAGCTAGCCAGATCTAGCCTGGGCAGTGGGAAATAGTAAATCGGCCCCATAATTCCGGGAATTTGTTGTATGGGACGGCCAGAGCAAAACCTTATTCCGGACCTAA